AAAAGAAAAGAGAAAAGCATTCATTCATCCTTATTGCTTTTTAAATGAAAGAGGTTGTCTCAGTCTCATCCATAAACTAATGAGGTGTTAATAACTTGCAATAACTGATAGCCATCTTGAAGTTCTGTTTAATATGGAGCATGAACCCTTCCATTCTGCTTGCTTGCTTTTGAGCCAAAGTTGGATATCCATTCAACTCTGTTTGAATACGTATTTCAAATCCCAAGGCATCAATATGTTATGTGCATATGGTCAGATATCTGGGATTTTTCCTCCTAAGAAAAATTCCTGCATCGTTAAGAATCCATGAATATCACAAAAAAGTAGGTGATTTACTTGCAGAAGCCCATATTTGATGTGGTATTTATCTTATTTATTTATTTAATTTACAGCTGTAGTCAACGTTATTGATGAAACCATTAAGCAAAGCAGAAGGCTAATCATTATTTTAGTACCAGGATTTCAAACCTACAGTATATCACAAGGGGTTCCTGAGGAGCAAATAGCTTTGTACAATGCCCTTATGAGTGAAAGTGCTGGAATGAAAGTCATTCTGATCGAAATGGGTAAAATAGAGGATTACAGCAGCTTGCCAGAATCCATTAGATACATCAAGCAAAAGCAGGGAGCCATTAGATGGAAAGGTGACCTTACGAAGAAGCATTCTTATTCTGCAAATACCAAGTTCTGGAAAAAGGTCAGATACCGAATGCCACCAGGACACCAGATTTCTCCAGAACTACCTTTGGTGCCAACTTCTCTCAATACAACAGAAACCCTCGTATCCTTTTAACAACTCCTGGTGCAGCTGTTTCAAAAGGCTACCTTGATGGATGATGCTGTTACAACCACCATTTGTACATGGTAAACGGACTCTTTTGACAACATCGCTTCCACTAGCATTTCTTAATGTACCAAATTCACATGGTGTTTCAAACAAAAAAATGATCAACTTGAAACGACTTATTTCTACTAATGTACGATGAGCAGGGTTTTTCGTTTGTTTCTCTTGTTGTGGGAGGAAAACTACATGCAGTGGCTACACTCCAACTGAATGTACGTGGATCAGCTACACCTGTGTATCCTGTTTTAAAGAAAGCTGAAATGTTGACAACCAGCTGTTTAGTGAATCTAGACCACCACCTTCCTCTTCCTGCCAATCAGCCTATCAATAGGATTTTAGCTTTGCGCAAAAGGTTGGCTCACAGAAGGGAATCACATCTGGAGCATAGGTCTTTGTGTCTGATACACCACCCGGCTAGAGACAGATCCATGGAAGCAGGGCTGCCTTATTTCAAAAAGTGAAAATCTGGACACTATTCAGCGATTTCCACATGGACACTGTTTCCTACGACCAAATTCTAGCCATGTCCGGGAAATTCTGGATGTATGGCAACCCTAATGGAAGTCTCTTTCTGTGAACACGCAGCCCCTAGCTACATTTGGCCAATTGTTTCTTTGTTCTGCTGAAATTCAACCTTGCAGTTTTTTCATTGTTTACTCTTACTGTATTATGGTAACACTTGACGACTGACTTAGACGTGTCTGAAATCATTTGCAGCCTCTTATATGCACCATTTCATTTGAACTCACCCTTTGCAATATTCAGGGAGTAGTTGGGTTACTTTGTGAATTGTCACTGTGTTTATATTTGACTTTCGTTTAAGTTTTGATGTAATAGATTGTATTTTTTATATTTTATTTCCCTTGCCCCTCACTGCTTATTCTTCTCCTGCAAATACATACACACACCTGCCCCAAATTTGCTTTAATTCACAAACACCATGGAAACGGCCATCCTTCAAAATTCACACTTCTCTGAACTTTGCAATGTAGTTTTCCAGACAATTAATTTGTACAAAAATGCATATACTCGGGTTAAGTGTCCATAAAAATGTGCATATACATGAAAATAACATACAGAAATGCATCATTTTAGAGGATGTTGCTTTGCAAAAATGTGTCTTAGGCAAATCACGTATGGGCATGTGTATAACAGGAGTAATTTGCATTAAAATGCTGATGGATTTTAATGAGAACTCAAAATAAAAATTCACAAACTGATGTGGAAATGTGGATCTAAGATTGGAAAACTGAGAAAATTGAAATGAACAAGTTTGCCTATCCTTACTTATATCAATGCTTCATACATTGAGTGAACAGGACTCTAGCCCATGAATGCTTATGTCGTAATAAAATAATTATCAATGAATACAACATAGAGTAGACCCATCAAAAGTAATAAACATGACTGAGGTCCATTAATGTAAATGGGTTTACTCTGTGTAGTTGGATACAACTCTCTGGCTTAAAGTACATTAGACTGTTTGTTCCTTTGCAATATTTGCCTTCTGTGATTGTTGTTATGAATAGTAATGATTCTCATGAAATACATTTTTTTACGGATAAACATGTAATGTTTCAGAGGTAGAGATGTTTTTAACTTCCAGTTCTTTTATTGATTTAGAAGGGGCAGAAGAATACTAAAAAGTAAAATGTGAAATATATTCTTATTATTTATTGAATTTATATAACAGCCTATACCTGGAGGTCTCAGGCTCGTTCACAGAACCAGCTGTAAGAAACTTACTTGTGAAATAATTCTAACCATGATAAATTGGTGAATGGAAAATGTTATACATTTTTTTTATTGACAAAAATGTTCAGGAAGGATGAAGTGGTTTGGACTTTATGCTGAACAGGAATATAGCAAAACAGCATTACTTAACTAAACCCACAATAGTCATTATGACAATATGCTTCTGCTCTTCATATTTTACTCATGAAACTTTTAATTATCATTCAACATATTCTATCCACATTGCTTGTATTTACAGAACATATTTTTTAATGTTGAGAGAATCTTGTGTTTGTGCCTACAGGAAAGCATAATTTCTATGATGAGGCGGGTCATGCTCTCAGGAAACAGTCTTGGATTCATAAAGGCTGTTGCACAATTTTAAAATAATCATGCTGTTTGGGTCTCAGTCTGGTGGCTTCCAGGTCACCTGTTCATTAAGCATTCATCCTGATTTGTTTGCACAATTTTTGTAAGGAGGGGTGTCACATGACGGCTATTCAGTGGTCATTTTTTTAAAAAATTGCACATTCATGACGATCTGTGCTCCTGATGCTTTTGGAGCAGTCACACACAATCCCGTTTTCAGTACTGTTTGCCCCTGCAAAAGTTCGGGTTCATTTCCAAGCAGTGTATATCCTGTAACTTACTGCTGAAATCCCACCTTTTTATCCCATAAATGTTCTAGTTTTATTGTATACCTGAAGGAGCGTCTCCACCCCCATCGTTCTGCCTGGACACTGAGGTCCAGCGCCGAGGGCCTTCTGGCGGTTCCCTCATTGTGGGAAGTGAGGTTACAGGGAACCAGGCAGAGGGCCTTCTCAGTAGTGGCACCCCCCCTGTGGAACGCCCTCCCTTCAGATGTGAAGGAAATAAGCAGCTATCTTATCTTTAAAAGACATTTGAAGGCAGCCCTGTTTAGGGAAGTTTTTAATATTTAACGCTGTATTGTATTGTTTTTAACACTCGATTGGAAGCCGCCCAGAGTGGCTGCGGAAACTCAGCCAGATGGGCGGGGTATAAATAATAAATTATTATTATTATTAGTTTTATTGTGTGCTATAGACAGCAATAATGCGGTACCATTGCGGAAGCGTTGCAAAGCAAACTGCAAGCAGAATAAATCTACAACTAATGCACTAATGTTAAGAAGATGTTTCAGAATACACACAGTAAAACAGCAGTCTGGAGGAGCCCTCTGTTTTCTTTTAGGAGCAGCTGTCTTTGTTGCCACAGAAGATGGTCACAGCATCAAATTAACTATGAAATCCAATCATCAGGCAAAGGAATGGGAGGGACTTAACATCCAGCCTGGGACAGGAAGCTAGCTCACTGGTTTATGGCTTTTAGTTGATCCGAATAAAGGTGGTAGGGACACGGGTGGCGCTGTGGGTTAAACCACAGAACCTAGGACTTGCCGATCGGAAGGTCGGCGGTTCGAATCCCCATGACGGGGTGAGCTCCCGTTGCTCGGTCCCTGCTCCTGCCAACCTAGCAGTTCGAAAGCACGTCAAAGTGCAAGTAGATAAATAGGTACCGCTCCGACGGCCAGGTAAACAGCGTTTCTGTGTGCTGCTCTGGTTCGCCAGAAGTGGCTTAGTCATGCTGGCCACATGACCCGGAAGCTGTACGCCGGCTCCCTCAGCCAATAAAGCGAGATGAGCGCCGCAACCCCAGAGTCGGTCATGACTGGACCTAATGGTCAGGGGTCCCTTTACCTTTACCTTTTAATAAAGGTGGTATCCTGTTTCTGCTGCTGCTGCTGCTGTATTTTCCTCAAATGAATCTATATGGCACAGCACTGAAAACCATGATGTGTTGCAGGCATGTCCAAAGTCCGTCGTTTTGGGCGCTTAATCCAGCCCGCTGGTCAGTTTAATGTGTGCGGCCCCTGTGGCAGTTTATTTCCTGGGGCAAAATCCAAAAAAACCCCCAACAACTTAAATCCTAAAAAAAGGTTAACAACTTTGGTCGGCCCTCACGGTCCTTCACTTCATCAAATCTGGCCCTCTTTGAAAAAAGTTTGGACGTCGCTGGATTCCTTCTGTTTGATAACCATTTGGCAATGTGACTCCCAAATCAAAGAGTTATGCCATTTTGCTTTAAAATAGCACACTTTGATATTTATATGATATGGGGTTCCACTTACGCTCTGTGAAGAGCCCACATGTTCTGGGAGGCCGTGAAAGAAGGAAAGTAGCAAATGTCAAAGTAGCTGCACAATTTGTACTTGAGGTTTCCATTTGCAGCTTGAAATGGCATTTAAACAACCTTGTTAATGTATTTAATAAATTACTTTGTATTATATCAGCTGTAGGGATCTCTTACCAGGAGTACCTAACACACTGTACCAGTTTTGTTTTAATCAAAATAGACCTCTTTCTTTGATGCTTAGGGACCTAGAAGTACCCAGAAGAGTTATTTGAGGTACCAGCAGCAGAGCTTTTACTAGTACCCAAGAAGAATTCCTTGCGCTCTTCACTTGCTGCAATGCACAAAACCATGATCAGGTTCCATTTTAGATATTTCTTTTCCTTCCTTTCTTTTCTGCAGTTTCAGTATTTCTAGAAACAAGTAATTTATGAAATTGAGAATATCAACTTTAGAGCTGGATTGTTATTTAGATTTATTAGACATGTTCTTGAATAGCGATTTGAATTTGAAAAGCAAAGTGTTGGGAAGTTGTGTTTTAGCGGCAGTGCAACTAATGACTGCCCGTTTCATGAAGGATTTGGAAGGAGCTGTGAAATACTATTGGTGTTAAAAAGATCTGGGATACAGCTTTGGTTGAAATGACCCCTGTCATTCAGTTCTCTGATGGTGTTCTGCAGAAGCTTTCCTGCGTGCATGCACTCACAGAATACTCTATGACCAAATGCAGTGCTTTTTGGGGGGAGGACGCAGGGATATGCATACCCCTAACATTTTGTGAATCTTTGTACTTTTGTCCATTTACTGCAGGGGTGGCCAACTCTCAAGAGACTGCAATCTGCTTTCAGAATTAAAAACTGGCAGTAATCTACTCCCGTTTTTGGGGGGTTCAGCTCAAAGTTGTTGAGCTTTTATGAGGAAGGGAAACCCCATTTTGGGGGGGGGGTTCAGCACAGAGAAACCTCCATCTTCCCTTCCAGAGATCAAACAACAATGGAGGGTGGGGTGAGGGAGTGGGGCAGGAGTCAGTTTTAGCAGTGCTAAGGAAAGGGAGCCAGAGATCGACCGCGATCTATTAAAACCTAAGGGGCATCTACCAGTAGATCGCGATCAACCTGTTGGACATCCCTGATTTACTGTATTTCTTTTTCTTGATTTGAACCATAAAATAGTGATTTGCTTGACTCAAAATAAGAGTACCCCCAAACATATATATATATATATATATATATATATATATATATATATATATAAAAGCACTGACCAAATGTTTGGCTACCAAATGCTGCTTAACAACTGAAATTGCCAATAACAGAAGAAAGAACAGTTGATAGTTCTAAGAAGTTCAGCAGCTTCCTGAGGAGGTTCTGCTTACAATGAGATTTCCGTTGAAGCTGCTTATCTTGCACAATGTCTCGTTTTGTAGCAGATGTCGTGGCTATTAATAGGTGTTCTTTCCCCATTCTTTGAAAGCACACAGTGAATTATTACATTCATACACATTTCAAAAATATCCTGATTCTAGTCCTAAATTATAACTACAAAGCAGTATTTAACTTTGCATGTTTTCCTCTTATTCTAAAAAGAGGATTTCTCCATGACATATTGTTATTAGTTTGGTGGGGAATAGGCCGTATACCAAGATCCTTATAATTCCTGGATCCAGCAAGTGTTAAAACCTTTTTAAAAAAATTAAGATTTTTTTAATTGAAATTTTTCCATAATACAGTAAAATCGAAGCTACAAAAGATACAAAGCAAAGGAGAAAAACAGAGGAAGAAAAGAAAGATACAATAGAAATAAAAAGCAGAGAGAGAGAGAGAGAGAGAGAGAGAGAGAGAGAGAGAGAAAGAAAGAAAGAAAAAAGAAAGGAAGGAAGGAAGTGAGGTAACAGGCCATTAAGGTAACCAAGGGAGTGGATCAGTGCCAGAGAACAAATGGGTGGCCCCCTCCCCTTAGAAAATACAGTAAAGGCTGAGTTTCCTGCCAACCTAGCAGTTCGAAAGCAAGCCAAGTGCAAGTAGATAAATAGGTACCGCTTCGGCGGGAAGGTAAACGGTGTTTCCGTGTCCTGCTCTAGTTCACCAGAAGCGGCTTAGTCATGCTGGCCACATGACCCGGAAGCTGTATGCCAGCTCCCTCGGCCAGTAAAGCGAGATGAGCGCCGCAACCCCAGAGTCGTCCACGAATGGACCTAATGGTCAGGGATCCCTTTACCTTTAAAGGCTGAGTTGTTTGTGTGTAAGCTAGAAGCTAGAGGAGAGGCATACCTGATTTCTGCTCACATCCAAGGCTGTGGCTATGGGGGAAGCAAAACCTCTTGAGATGTTAATGCTTTGATGTGCCACCATTGTAGGCTCAGGTTGCATATATGTGTAAATAAACCATATCTCATAAAGACACCACAGCCTCCACTGTCCCTCATTCTGAAGGAAACACAAACCCTGGGGAAGCGCCTGGGACGCCTGGAATCTTGCAGCCCTCAGAGATTGGGCTGGTTTGTGACAATATTTAACTAGTTGCTATTTTCCATTATCTGATCAGTTATCTGTCTGTGCTGGTTTCCTTCCACTAAAAATAGTTGTAAATTTGAATACTTAGTTGCTTATCTCTCTCCCCCCCCCCCCCCGAAATGCACGATAGTGCTGTGGTTTGATCTTTGTGTTTTAACCTGATGAGATGGAGATTGTACTGCTGCTCTCAGATAGGGGCTTTGACCGGGTGAGTGTCTGCAAAAAAGTGCCTATAAACATATTCTTGATGGTTTTTATTTCTTTGTTTAGCAAAGGAAAGTCTTGGCATTTGTTTCTTCTTGAAATGCCATCTCAGCCACTCTTATTCAAAGGCAGCTTCACTTTTCAGTTTCTTCTGTTTCTGCATATTGCTCACTGCTATACTTTGGCCACCTCATGAAAAGAGAAGACTCCCTGGAAAAGACCCTGATGCTGGGAAAGATTGAGGGCAGAAGGAGAAGGGGACGACAGAGGATGAGATGGTTGGGGGAGGAAGTGGAAGACAGGAGTGCCTGGTGTGCTCCGGTCCATGGGGTCACGAAGAGTCGGACATGACTAAATGACTAAACAACAACATGCAGGAAAATGTATGAATAAAGGAAGACAGAGCTTCCTTCCTTCCTTACTTCCTTCCTTCCTTCACCAACATGCTTCTGTTACCTTAATTTATAGGGTGACGGACAGACTGCCATAAGACAAAGTTGAATGCAGTTTACATGGACTCTGGACTTTCTTTAATGGAACCAATATATAATTATTATTACAATTCCCATTACTGCTGCTTGGGTCATCTAGAACTCTTACTTGGTGGCAAAGCATGGGAGATCCTCTAAATGTAGTTGTGTCCCTGTAGTTGCAACAATGGTGAGATTTAAGACTGATCTGTTAGGAAAATTTTTTAAAAATCCAATAGGAACGCAATTAAACAAAATTGCCTGCAACCTACTCTTTGAGTTTACAGTTAGAATTAGAGTTAGAGTTACAGTTCTTGGTTAGAATTCTGGAAGATGGGTTCAGGCTTACTTTGTAAGGACAATAGAGCAAAAAATTGCTCAACTAAATTTCCATAAATCAATGGACTAGAGGCTTAAAAAAATAAAATAAAGCTGGACATTTGTGCCCCTCCTTTCAGCACAGGGAATGCTGAGGTGTAGCCTAGCTCACAAGCAGTGCCTAACTCCTTGCCACATTCAGCAAGGACCAGCCCAGTTCAAACTCAGTACAGCAGCTGTTCCAAAGATGTTCCTCACTTCTAAGCTATTTACCCTTCTGCTTTTCTAGTTGGTTTAGCCCAGCTTACCGGTAGATGTAATGCACAGCTGTTCTATGTTGCACTGGGTGTGGGCTGCACCACTTCCTTGATAGGTACTTGGGAGGCATGCATCCCAAAATGAACAGCTCAGCAGAAGAGAGGAGGTGGTGCAACTTGCCTTAGAAATTTCTAACAGAAATATGTCAGGTGTCCAGCATGAAGTTTGCTAATTAGACTCAGTAGGCTAAGTGTCTGGTAGCTTGGTGGAATGCCCCACCTTCCATTTTTGATTATAGGGAAGATGACTGCCAAGCCTACTTGCCATTTAGCTTCTGCACTACAAAGAAAGCTAGTCCACCCAGGAGAGGACCACCAGATAAACTCTTCTTCCTCGTGCATGCTAGCTTCTGGGGAGCAGTCAAGCACTGTATTTCAAGACTAGTCCTCAGCCTCAGAACATGTTTCTGGTTCAAGGTTTGGAATCCCTGGTAGCATGTGCTCGAAAGAGCAGCACCTGAATGACTTGTTAGTATGCACATAGAGCCCCATTGCATGCTGCCGAAACATGCAGAAGGCATGGCTGGTTTGTGCAGCAGGAGCAGGGCTACTCTGTGTTAACCATGATATAGAAAAATAGGAGTGAGTGGCTTTTGCTGCCCAACTCCACAAACGAACTGAGTCCTCTAAGTCCATGACTGGTCAGAGATGAATGGATGGAGGCAGGATGCAGTGAAAGCAAGGCTGGTCTTTATTTTTCCGTTGCGGCAGAGTTCCCTCCCCTCCTAGCAAGGAGGCAAGAGAGACCCGGAACCCAGAAGAAACATCTCTTTTAAGGGTTTGCATTTTGGCATGGAGAAGAAGGACATTGCCTCTACAAACAGTCAGAAATTACATCACACACAAGGTGGAGTTACTGTGGCTCAGGCAGGCCAAGGTGCGATATTCCTGAGGATTTAGCAAGTTTTACATAGTTCCAGACACAGTTTACACAAAAAAATAGCATTTGATAAGACAATCAGGATGCCGGTCAGACAATCCCTCAATCTGGGCAAACAATGGCAATTAATACAAAGGAGGTTCATAGATATAGGAGAGGAATCCCTTCAGGAACTTCCCCTGATTGCTATCTGCCTACATGTTCTCAAGCAAGGCAGATTAAGGAGGCAGAGGAAATAAGTCTTCAGGAGAGCCAAGAGGGTTTTTGGATTGTTGTCCTGTACTATTTTAGACATGTGGTATATATACTTATGTACAGTGGTATCTCAGTTCTCGAATGTAATCCGTTCTGGAAGACCGTTTGAGTTCTGAAACATCTGAAAACCAAGGTGCAAAGGGCTGCCTGCAAATACAACTGAGAAAATTGAAAAACATGCAGTGGAAGCTGTTCAACTTCTGAGGCGTATTTAAAAAAAAGGAAGCATTTACTTCTGGGTTTCGGTGTTTGCGTTCTGAAATGTCCATCAACAGTTCAAGAACCGAGGTACCACTGCATGTGTGTTTACCTTGTGCAATTGTCAACATTTATTCTGTATTTGAGACCTTAGAATTCTTATAACAACCACATGACTGCCTTCACACATTGTTTTAATGCATGTAGGGCATCTGTGGCCAGGCCCTGAAAACAGCAGGATGAGGAAGAATCCTTCTTGTTCCTGTCTTCAGGAACGTGAGTGCCAGCTGCCAGGCTCAGGTGTTATTGTTAGGTGGCTACAGCTATTGGACAGTAGGCATTTTGCACAGGACTTTGTATCATTACTTTGTTTAAGCACTAACAAATTGTTATAGGTTTGAGGGAGGACCCTCCTAAACCTTAGAAATTAATAAATGGTTGGCTTTTGATCAATTGGTATATGGATGAAAGTACTAGCTGCAGAACTGGGCCGGACAAGGAATCCCTGGCTGGCCTAGTGAAGAGCAAATCTGGTAACATGCCAAAATGTGTTGATGGGCCATCTGAGAGCAATCCTTTGGTCTGAGGAGACAGATGTTGCCAAGGTGATGGGTGTGTGTGTTGAAGTGACAGGAAAAAGGAGTCTGGTAGCAAGGGATTCTGGGAAGGAGAAGGAGAAACAGAGTCTGGAATCCATCTTGGGAAGGCTGGCTAGGAAAGATGCCTTGGCTACACTGCTGTGGGGGACAGTCGTCTCTTGAAATGACCATGCTGTAAGACCTGGACTCCCTCCATGCAGACTGAAGGTGTAAATAGGTGATTAAACCGTATTTCTTAAATCTATGACTGTCTCTGCTGTGTCTCAATTCTCCAAAGAAGCACAGACCCTGGGTGAGTGCCTGGAACGCCCCTAGGCTCTTGCCACCGCTGGGCAGAGAGATGGGAAAGCACAGAACTTTTGTAAACAATATCAGTTCAGGAAATAATTTTGCAATTTGAGGAGGTAGCTGCTTTGCTTACTCAACAAAATCCTTATCTGCACAGCGTTTCATAGGACACTGATAGCTGGTAAGTTCACAAACCACACAGGAGGAGGAGCCTCAGCTATAGATATAATGTAAACCCTTTAGTGTTTTGGATCAGCTAAGCATCTCAGTGAAAGGAAGAGGAACAGGGAACCTGCCAAGTTTCTCCATTTCACACTCTTCAGTCGGTGGGTCATATGCAATAATAATAATATTATAATAATTAATTAGGATATGTTGTATTCTGCCTCGTTATACTTTGTCGTAAAGAGTGGCTTATAAATTCATAAATAAGTACGTTGAGATAATCCTTGCCCTCGGAAATGCTTGGAAAAGATAATTACATAATCTTGTAATTTCGCTTTGCTATGTTGTTATGAAATTGTTTTGTAACGTTTCTTGGTTTGTAAGCTGCTTGGAGCGTGTGTGTGTGTGTGTGTGTGTGTGTGTGTAAAAGTAGCTTACAAATAAAATGAATGAATTAATGAAGGTGGCTTGCTTCAACAGCTGGCTGATGGCTGCACAACTTCCATTTCTGTTGTGGCACCATGGACAGTAGCATTGCAATAGTAAGTGGTTGTATACGCATGCTATACATTTAAAGCGCACCCCCCACTTAAGCAGTCCAGGGAACTGTAGTTTGCTATGGGTGCACTCTGAGGGGTAAGCAACAGTTCCCAGGTTTCTTGAGGGAGAGGGAATGTGCCTTAAATTTGGGGTGTGTATGCAGCCAGTGTACTGAGTTCTAGATATTCCAGCAGGACAGTCTCAGCTCTGGATATTATTTTCTAACAGCCAGATCCTATATTAATACTTGAATCATGATTCTGAGTATTGGAACAGTCGGTCTATCAGCTACTAAGCAGTTCACAATCAGATATTTTAACTTATTTCATAAAATGGAAAGTTTTCCACAACTTTTCCACAAAGTTTCCACTTTCCACAAAGAAGATAAAAGTGCTACTGTGAAAGAAATGTGGAGGATGATTATTTATGTTTAGGGAAGCTTTTAATGTTTGATGTATTACAGTATTTTAATATTTTTTTGGAAGCCGCCCAGAGTGGCTGGGGAAGCCCAGCCAGATGGGCAGAGTATAAATAATAAGTTATCATCATCATCATCATTAGTTATGGAGCTGCCTTTTTTACTCACTGTGTTGAATATCGGTCTCTGAGCTGAAACCGAAATGCTGTGCAAGCATTCAATACAACAAGGCACAAGTTGTTCAGGTGGAATTTTGCAAAACAATGTATTTCCAATTGAAAAAATGTAGATGTTCTCTTTCAGCATGCTGATAATTTTGAAGAGTCAAATAACAGGGCTTTCTTTTTTTTCTTTTTCTAATGTGTCCCCCCCCCCCCATTTAGCAACACACTGGCTCTCTTGTATTTCATCTTGCTCATGGCTTTCTCTGCTATTGCTGGGAAACTGCATTACTGTAAGTCTTACTCTGCGCTGATTTTACTCACAGAAATACCTTGAATATGATTGATTCTTTCTGTTGAATGAATGAACTGCTGGTCACAGTTGTGCGTCTAAACTAGTATGATCTAGACATCCATTTGTCAGTTTTCATTTCTTAGCGCAGAAAGTATTAATCTGATGAGTACAGAGTCTGAAAAGACGCAACTTAAAAATTACCGCCCCATATCACTTCTTAATGTAGATTACAAAATTTTTGCAGATATTCTGGCTAAAAGATTAAAAAATGTGTTAGCAGAAGAAATTCATAAAGACCAAGCGGGCTTTCTCCCGGGCAGGCATTTGTCTGATAATACGAGGAATATAATTAACATTTTAGAAAAGCTACAAGTGAAGATTAATACTAAAGCAGTTTTGATTTTTGTGGACACGGAGAAAGCCTTTGATAATGTTTCCTGGAGTTTTATGAAGAAGAATTTATTAGGGATGGGGGTTAGTAAAAGTTTTGGAAATGGTATAGGTGCAATCTATTCAAAACAAAGGGCTATTTTTTTTTTTAAATGATATTTATTAAAGTTTCACAAAAATACAGAAAACAAAGAAAAAAGTATAAATTACAGCAAAAAAGTAAAAAGTAAGAAAAAACATACAAAATAAAACAGTTAAAAACACAATAATGTTCCATAACCTATCTTCCTTACTCTTATTTCCCCAGACCTCCTCATACCTCCCTTCTTTGTATTCCAATTCAATTTGTTGGTTCAGCAAATCCTTACCATTAATCTTTTACCCAATTGTTAACCTTTTTTTTCCATGTCTCTTAAAGCATTACAGCTGAAAACCTCTTAGTTTCTATCCAACATCCTTCTAAAGTTCCTTAATTTTACAATATTTCTGTAAATAGTCCTTAAATTTTTTCCAGTCTTCTTTCACCGACTCTTCTCCCTGGTCTCGGATTCTGCCAGTCATTTCCGCCAATTCCATGTAGTCAATCACCTTCATCTGCCATTCTTCCAAAGTGGGTAGATCTTGTGTCTTCCAATACTTTGCGATAAGTATTCTTGCTGCTGTTGTAGCATACATGAAAAAGGTTCTGTCCTTCTTTGGCACCAGTTGGCCGACAATGCCCAAGAGAAAGGCCTCTGGTTTCTTCAGAAAGGTATATTTAAATACCTTTTTCAGTTCATTATATATCATTTCCCAGAAAGCCTTAATCTTTGGGCACGTCCACCAAAGGTGAAAGAATGTACCTTCAGTTTCTTTACATTTCCAACATTTATTATCGGGCAAATAATAAATTTTTGCAAGCTTGACTGGGGTCATGTACCACCTGTATATCATTTTCATAATATTCTCTATTAAGGCATTACATGCCGTAAACTTCATACCTGTGGTCCATAACTGTTCCCAGTCAGCGAACATAATATTATGTCCAACATCTTGTGCCCATTTAATCATAGCAGATTTCACCGTTTCATCCTGAGTATTCCATTTCAACAGCAAGTTATACATTCTTGACAAATTTTTAGTTTTGGGTTCTAACAATTCTGTTTCTAATTTTGACTTTTCCACTTGGAATCCTATTTTCTTATCCAAATTATATGCCTCCATTATCTGATAGTAGTGGAGCCAATCTCTCACTTTATTTTTAATTTTTCAAAACTCTGCAATCTCAATTTATCTCCTTCTTGCTCCAAAATTTCCCAATATGTCGGCCATTTGGCCTCCATATTGAGCCTTTTCAGAGCTTTTGCTTCCATTGGTGACAGCCACCTTGGGGTTTTATTTTCCAATAAGTCTTTGTATCTTATCCAAACATTAAACAATGCTTTCCTAACAATATGGTTTTTGAATGCTTTGTGTGCTTTGACCTTATCATACCATAAATATGCATGCCATCCAAATACATTGTTAAAACCTTCTAAATCCAAAATGTCTGTGTTTTCAAGAAGTAGCCATTCTTTCAGCCAGCAAAAAGCTGCTGATTCATAATAAAGTTTAAGGTCTGGCAGGGCAAATCCACCTCTTTCCTTGGCATCAGTTAATATCTTGAATTTTATTCTGGGCTTCTTGCCCTGCCAGACAAATCTAGAAATATCTCTCTGCCACTTCTTGAAACAGTCCATCTTATTTGAAACAGTCCATCTTATCTTTTTCTAATGTGTCCCCCCCCCCCAATTTAGCAACACAATGGCTCTCTTGTATTTCATCTTGCTCATGGCTTTCTCTGCTATTGCTGGGAAACTGCAATACTGTAAGTCTTACTCTGCGCTGATTTTACTCACAGAAATACCTTGAATATGATTGATTCTTTCTGTTGAATGAATGAACTGCTGGTCACAGTTGTGCGTCTAAACTAGTATGATCTAGACATCCATTTGTCAGTTTTCATTTCTTAGCGCAGAAAGTATTAATCTGATGTGTACAGAGTCTGAAAAGACGCAACTTAAAAATTACCGCCCCATATCACTTCTTAATGTAGATTACAAAATTTTTGCAGATATTCTGGCTAAAAGACTAAAAAAGGTGTTAGCAGAAGAAATTCATAAAGACCAAGCGGGCTTTTTCCCGGGCAGGCATTTGTCTGATAATACGAGGAATATAATTAACATTTTAGAAAAGCTACAAGTAAAGATTAATACTAAAGCAGTTTTGATTTTTGTGGACGCGGAGAAAGCCTTTGATAATGTTTCCTGGAGTTTTATGAAGAAGAATTTATTAGGGATGGGGGTTAGTAAAAGTTTTGGAAATGGTATAGGTGCAATCTATTCAAAACAAAGGGCTAAACTAATTGTGAATAACGTAGTGACAGAAGAATTTAGGCTTGGGAAAGGAACACGACAAGGTTGCCCAATTTCTCCATTGCTTTTTATTTCGGTCCTGGAGGTGTTGCTAAATATGATTAGAAGGGACCAATTGGTTAAAGGTATACAAGTGGGATCTAAACAGTATAAATTGAAAGCATTTGCAGATGATTTAGTACTGACATTACAGGAGCCAGAATCAAGCACGAAAAGAGTATTAGAATTGATTCAAGAATTTGGTCAGGTAGCAGGTTTTAAGTTGAATAAGATGAAAACTAAAATCCTGGAGAAAAATCTGAATGTGATTGAGAGAGAGAAGTTTCAGAGAGAGAGACAGGCTTGACACTGGTTAAGAAAGTGAAATACTTAGGGGTTAATATGACTGCTAAAAATGTGAATTTATACAAGGATAATTATGAAAAATGTTGGACTGAAGTGAAAAAAGATTTAGAAATATGGTCAAATTTGAAGTTATCGCTTCTAGGCCGAATTGCTGTGATAAAAATGAATGTATTGCCAAGAATGTTATTTCTGTTCCAATCATTGCAAATCTTGGACAAAATGGACTGTTTCAAGAAGTGGCAGAGAGATATTTCCAGATTTGTCTGGCAGGGCAAGAAGCCACGTATAAAATTTAAGATTTTAACTGATGCTAAAGAAAGAGGTGGATTTGCCCTGCCAGACTTAAAACTTTATTATGAATCAGCCGCCTTTTGCTGGCTGAGAGAATGGATGCTTCTTGAAAATACAGACGTTTTGGATTTGGAAGGTTTTAATAATGTATTTGGTTGGCATGCATATTTGTGGTATGATAAGGTCAAAGCACACAAAGCGTTCAAAAACCATATTGTAAGGAAAGCATTGTTTAATGTCTGGATAAGATATAAGGATTTGTTAGAAAATAAAACCCCAAGATGGCTGTCACCTATGGAGGCAAAGGCCCAGAAAAAACTCAATATGGAGGCCAAATGGCCGAAGTATTGGGAAATTTTGGAACAAGAGGGTGACAGATTAAAATTACAAAGCTTTGAAAAATTAAAAAACAGAGTGCGTGATTGGCTCCATTATTACCAAATAATGGAGGCATACAATCAGGACAAAAAATTAGGTTTTCAAGTGGAAAAATCAAAGTTGGAAACAGAATTGTTAGACCCTAAAGTTAAGAATCTGTCAAGAATGTATAACTTGCTACTGAAATGGAATACTCAGGATGAAATGGTGAAATCTGCTATGATTAAATGGGCACAGGATGTTGGACATAACATTATGATGGCTGACTGGGAACAGTTATGGACCACTGGTATGAAGTTTACGGCATGTAATGCCTTAAAAGAGAATTTAATGAAAATGATTTACAGGTGGTACATAACACCAGTCAGGCTTGCAAAAATCTATCATTTGCCCGATAATAAATGTTGGAAATGCAATGAAACTGAAGGCACTTTCTTTCACCTTTGGTGGACATGCCCAAAGATTAAGGCATTCTGGGAGATGATCTATAATGAAATGAAAAAGGTATTTAAATATACCTTCTTAAAGAAACCAGAGGCCTTTCTCCTGGGCATGGTGGGCCAATTGGTGCCAAAGAAGGATAGTTTTTTCATGTATGCTACAACAGCAGCAAGAATACTCATCGCAAAGTACTGGAGACACAAGACCTACCTACCAGGGAAGAATGGCAGATGAAGCTGATGGATTACATGGAATTGGCGGAAATGACTAGCAGAATCCGAGACCAGGGAGAAGAGTCGGTGGAAGAAGATTGGAAAAAATTTAAAGCTTATTTACAGAAATATTCTAAAATTAATGAATGTTAGAAAGATGCTGGAAAGAAGTTATATGACTTTAGTAGAAATATTATAAAGAATTAAGTATGAATAGCTGACATTGGGTAAAGATGTAAATTTAAGTTTAAAACTTCGTTAAATTAAATTATGGAACTAACTTTGTGAAAGAGGGAAAGGACTTGCTAGAATATTTAATTGAACTAGAATACAAAAAAGGAGGTGTGAGGAAGTCGAGGAAATAAGCTAATGAAAGATAAGGATATGAAAATATGGGGGTCTTTTGTATGTTTGTTTGTTCTCTTTTGGGTTTTTTTTTAATGTTTTTCTTTTCTTTTCTTTTTTTGGTATTGTTGATGTTTTGTATATTTCTCTCTTGTTTTTCTTTTCTTTTTTGTAATGTTTAAACTTTAATAAATATTTTATATATAAAAAAATATTAATCTGATGTGTAGAGAGCTTTCCTATTCTGGTTAGTTCAAGAGTGTTCTGGAAAGGTTTATTTCTATGTGAGAGAAACAGGAATATGGTTTCTGGTGGTTGGGTTATTTCTCTGGGAAGCTGTGTACAGCTGGATTAAACTGGTTCTGTTATGTTTCTGTCAAGGTCATGCTGACTATTATAGTAAGGCAATGAGGAGCCTGGGATCTTATTCTTGCTTTATCTTTCTTTGTTCTGATGTTCTGTTCCGTATGCTTAGTGCTAAGGTTTAGTCTTATTCTACGTTTGTAGGTTTTATTTTAAGTGCTGCAACTGGATTTTTTTATGAACTGTGCCAATCCTGATTGCATTGGATTTGTGACCATTATGTATCCAGGCATGGCCAAACTTGGCCCTCCAGCTGTTTTGGGACTACAACTCCCATCCTCCCTAGCTAACAGGACCAGTGGTCAGGGATGATGGGAATTGTAGTCCCAAAACAGCTGGAGGGCCAAGTTTGGCCATGCCTGATTTCAGTATCAGTAAAGCTCTGCTGGATGAAGCACAATTGCCTCTGGTCTATTTTTTTGGGAACTCTGCTGAACTCTGCTACATGTTTAAGTTTTTCCCTCTTCCGGCGCTGATGTGACACCATTACCATTGAAAAATTTCCTTAAAATATACATAAACACCCCAATCCAGTTTCCATGAGCACTGCAATTTGATCAGTGAAAACCAGGTTCTATGACCACTCAGCCAGTGCAGACGGACGCCTGCCTATGTCACTGTGTTTATTTGGGCTTCATTGAACTGCTTTGATGGATCTTTTGATAGGGATGCACTTTGTACTGGGATGGTGGGAAGATTCATGAGCTGGATCATGTCCATGTCAAAAGTGCAATTCCTAATCCAGAAGAGGGCACATGTAGATGAATGTTGTTGTTGCTGTTGCTGTTGTTGTTGTTTTGCATTTGTTTCCAAGACACAGTTACTGGTTTTAGTATGTCATTACCAACAGCATTAAACAAGCTAGGAAATCTCTCCTGATGTAGGTATGCAGAATGTTTTTGTCCAAGCGCCCATCACTTCATATTTTGCAAAGGAATTTTGAATCTATATGTATGTTTGCAGGGCTTACAATAGAAGGTGAGGCTTTTGTTGTAAGGTGCCCTGTGCATGACACTGTGGTCTGGCAGCGTGGGGATACAACCATCTCTACAGACAAAAGGGCCCGAATACATGCTTCTGGGAATGAACTGTGGTTTCTGCCTGCATCCATTGAGGACAATGGAAATTATACATGCATCCATCCTGAGTAAGTAAAAAACGAGCAAAAGCTTTGCATGAGTGTGTGTCATAGAATCATAAAATTGAAAGGACCCCAAGGGTCATCTAGTCCAACCCTCTGCAATGCAGGAATCTCAGCTAAAGCATCCATGACAGATGGCCACCCAACCTCTGCTTCAAAACCTCCAAGGACTCCCACCAGCTCTCATGGGAGTCTGTTCCACTGCTGAACAGAAAGTTTTTCAGAATATTTAGTCAGAATCTCTTTTCTTGTACAGTGGTACCTCAGGTTAAGAACTTAATTCATTCTGGAGGTTTGTTAACCTGAAACTGTTCTTAACCTGAGGTACCACTTTAGCCAATGGGGTCTCCCACTGCCACTGCGCCACCACTGCACGATTTCTGTTCTCATCCTGAAGCAAAGTTCTTAACCCGAGGTACTATTTCTGGGTTAGCGGAGTCTGTAACCTGAAGCATCTGTAACCTGAAGCATATGTAACCCGAGGTACCGCTGTAACTTGAAGCCGTTGCTTCGAGTCCTACCCTCCAGAGCAGAAGAAAACAAGCATGCTCCCTCTTCCATGTGACAGCCCTTAAGATATTTGAAGATGGCTAGCATATCTCCCTTCAGTCTCCTCTTTTCTAGGCTAAACATACCCAGCTCCTTCAAGCGCTCCTCGTAAGGCTTAGTTTCCAGACCCTTGATCATCTTGGTTGCCCTCCTCTGCACATGTTCCAGCTTGTCAACATCCTTTTTAAATTGTGGTGCCCAGAATTGGACATAGTATTCCAGGTGTGGTTTGACCGAGGCAGAATAGAGTAGTACGATTACTTCCCTTAATCTGGACACTGTACTTCTGCTGATGCAGTCTAGAATAGCAGTAGCTTATTTTTTATTTTTTTTTTTGCTGCTGCATCACACTGTTGACTCTTGTTAAGCTTGTGGTCTACCAAGATCCCTAGATCCTTTTCACATATACCGCTAGTAAGCCAGGTGTCCCCCATCCTATGTTTGTGCATCTGGTTCTTCCTGCCTAAGTGCAGAACCTCACACTTGTCCCTAATGAAATTCATTTGGTAGCTTGCACCCAGTTGTCCAACCTCTTAAGGTAATTTTGAATTCTGATTCTGTCTTCTGCGACATTCGCTACCCCTCCCAGTTTGGTGTTATCTGCAAATTTGATGAGCATCCCCTCAATTCCTTCATCCAAATCATTTATAAAGACGTTGAACAACAGGCCCAGAACGGGCCCACCCCACTGGTCACTTTTTTCCAGGATGACAAGGAACCATTAATGAGTCCTCTTTGGGCTAGGTCAGTCAACCAGCTAGAAATCCACCTAACAGTTACCCACATTCAACCTACATTTTACCAGCTTCCTCATGATAATATTATGGGGGACTTTGCCAAAAGCCTTACTGAAATCAAGATACGTTATGTCCACAGCGTTTCCCTGATCTACCAAGTTTGTAATTCCATAAAAAAAGAAAAGAAATCAGATTGGTCTGGCATGACTTATTTCTGAGTAAGCACAGCATCCTTTTCTAAATGCTCACAGACCGGCTGTTGAATTATCTGTTCAAGGACCTTCCCTGGCATCTATGTCAAGCTCACTGGTCAGTAGTTACCTGGGTCTTCCTTTCACCCCCTTTTGAAGATGGGGGCAACATTTCCCCACCTCCAGTCCTCACCTGTTCTCCAAGAATTCTCAAAGATAATAGACAAAGGCTCTGAAATTACACCTGCAGTCTCCTTTAGTATCCTTGAATGCAGCTCATCAGGCCCTGGAGATTTGAATTCATTTAAAGTAGCTTAAGAAAATATATCTTAAGAAAATATATGGGAGTTGCTTTGTGTTTACAGGTATGCTCCTAAAACGATGAGTGTCATAATATATCCAAATATAGAAGGCACTTGTTATTATGAAGATGCTCTTTATTTGGAAACAACTGGAAGCCCTGGATCTGCTAAAATATTCTGCCCTTCTTATAATGACTATGAGAACGCATCTGATCCGAAGTGGTTCAAGGTATGTATCATCGATATCTGGCTGTATGGTTCTAGACAGACAGTGTTGGACTTGACTGTTCTCTGTGTAGCACCAGCCTCCTCTAGAGCATGAGAAGGGAAAGTCTCAATTATCTGCTGAGATGCCATCTCCTCTCCCATGAAGTAAGTGTTGAACACAACCACTTTTGAATGTATTAATCTGACACTAGGCTCGCACACTCCCTTTCTGACTGTGCAGGTGAAATTTAGGACTTGGCATTGAAATTTGGGAGGACTTTAGCATTCATGCCTAGGCTGGCTCTCTGGCATATTATTGAGTGAGCTGTGTGGTGGATTTAGGAAAGTTTGATGGGTTCAGAGCCTCAGGGGTGCCAGGGACGATGCAACTGTGATTTGCAGTGGAGCACAAGAGGTGTAGGGCTGCTAAATTTGAGACCCCAACATCCCCACCACTTAGGTCACACACTAGTTCTGTCATCCTTCACTGCCCTGGAAATGGCAGTAGTCTTGTTCATGGGTAGATCATTATTTATTTCCTCATACATATCCCGACTTTCTTCCCAATAAGGGACTACACGGCTGTTGACAATATGGTATCACATACATTGCAGCACACAATGTTAAAATATTGTTTTATTGTTTGCTGTTACTTATTTGTGCACCATTTGGTTGGATTCCTCGGCTATAGCAGTCAAGGTGTAAGATGTCCATAAGATTATAATTTCCCACGGCCCCAAGTATGCAGATAGTTTACTTGCAGAGGCATTATGAACTTCTGGAAACTTCGGCTCCTCTGAACATGCTGATCCTTCCCTCTTGAGTCTCAGTTTTCTGTTCTGACTACAGTCTTGTTGACAGAGGTGGCAGAACTCACCATGAACACTCCCCACGTTCTCTTAGAATGGCAATGGCACCCAACTGAGAAGTGCCAGGACTGAGTTCCAGAGAGTTCTGGCTGGAAAAAAAAGGCCGTGCTTGCCAGCACGCAACACTGGAGTTCACATTTAGAGGAGCGGTAGTAATATTAATTAATTAATTAATTAATTAATTAATTGGGATGTGGGTGGTGCTGTGGTCTAAACCACAGAACCTAGGGCTTGCCGATCAGAAGGTCGGCGGTTCGAATCCCAATGACGGGGTGAGCTCCCGTTGCTTGGTCCCAGCTCCTGCCAACCTAGCAATTCGAAAGCATGCCAAAGTGCAAGTAGATAAATAGGTACTGCTCTGTCGGGAAGGTAAATGGTGTTTCTGTGCGCTGCTCTGGTTTGCCAGAAGTGGCTTAGTCATGCTGGCCACATGACCCAGAAGCTGTCTGCGGACAAACGCCGGCTCCCTCGGCCTATAGAGCAAGATGAGAGCCGCAACCCCAGAGTCGTCCATGACTGGACCTAACGGTCAGGGGTCCCTTTACTTTTACCTTTAGTAATATTTAATAAGTCATTAAACAGTGGTGAAAAATGAATATATGTTCTGTTTTTTAGGACTGTAAACTTCTTCATGGAGCAAGGTACAAAGCGGTTAAAAACATCCTTTACATTTCTGATGCAATTAAAAGTGACAATGGATACTATACTTGCCAGTTTACATACCACCATGGTGGAAGAGCATTTCCAGTAACTGCAACAACGCCTTTTAGAATTACAGGTAAGATGAAAGTGGACATTAACCAGTTTGAGCCAGCAGTGGTGTAGTGGTTAAGAGCAGTGGACTCATAATCTGGTGAACTGGGTTCGCTTCCCCGCTCCTCCACATGCAGCTGCTGGGTGACCTTGGGCTAGTCACACTTCTTTGAAGTCTCTCAGTCCCACTCACCTCACAGAGTGTTTGTTGTGGGGGAGGAAGGGAAAGGAGATTGTTAGCTGCTTTGAGACTCCTTAAGGGGAGTGAAAGGCGGGATATCAAGTCCAAACTCTTCTTCTTCTTCTTCTTCGATAAACAAACAAACAAATATTTCGTAGTGTGTTTGTACATACCAAGGTTGCTTTGGTTCCTAAAAAGATAGCGTGGTCCTATTAGCACAAACTGGTGTTGAAGTGGTATTAAATGGTGAGCCAGTCTTTACAGTATTATGCTGTTCTAGTCAATTCAATTAAACTTTTTATTGCACTAGCCATAGGCCATGGCATCATTCAGAAGGAGAACAAAAAAACACACAACAACAATAACCATAAAAATCATTGGGCACCACACATACAATAAAACCATAAAATCATTTGTTGCATTAAGTAGAATGGAATAGCAGAAGATTCTCAGGTAAGATGTGCGAAATTAAATATCCGAATCCCCTTTGCAGTTGACTGCTATTTTATCTAGTTCTTCCCTCCTGATCTTCTTAGCTGCCAGTGCATAGAGTGCTACTTTATAAGTAACAAATGTGGGAATGTTCAGGGATGCAGGAGAGGATATATTGTCTGATTATATCCTTATCCAACTTGTGTTAACTTTGCAGCGGATGCGTTTGCTCAGGCTCTCTAAAGCCTCTATAATAACTGTTCTGGTATTTTCCCCTTATTCCCTCATAAAAGATAAGACACGACACAATCTTCTACAAAAGTATAAAAAGAGTTTACTCACATTCTGTTCACAATCAGATCTCAGAAGGCAGACTTAGCTTAATGAAGTAACATACACTTGGAATTTATCTCATAAGACAGTCCCTTTGTCCTCTCTTGGCTGGAAGCCAAGAGGGCATCTTTGGCTTAGTAGATATTGTTTCTTCAATGCATGTGGTGAAAAAGAGAGAGATGGCTGCCCTGCCCTGTGCTTTTGTCGTTACCTGCACAGGTGAGGCCACACCCACATTCCTCACATGCAGAGGAAGTCTGTCCCAGCCCAGAAGGAAACGGGAAGTTTTCCTGCTGGTTGGACAAACATTCCTCCCCATGTGCAAACATGTTCACTCTAGGAATGTTGTACTTGACTGCTCTTGTGTTTCACATCCTACAACAAAGCTGTCATTGTCGCTCAGCAGCCATTTCACCCTTTCCACCCTATTCACATGTGTTCTATTCATAAACAGGGGTTTTGTAAATTGGTCTCTTGGGTCTAGATATAACAGGTGCTGCAATAAATAATGGCATCGGTCCTTGACGCAGGGTTGTCCACACAGACAGAGACTCTCTTTGTAATGTACTTTGCCGTACCGTCCATCCAACACCGCCGAGGGCATCGATTGGAATTGTAGTTATGTAAAAGTGATTCTTGGTATGGCAAGTGGGAGCTTTTTCAGGTATCTGGTTCGGGCATGCTCCGTTTTGTTAAGTGGGAACCATGGTGAGCTCTTGGTAGAAGCAATCATGGTTAGATTTCTTTCTGCATCGGACCTAAAGAGACAGTCTCTTAAGTGCTTCTTATCCATCTTCATGGATAATTACATATCTTGTAACTGGTATTGGGACAAGAGGTGTTGGATGCCAGCCTTCCAGCATTTGGTCTGTTTTCGTTCTGTGTGAGACATAGCAAGGAATCTCTATGCTGTTCTATATTTCTGTCTGACGTGATTATTCTAACAGTTGTAACCAGTGCTGTTTTTCTGGGGGGTGGAGAAGGTGCCGGAACTCACCATGAATGCCTCCCTTGTTCTTTTATAATGGCAATGGTGCCCACCTGAGAGGTGCCAGAACTGAGTTCTGGCAAGTTCCTGCTGGGGGGGAAAAAGCCCGGGTTGTAACTGTGTTTGCCGTGTAAATTGATTAGTTTGTGTGGTCAGCGCTCTCATAAATGGGAGTGCCATAGAAGCAGCCAGAAGCATAGGGGTTTTCTGACTGGGACTTAAGTGCTTGAGAAGGAAGGTTCAACTCTTCCTTCCAGCTGCTACAATTTTGTTTAGACCACAGCGCCACCTCAGCCCACTGAGCCTCTTGGGCTTGCCAGTTGTAAGGTCGGCATTTCGAATCTGTGCAACGGGGTGAGCTCCCGTTGCTCTGTCCCAGTTCCTGCCAACCTACCAGTTTGAAAGCACACCAGCACGAGTAGATAAATAGTTACCGCTGCAGCAGGAAGGTAAACGACATTTCCATGCACTCTGGGTTCCCTCACTGTGTTCCATTGCTTCAGAAACAGTTCAGTCATGCTGGCCACATAACTCAGAAAGCTGTCTGTGGACAAACGCCGGCTCCCTTGGCCTGAAAGCGGAGATGAGCACCACAACCCATAGTTGAATTCAACTGGACTTAACCATCCAGGGGTCCTTTACTCTTTACTTTTACCTTGCTACAATTTTGTCCCAAAATGGCTTTGGAAAGTCTTCCCTGTAATCTCTGAATGTTCTGGTCCAAAGTTCAGCCTGAATTCTAGTAGAGTTGAACTCAGCAGTAATCCTAATTTATATTTGTGGGGTTGAGTTATTTTTGTTTTGTTTTGTTTTTTTAAATAAGCAACAGGGATTACTCTTCTGATATCACACTGAAGTAATCTAAGTGATGCCATATTTAAAATATATTGGAAAATATTACGAATATAATCTATAATTCTAAATTGTGAAATCACAGCTTAAACATTAATCTAATGTTTCCTGTCTCTGTCTCTTGCCCCCAAATTCCACAGATTCCTTTTTACTGACATATCCTAAAGTTTTATATCCAAAGGATGGTGACGTTATAGAAGTAGAGATTGGTAATGATACTATTTCTTCAGCTGTTTATTTTTGTTTGTCTGTCCTAAATCTCCACCCATTCGGTTTCATCGGATGACCTGGGGGGGGGGTCTAATTTTATGCTGCTGATGTATGGATTCATCCTTCTAGGTTCTCCTGCGCAACTTTTATGTAAGGCATGGCTGGGCCACGGAAAGCAAGACATAGCCATAAGCTTTTGGGAAATCGATGAAGCAAACGATTCCAACCGCTTTGTTACATCCAATAAATCGTAAGTAAAAAGATGTCCATTGTTAGGATGTGGGGGTGGGGAGAAATAATTTAATTAGCTAATTTTTATGATGCTGCCAGAATTTCTAGAGTAGTTTACAAAAATGCATATTAAACGATAACAGCTTAATATCACAAAAAAAATCAGTTGCAATCCAAAAAAATATGTTGGAATCAGTTTTTAAAACCTGGAATGATGACAATGACAACAACAACAGTTCTTGTTTAGCTTTGTCCCATTGTGAGCACCAAGTGAAGCAAATTCCACTTCTAGGTTGCCAAAGCTAATCTGGTTCTAATGACATTCTTTCTACTAGGTATATGGTACCTGGCGAAGGACAGTTTGCAGAGGCTGAATTAAGCATCACAGAAGTGAGGGAAGAAGACCTCAGCTTAACCTTTAGATGTGTCCTGGCCAATGATCTGGAGTTCGAAACAACAGAAGTGACACTGGTGCCCAAAGGGGCAGGTGAAGGTGAGAAGAATTTTAATCCTCTCTTTGTTCAGCAACTGTCAAATCTCAAAACGTAAGAAGGACGGTGTTCCTATATTTCCCTCAGAACTCTCCCACCAGAACTCTCACCATCCTTGCTCTTGGCCTTCCTCAAGTGCCTCTAAGTGGCTGGAACAAGCCCTATGTTACTTGTTTGCCAGGGTACAGGGGTATATGTGTGGCATATATGTGTTGACACCTGAAGCGAATCAGAACATGCAGCCATCTCTGGCCTGGGAACTCAAGTTCTTGAAGGGTGTATTTTAAATATACAAGGAAGAGTCGCTCCCCTCCTTTGCCTTCTGCCATCTCTGCAGCCCCACCAGCAATGAGCAGCATCACTGGCAAGCAAGCCCCGTGGCCAACGCTGGGTGGGATGTGTGTGTGACACTGTGTAGTCACTGTGCAGATGAGCTGGTGGCCAAAGGCAGCAGGAAGGGTGGCAGCTGTGGACCACACACCATGCCTCCTCTTCCTTCTCATAGCAGCTTCTGTGGGGAAGCCAGAAAGAGTGCCAGGAGGTGGAGGCCATTGCTGCAGCAAAGCTCACCCAACTGGGAAGGACAGGCTAGGTCACAAGCTTCCTCAAATTTGGTCCTCCAGATGTTTTGAGACTACAATTCCCTTCATCCCCTCCACATATGTTTATAGTTACCCCTATCACTACACTCCCTCCAAGAAGTTGCTGAAACATTCCTATAAATGTATGGTAAGTTTACCAGGGTAAGCCACCACTTTTGCAATATCTGCAAATCCTTTAATGCTAGTTGAGTGGGACGTCAGCATGGCCAGTAATCTGGAATGGTGGGAGTTGCAATCTAAGGGGCACCCATTCCCTCCTTGCTGTTTGTCTGATCAAAATCATGCTCTCCAAGTTCTCCTTGCCACCAGGAGAAGACATACAGATCTCACATCGTCTCCCATCCAATGAGAAAACCTTTTAAGTAGAGTGGTACTTCGGTTTTCGCATGCCTCTGTAGTCTAACGTTTTGGAACTCGAATGCTGAAAACCCGGAAGTAAGTGCCTTGGTTTTCAAACGTGCCTCTGAAGTCAAACAGGAAACGCGGCTTCCATTTTGAGTTTTCTGTATTGAGGCTTGTGTTTTGAGGCTTCCGCTTTCTGAACATTTTGGAACTTAAACGGACTTCTGGAACGGATTATGTTCGAAAACCGAGATACCACTGTACAGCCAATTTAAGGATGCCAATCTTTTCTTTCTACCCTTTAGGCTTCTTGCATAGGCTAGATTAGTAGGAGTTCCTTTATTGGCTGTAGAGATGGTAAGAATCCCAGTCACCACAAAAATTAAATGACTGGCCTTGTCCCAAAATGGCCTTTGAGACTTGAAGGGTTCAATCCATTCAGAGATTTATTATTAAATCCTTGAATTTCACTTCAGAGACAATAGAGAACTATCAGTCAAGACACAGAAGCACTAGCATGGTGTGTTTTCTGGAGCAATCACTGTATGAAACAACCATTCAACAATCCAATATGACCCAGCCTGTACTTAGAAGAGCTTTCTCAGAAGCTCTGTTTTGAGTTGTCCACCATCTTTTGGGCAGTGGAACTTCCTTCCTAAGGAGGTTTAACCTGCTCCTTCTCTGCCAGTGTCAGCTCTGAGGCACCAGGCAAAGATGTCTCCCTGCCACAATTGTGCTTTTCGACCCACTGATTATTTGTTGTTTTTATAAATATGATTTCCTACCTGCCTTTCATCATAAGGTCCCAGGGTTACGGCAATTTAAGAACACGTTTTGTAACAGTCTCGCACAAATTGCGGTCACAATAACGAAGTGACCTGAAAATATGTATCTCAAGTGTCAAAATTCAGGGGTAAAACTTCACCATAGGCTGAGGTTTTAGGTGAAGATGATGATGGGTAAGGCTGCTGATCCTGGATATGCATAGTCTGTTGTAGTTTTAATTTGTTTTTTTCTGAACAGTTTTAAGGTGTTAAAGTCAGTTGGCTCAACAGTAATTGCATATCTGTTTTATCTGTTTTTCTTCTATGTCATATATTTTAATTGGAGAACAGGCACTGGAGGAGCAGCTGTTTTGGCTCAGTGTTTTTAACTGATAAGAAACACTTAGAATGCCATCTTGACCAATGGATACTCTCCAGTTTTAATAGTTATTTGTTACACAAGCACAGACCTGCAGTGCTTCGGTTAAAGAGTCCAGAACTACATTGCCAAATGTCTTCCAGGAAGTTGCCACAGAAGTCAGACCCCATTTGATAACGTCTAACAGTTACTACGTACACAAATCAAACACCTTGGCCGCTTTGAGGGTCAATACGCAGTGACAGGAACTGAGACTAGCAAAAATGGAACAGAGGGAGGACTAATTCTGGGAAGTGGTGGCCTGGGGTTTAATTGAAGTGAGGTCATCACAGGAAGTTCCTTTACACAGGAAGTCAGCCCATTAGACCTTCTAGTATTGTCTGCACTGCAGAGGAACACCTCTCCAAGTTTTAGAGAAGGGCTTTCCCAGCAAAGCCCTTCTCATGACACAAGACATCCTGGTTAGTCTACTCCAGACTTATTATTCTAGCATCTCTACTTTCACTGCTGTTTTGTGTGATTGAAAATAGAGCCCAGGATAGATTTATATTTTTGGTAATCATCTATATTTTCTTTTCATCAGGTCATAGCAACACCTACGTGATTGTGGTGTTTGCTATTTTAGCAGGTCTTACAATGATCTTGGTGATGGTTTACCATGTTTTTCGTGTTGACATTGTCTTATGCGTCCGAAGGATATTTAACTGCAATAAATCTAGGGATGGTGAGTATGAATGCGCAGTTTGTGCAAGCAGTAATGAGCAGTTGCATGTCCCAGAGCCAAGAATTTATCCATGATCTACAGATGACTGGCTCCTCATGTAGCTGGACATTTACCATGGTGATAAAAGGTAGTATGGATCTGAGTGGATGTCACACTACAAGGGCCTTCTCGATAGTGGAACCCATCCTGTGGAACGCCCTCCCTTCATATGTCAAGGAAATAAACAACTATCTGACTTTTAGAAGACATTTGAAGGCAACTCTGTTTAGGGAAGCTTTTCAGGATTGATGTTATATATAAAAAAAATCATTGTTATTATTATACAAGAGGAATGCAAATTTGCTTTCAGAGAGCAGAGCAATGAAAAGCTATAATGGGTGGGAAAGGATGGACTAACTCTGTTTCGATGGCAATACCAGGAGTGGCTTAAATTGGATCAAGTTGCTTCAGAAGGCACATGACATGTTGATTTTATCACTTGGCACTTGCTTCCCTTGAATTTGGAAGTGTGTGGTGTAATGGACTATGACCTGGAAGACCAGAGTTCCAATTCCCACTCAGCCATGAAACTCACCTGGGGCTGGTTACTGTCTCTCAGGAGAACATGCCTCGTAGGTTTCTTGTGAGGATCAAAAGGAGTGGGGAGAATCATGTGCACCGCCCAGAATTCCACAATTACAACATCTGTGCAACTCACTCTCAAACTTTCGGATTGTTGAAACATATACAACAAAAAGTTAATCAATTCGAGTTGTGCAACTCAAATTGGGTCTACTAGACCTAATGATTTTAAGCAATGTGGACTGAATTTGCTTCTGGGGCCCCTCTGTGATTAGGGGCCCTGAGGCTTAAGCTTCATTAATTTCCTAGTAGATCTGCCCCTACTAAGGACTGTGCTTTCAAGTTCTTGGAATTCATTTCCCCTCTTTAGCTTTATTAATTTTATATAATAATCCCACATACAGTGGTACCTCGGGTTAATAACTTAATTCGTTCTGGAGGTCCGTTCTTAACCTGAAACTGTTCTTAACCTGAAGCACCACTTTAGCTAATGGGGCCTCCCGCTGCCGCCACACGATTTCTGTTGTCACCCTGAAGCAAAGTTCTTAACCCGAGGTACTATTTCTGGGTTAGCAGAGTCTGTAACCTGAAGCGTCTGTAACCTGAAGCATAGGTAACCCAAGGTACCACTGTAGTATAACAAATATGCACAATTAATTCTATGGTGCATGCAACTTTATTCACATTCAATGGGCTGAATAATTTCAAGTCTATCCATGTTCTTTTCACGCTTGTACATTCTAAAAATTGTGCTAAGCATGCTGCGTATATGATTTACAAACAGGTGTGCTAATAATCTGTAATCCGGCTGTTTAACCTGTACAACCAAATGAATTCTGCATTTCTAACTTGAAAAATAACAGCTTTCTAAAATTCATCCTTCAGCTTTGCACCTATTTCTTGTTTTATTTCGCAGATGGGAAAGTACATGATGCATATGTTATCTATCCCACAAATGACACTTATGAAAATAATTTTATGGGCTCTTTTGTTCATCAGATTCTACCGGAGGTTTTAGAAAAACAATGCGGGTATAGATTGTGCATTTATGGGAGAGACGTGTTGCCTGGAGAAGGTAAGCTGTTGTGCAATGAAGAAGCTGTGAATTACAAATAGTACTGCCATGATCTCAGCTACATACCACTACTAGCCTGAGAATAAAGGCTAGTCAACACAGAGCTCCAGTATGGTAGATCATGGATATGGAACCTGTGGCCCTACACAGGTGTTGTTGGACCAGCCTGACGCATGGTCAGATATGATGGGAGCTGAAATAAAATATAATCTAGAACAGGTCTGGGGAACCTCCAGCTCACAGGTCAAATAAGGCCTGTTTGTTTGGCATTCCTCCTTCCTCGGCCCCCAGCCACAGCCGTCGAACTCTTCTTTCTTCTTCTTTGGCGATCACTTGTAGCCAGGTAAGATTGTCTTCCATAAACACAGTTATAACAGTGAGTCTGTAAGTGACTGTGGAGGCCAATTCTGGATCCACACATCCTTCCGCAGTGGGAACATTAATTTCCGAGCAGGAGTTGATCACTATGAGGCTTTGCCAAACGCAGTTCTCCTTTTCGTCCTGAGTTTGAGTGTCTTCAAAGCCCATGGCACCTTTGGCAAAGGCTGTTCTCCAACTGGAGCGCTCGCAGGCCAGTTTTTCCCAGTTGTTGGTGTGTATACTACTTTTTTAAAGATTTGCCTTGAGAGAGTCTTTAAATCTCTTTCGTTGGCCACCAGCATTACGCTTTCGGATTTTAAGTTTGGAATAGAGTAGTTGCTTCAGAAGTCGATAATCAGGCATCCACACAACATGACCAGTCCAACGAAGTTGATGTTGAAGAATCATTGCTTCAACACTGGTGATCTTTGGCATCAAAGGAGCATTAGAATGTGTTCCAATTGTTCCTCTGCAAGCAGGGCTTGCAATTGGCACTGAATTTATATTTAGCACTGAAAGCAAGCCCTGCTTGTGGTGGGGGCTCTTCCTTAGTAGACAAGGCTCAATTCAAGCTGCACCAGAAATAGTCCAATTATGGCATGGTAGGCTCTGGAGGTCTTCAAGCAGAGGCCTAGCTAGCCATCTGTTGAGGATGCTCTAGCTTTCTCTTCCAAACTATCTGATTCTAAGAGTCACAAGAAACCACTTGAAAAACCACAGACAGACTGCACCGCTGGTGCCCCTTACTTTAGATGCAGTGGCCAGTGTTGGTAGTGGGTATCTTCTGAGCCTGAGATTTTTAATAGTCTTCTGAAACATGCACCATAGAGTTGGAAAGGTCTTGTGCTATTTCTTAACTGCGTACTTTATACATTGGCAGATGCTATTAGTGCAATTGAAAGTAGAATACAAAAGAGCAGAAGACTGATCATCCTTCTAACAGAATGGCTGGCCAAGAGTGAACATTTTGCGTACGAGCATCAGATTGCATTCTACAATGTCCTCATCCAAAATAACGTGAAAGTGATTCTGCTGGAAATGGAGGAAATTGGGGAGTACGAACGGCTGCAGGAGTCTCTCAGGCACCTCATTCGCCAGCAAGGAACTATAAAATGGAAAGCAAAATACATGGCCTCTCCATCCTCACCCAACACTGCCTTTTGGAAGCACGTGGAATACCAAATGCCATGGAGGCGTCGTTTAAAGAAGCCAACCACAGCGAATCCTGCATATGGTTTGCTGTAAATAAGCCTGCAAAAGCGACTAGCTTGCATGAATGTTTGCTAGTTTGCTGTGGGCCTTTTACAGCAGCCTGTTGCATTTCTTTGCTAGGTGTAAGGGGAAGGGTGGAGCACTCTGGCTTGTGGCCTGCAGTTCCCTGTTGCTTGTGGCTATCAGGCTAGCACTTAAATTTCGAGACAGCAAAATGATCTGCACGCTTTACTTCTTCTTTTCAAAATGTATTTTAAATGAAAGATTTCTTAATCGACAAAAACACGTGCATTGTCCCTTTTTTCAAGTTGCGTTTTCTACAGATCAGTTTCGTTTGTTGTGAGACATTAGTGTTACATACCGTGTCAGGTTAGGAAGAAAAGGGGGAAAGAGGTGGAGGGGGGAGCAGTGAGAGGGGTGGGGTTGGGGGGCAATGCTTCTATTCTTCTACTGAGTGTATGTGTGGGGTTTTGTGTCAGCGTCACTTGTGTGGGTTCTCTTTACTATTCACTTTTTGCACTTCTCTGTTGGTGAGAGAGGTTGGGGATGCTTCTACTTCTGAAGGAATTTTCCGTCCCCTCTTTTTCAAATTATTGCACACTGTCCTGGATCTTTCAAAACGTTCGTCTCTAACCCAGGCTTTTTCAACCTGGAGCTTTCTTGAAGTTGTTGGGCTCCAACTCCCACCAGCCCCCTTAGTTCAGCAGAAGACAGCGTTGTGGGGCAGAGGTCAGTGGCGTGCGGTGACATTTTCGGTAGGGGAACAGTTAGGGCACCAACGCGGGCATGCACGCTCCATTCTAAATAATAGTTGTGGCTCCCCTGTGACACCCTGTGCGATCGAACTAGGCGTGCTCCCCTAAATCTGACTGGGGGGGCATAGGTGCCAAATCCTAGGGGCTGAGGTCATTTTGCCTTCCCCCAATAAAATATTTGAAAGGGTCATCCCCAAAATCGAAGAATATTGCCATTCAAATAGTTTGTGTGCGCTGCATCATGTGATTGATTATGTGGGGCAGGGTTTACTATCCCCCCAAATATTTTATTTTATTTTATTTTATTTTATTTTAAGTTGGCAATCCCTAAGGGGGCGGGGGAGTTAACTTTTTCAAAGAGACTTACAAGCAACTGCTGGCTAGCTTGCAAGAGAACAGCGCCGTCGTGTGGTTTAAATCAACACCTGTTTTAACTAGAAACTGAAGGAAATGCATTTGCTCCCTCCCCCGCCCCAGCATAGGAGATCAAGGTGTCGCGCGCTTCTCTTCCACTGCAGTAGCAGCAGTTGAACCTGTCGTCCTGGGAATTTCCTCGCTTGGCAGAGGAACTCGAATACTTTCCTAACCAGCTGCGGTTGCTGCGCACACGCGCGCGAATCTGGGTCACAGGGCGGGACTTCCAAGCAAGCCTAAACCTCAACACTGCCGCCTCTTTCTTTTTTTAAAAAAAGAAGACCCCCCCCCCCACCAAAGATTTAGGGCCCGATCCTTTCTTTTCCCTCTTCCGCCTTGGTCACGGAGCCTCCTGCCGGCTTGCATCGCCTAGATACGCAAATCAACTGTTTGGAGGAGAATCAACCCTTTCCCCTTTGCTGCTGGGGTTTCGTTTTTTGTGGCTATGACTGCCTTCCAAGCGACGCGCTAAGTTTTCGGTAGGAAGGAGCTGGCCGCGTCTCCCTCGTTCACTCCCGATTCTCCAGTCCGCTTGGTTTCCGTAAGGTAAGGCACGCGCAGTTCTCGCAGGGACGATTCCCCACCTCTTGCAATCTCGGTTATATGGTCGCGCAACTGGTAGTAGCTGACGTGTTGCGCGCTTTGCAAACAAAATGCTGCGCAGTCCTGTACAGTTTTGGGGTTTTTTTTGGGGGGGGGGGATTAAGACCCATTGAAATCTGCGGCCCCAATCCTAAACATGCTTACTCGTTGCGCTCAGTAGAACTTTTCTTCTGCTTAAAGATTTGCATTGCTGTTGCTTCCAGACAACTTGCTAATTTGAGCATTTCTCCTGATTTTGCTTTTGCACAAAGTTTCCAGGTAGGTTACAAGGCTCCTGATATTGATACTGTTTATTTTCTCTCTCTCTTTTTTTGCGGGGAAATGATATGACGTTGTGGTCAACTGGGATAGGGGACAGTGTGTTGAGATTTCTCTTTTTTCAGACAAATCCTCTTCAGTTGAGCAGCCTGATTTTGCTGCTCTCTCCTCGACACTCACTCACAAAACAGCGAGACCATCTGAAAGCAGTCCAAGTTTGCAGGTAGAGGGGCTAACGGTACTTCTAGACTGTTGCTGTCATGTCCGTGGCATCCAGGCACATATCTGCAAATTATATCTAATTCCGCACAGTTCCTTCTTTTATTTCCCCACCACCTTTCCATCAAGGAGCTCGGAGTGTAATTCTCCACCTCCCCATTTCACCCTCAAAGCAATCATGTGAGGTAGATTAGGCTCAGAGACAGTGACTGGCCCAAAGTTACACATTGAGCTTCGCGGCTGAGTGGGGTTTTGAACCCTGGTCTCCCAGGTCCCTAGTCCAACACTCTAACCACTGCACCGCACTGCCTGTGTGTGTACATTGATATGACAGAAGATGGGAGGATGTAGCTTCTGCGGCATGGAAAATTATTTAACTTAAAGCGGGAGAATAATGAGCGGCCATTGTTAAAGACCCTTAGTGTAGATACACTTGATGCTTAGTATTGCAGCTTTAGGACCCAGCTGGCTTCCAGGTCAGTGGGCTTAATCTCTAAAGTCTAGAAGGCATATCTAGAATGTGATAGTAATTCACAGTATTCAGCAGAATCATTAAGCCATGAGCAATATGAAATGAGTCATACCCAAATATGCAAATATTTTCTTTTTTTATGTAATAATAACTTTCCCGTTTTTTTAAAAACCCTCCAGTTTTAGTTGTTTCTCATATTACTCATATCCTTAGATAAAAACCTCTACTGATGAATAAGACGGCCTGCAAATCCAGACTCTGCTTTTTAAAATCAAAGCCTCTAGCTTTTACTTTTCTTTTTTTCCAGAAAAGAAGGTGCAACTCAAATTAATTTTGAAATGTATGTTGGAAATCTGTCTGTTCTGCTGATGATTCTTAGCTGTGCCAGCCTAGGTAAGTATAACTCAGTTTTTCCTCTCTTTAAACAAGTTTTAGCAAGCCACATATGTATTTATATATGTGTGTATATATATATGTGTGTGTGTGTGTGTGTGTGTATATATATATATATATATATATAGTATAGAAGATAAGTCACTGTTTCTGGATCTTCATATAAAGCTCCCCAGAAACATTTTGAGACGTTAATTTAAAAACCAACTGTAAATGCAAAGTGGTTACTCAGTAATCTCACTGTTCTTCAGTGTATTGGTTCTATTATTGGTAAATGTCATTTTCACTGAAAGCACACATTTTTATTTCTCAGGAATTACAGTGTGGGGTGTGATACTTAGAGCAGAATCCTTGAAATAAGTGGATTTAAATAACTTGAAGTCAATGGGTTTCTCTGGGTATGACTAACCTTTGATACTGAATTGTGTGTGCTTGTTCCTCCAACCACCCTGCATAGTTCGAACTTTATCTTTTAAAAACCTTGTATCCCACCCTTTGTCCGAGGATCTTCGGGACAGAGTTCAACAATATATAAACCAATAAATAAATAAACAAACAAACGATGCAGTAAAATAAAATCTATTTCCGTAAGCTATCTACATAAAGATGCCCTATGAAAAAGGCAATGATTAGAACAGTGTTTCCCAAAGTTGGGTCTCCTGCTGTTTTCGGACTACAGTTCCCAACATCCCTGACCACTGGTCTTGCTAGCTAGGGGTGATGGGAGTTGTAGTCCCTCTGGTGTGTTAGAGACCTCCTGGGCCTGGGCCTACCAGCTGGCCCTCCCAAACAGGTCTCAAGCCATGGACAGGTTGATATATGGAGAAGAGGGTCCCTCTGGTATTTGGGTTTAGGGGGTTTATTAGCAGTGGTATTAGCAGTTAAGGGAGTTACATGTCAGGGCCAAAACCTTGAACTGGGTTTGGTAGTTAACTGGCAGCTAGCACAGATCTTTGAGGATTGGTGCCATGAAGACTTGAAACATCAGACCCAACATGACTCTGGTGGCTACATTTTGCACTAGCTGCAAATTTTGAACCCTCTTCAAGGGCAGCCCCTTGTAGAGTGCATTGCATTGCAGTAGCTAAACCGGAGGTTATTTGAGTGTTGATCACAGTAACCAGGCTACCCCTGTAATTTGTGTACATCAGTAGACCTGCTGTCCATGCCTGCTGTCCCTCTCTTATTGCACATAAATAGCCACGGCTATCTTCCCATCCTCCTCAGTTAGAAAACACTCTGAGGCCTCACTCAAGAGCTATCTCTTTCCCCAGCTGTTCCTTATCTGGCTCATCCCCCAGCTACTATTTATCAACAGGCCCAGCTGTCCAGGGTCTGATTCTTCATGCAAGAAGGAAGCCCAGGGAGCAGTGGATCGGTCCCTGGTGGTCCTTTGTAAATGATGAACCAGCCTTATCTGGAAAGAGAGACTGCATAGACTTCCAGGGACAAGGTGGAATTTAGGTAAAAGATAGCGGCAAAGGACCCCTGGACGGTAGAGTCCAGTCAAAGGCGACTATGGGGTTGCGGTGCTCATCTTGCTTTCAGGCTGAGGGAGCCGGTGTTTGTTCACAGACAGCTTTCCGGGTCATGTGGCCAGCAAGACTAAACCGCTTCTGGCGCAACGGAACACCGTGACGGAAACCAGAGTGCATGGAAACGCCGTTTACCTTCCTGCCACAGTGGTACCTATTTATCTACTTGCACTGGCATGCTTTCAAACTGCTAGGTTGACAGGAGATGGGACAGAGCAACAGGAGCTCACGCCGTCGCGGGGATTTGAACCGCTGACCTTCTGATTGGCAAGCCCAAGAGAGCCAGTGTGGTGTAGTGGTTAAGAGTGGTAGATTTGTAATCTGGGGAACCGGGTTTGCGTCTCCGCTCCTCCACATGCAGCTGCTGGGTGACCTTGGGCTAGTCACACTTCTTTGAAGTCTCTCAGCCTCACTCACCTCACAGAGTGTTTGTTGTGGGGGAGGAAGGGAAAGGAGAATGTTAGCCGCTTTGAGACTCCTTCGGGTAGTGATAAAGCGGGATATCAAATCCAAACTACTCTTCTTCTTCTTCTTCTTCTTCTTCTTCTTCTTCTTCTTCTTCTTCTTCTTCTTCTGTGGTTTAGATCACAGTGCCACCTGCGTCCCTACCTGCACACTATGAAGCTATTCTTTCAGGGGAAGCATCTAGAACAGGTCACCTTCTACCTAATTCCTGGATGTGGGTGCCACTGATTCACAGCACCTCTGTCCTGTTGGAATTTAGTTTCTGTTTATTGGTCCTCATCTAACCCATTACAACCTCCAAATACTGGTCAAGCACCTACACAGCTTCACCTCTCCCTGCTAACCATATCTTCCACACACTAGTGCATTTCCCCCCCTTCCTTAGAAGCTTCATGCTGCGTTGCACAAACATGCAAGATATTGTGGATCCTCTACAAACAAAAACAGGGGCATGGACAGAGCTGCATTGCCATTGCCTTCTTGTTTTGTTTGAATAGGGCCAGCACACTCCGTTTCCTGTCTCAATAGTCAGGCCAAAGAGGTGGAACGACAGTCTTGTGTTTCATGAAGCTAGGTCACATGGGGGTTAGCGTTAGCATAGCTCCAAGAATGAGATGTGCTCTTTTGCCCCCCTGTTTTCTCAGAAAGGCCACATTTCTTTCTTTGTGTACACCCTGCAGGTCAGCTTTGCCCTATACGCTCGATCATTAACATTCCGGAAGGAGAATATTTTTCAATTTGCTGTCCCGGGGTGGAACAAGATAGAGGCTATGCCGTACACTGGTATAAGGAAAGAGGAGGAGATTGGACCTTGATTCAAGGAGACAACAGAACTGAGTTGAGCGGGACTTACTTGGAATTTTGGCCAGCTGTGCTGAATGACACTGGAAACTATATGTGTAATTCCAGGTAGGTGGAATATGTACCAAGAGGAGTATATACAGAGATGTTTGGAGGCCTTGGCCTGTTTTGCCAGGTCTTCCTTTCACGTAAAGAAGATGTAAAAAGGTAAAGGGACCCCTGACCATTCGGTCCAGTCGTGGCCGACTCTGGGGTTGTGGCGCTCATCTCGCTTTATTGGCCGAGGGAGCCGGTGTACAGCTTCCGGGTCATGTGGCCAGCATGACTAAGCCGCTTCTGGCAAACCAGAGCAGCGCACAGAAATGCCGTTTACCTTCCTGCTGGAGTGGTACCTATTTATCTACTTGCACTTTGATGTGCTTTCGAACTGCTAGGTTGGCAGGAGCTGGGACCGAGCAATGGGAGCTCACCCCGTCGCGGGGATTCAAACTGCTGACTTTCTGATTGGCAAGTTTAACCCACAGCGCCACCCACGTCCCACAAAGAAGATGTACAGCAGTCCATATTTGCATAGGAAGCTGCCTTTCCTCTAGCTGGGTTTTCTCCCTGCTCTACCTGGAAACACCAGAGTTTGAACCTTCTCAGTGCTTTTTTTTGGTGGTACTCTGTACCAGCACCTCCCCCCTCCAAATCTTGCAATGACCCTTGTGGTCCCTTCCAGCTCTACGGTTCTACTATTCCCTCTCCCACCCTCCCCACCCAGTTCCTAAGGAAAGGCTGATTATGTAGAAAGGCAGGCATCAATGCTTTTATCCCCTTGCCCTTCCCAGCCCCGCAACAAGGCAAGGCTTTAGGGGTCCCCGGCTGTTGCACAAGCACACTGCCTTCCCACCCTTTAGCCGGAATGGAACAGTTTTTTTTAACTGGTGCTGACAGTTCAGCAACACTGCTACTAGCTGTATCTTGGTGTGGTTTCACAGCAGGAGTGAGACTTGCTACACTGCGAATGTCAGTGAAAGGCAGCAACGTCAGGAGAGCCCTCACAGTAAGTTCCTTCACTTCCTTCTCAGTTAGTAAAGCACTAGCAGCTTCCCCTCTTCCGAAAGCAGGCCTTTTCCTGTTATGCATTCTGGATTGGGCAACTCCTTGAAGCAATATCTTTCCTGAATCGTCAAGGGGATGACCCCGTTTGAACCTTAACGTAAGCCTGGCAAAGACATGTGCTGAGAGCGTTGCAGATTGCTTATGTAGCCAGCATCGCGGCACCTCTTTGGCAAACCATGTGCGACAGCAGCTGCATGATTTCCAATAGAAGAGCTGGCTTCTGCCACTCACAAACCACACGAGGACTCGAGCAGTAAGAAGTGCCTGGAATGGTTGGATCCAGTACCAGAACTAATGCAGCACAGTTAGCTTCAGCAGGGGCCAAACAGGCCCATGGCTGCTTCCAAGCAAAGCTAGATGGGAATTTCTGGTTTAGTGCTACGCTCAGTGCAAGAAGCGTCCATCTGGATGCCATTCTGCAACCGGTTATTTTATTTATTCATTTATATACCGCTTAATGCCAAAATTGGGACGCAGGTGGCACTGTGGGTTAAACCACAGAGCCTAGGACTTGCCGATCAGAAGGTCGGCGGTTCGAATCCCTTCAACGGGGTGAGCTCCCGTTGCTCGGTCCCAGCTCCTGCCAACCTAGCAGTTTGAAAGCACATCAAAGTGCAAGTAGATAAATAGGTACTGCTCTGGCAGGAAGGTAAACGGCGTTTCCGTGCGCTGCTCTGGTTTGCCAGAAGCGGCTTAGTCATGCTGGCCACTTGACCCGGAAGCTGTACGCCAGCTCCCTCGGCCAGTAAAGCGAGATGAGCCCCGCAACCCCAGAGTCGGCCACGACTGGACCTAATGGTCAGGGGTCCCTTTACCTTTACTAATGCCAAAATAGTCTCCTGTTAGTTCCCAACCATTTTGGGACGGCAACCCACAAACCCAAATTTACATGGCATGGCGACCCATCAGCTTATTGTGGCATGAATTTTGGATCTTGGATCTTATTTCTTTATTGCTCTGAGTTTTTGTGACTGATGCTCCCTCACCCAAATCCATAGTATGGAAAGTCCAGCTATGTCCCGTTGGTCCTGAATGTGCAGAGCAAACAATATTGATTTTGTACCACATACACACGCTGATGATGTTGCTGCCTAGCAACAACACGGAACACTCTCCTGTGTGAATGATATGACTTGAAAGCAAATAGATGTTATTGTCTAGGGTTTCTCTCAAGGGCTTGGGTGCCAGTCCAGAGAGGCATAAGTTTCCTTTCCAAAATTCTTGGCCAATGAGAGCTGTGATGATGGTGCAGCAGTGACCAGAACATACTGAGGTTGAATCAGTCTAGGGAATCAGTCCAGGTCCAAACATAATCCAAATGCAGGGTCAATAACAAAGGGAGTTGCAGGGAGACTAAGGTGGAATCTCTACACACTTAAAAAACCGCTCTGAAAATGCTTTTTGTAATAAAGCGTTCTTAAAAATGCATTGAATTTTCCATAAGGCTCACTATCGCCATCTGGTGTCACATTGCATATTGCACTTAAAACACACTTAAAACATTTTGTTTGCAGCTGTATAGCTGAGTCCTAGGTCTGAGTTTAAGGAGCCAGAGCCCTGGGTTTTTTCGAGCAACTGAAGGGCTCAAACGGGAGGCATCTTTGCCTTATAGAAAATGCTTTATTTGGCCGTCTGGAGTCCCACGTCATTTTCTCAGTGGCATCTATCAATTCAGTTTTCAGATGGCTTTTTTAAATCTAAAAATGACCCAGGAGCGAAAGTCAAGTTAGGTAACTGTTATCCAGAGATCTTGGGTTGGGGTGCTGCTTCTTGTTTTCTTCCTGCCCCCTTTACTGACACCTTGGTTCTTGTGGCTGTCACAAATTAGGTCACAGAGACCTCACTTGAGTATGTGATTCTGTGCCTTGAAATGAAGTCAGGGAGTGTTTGTGAACGTTCTTTGGAACCTGAATGTCCAACGTGGTTTACACGGCTTCCGATTGGCTACAGGAGCTTCCGGAAGCCAATGGGAAGTCGTGCCTTGGTTTCCGAACATTTTGGAAGTCGAACGGATTTCTGGAACGGATACCATTTGACTTCCGAGATACCACTGAATTGTGATAATGATGAGCTATCACAATCATTGCATTTTTATACCACCCTTCATCTGAAATTACAGGACTGTTAACAACCTAATAACTCAAAATTACTACTACTACTATAAGGTAAAGGGACCCCTGACCATTAGATCCAGTCATGGGCGACTCTGGGGTTGCGGCGCTCATCTCACTTTATTGGCCGAGGGAGCTGGCGTACAGCTTCCAGGTCATGTGGCCAGCATGACTAAGCTGCTTCTGGAGAACCAGAGCAGCGCACGGAAACGCCATTTACCTTCCCACCGGAGCGGTACCTATTTATCAACTTGCACTTTTTTGGTGTGCTTTCGAACTGCTAGGTTGGCAGGAGCAGGGACCGAGCAGCAGGAGCTCACCCCGTTGCGGGGATTCGAACCGCCGACCTTCTGATCGGCAAATCCAAGCTCTGTGGTTTAACCCACAGCGCCACCCGCGTCCTACTTATACTATTACTATAAAATAACAAATTTCCCACCCACCCCAACACCTAATGTATGAATTATTTTGTTTGTTTTGGTTCATTGCTTTTGGTTTCCTACTTTCAATGGCCTAAATGCCTGATTTATTCAGGAACTCTGCCCAAAAAAACATTTACAAATGTACCACTACATATGCAAATATGCGAATGTGGTTTTGTCCTTGTGAGAGAACTGGTCTGTGCAAATGGCTTTTAATGTGTCGTGGGTTCTAGGGCTGGCTCACCCACCCCATGAGGCATGATGGGACGACCTATGGAGCAGGATCTGCAGGGGCAGCTCACCCAGCCTTCAAGGAATACATTTCCCACTTGCGCTGCCTGTGGCGTGCTCCTTGGAGCCCGGATCTGCCGCCTCCTTGGTGACCTCCCCAACTGCCACCTCTACAGCAGGTTCTTGGCAAATAGGAGGTGCTGCTGGTCTCCTCCCACCCTTGTTCCTGATGAAGATCTTCACTCACCCCTTTTCCACTAGCCGGGGAGGGCCGCCATTTTGTGGTTTGCCTCAGGTGTCAAAATATGCCTTGGGCTGGCCTTGTTGGGTTCTCTCATGGAAGGAAAGCGGGACATAAATGTAAGAAAATAAAGAAAGCCACCTTAACACACACACACACACGCTTCTTCCTTCCTCTCAGCAATGGAAAACACAATCCAAAGAAATGGTCTTTGATTGTTCTCCAGAGAAGTAGAACAAGTTGCTTCAATGTCAACCACGTGTCATCTGCTATACATGGAATTCTTGGAAGAACCTATCACCTGAAATGCAATGATACATACCACAAGGCAAATGTTGCCAAGATAACATGGTACAAGGTATTTATTAACACAGCTTTCTCTGGAAATTGAGTTCCTTTACCTTTTAAATAATTAAATAATAATTAATTTTTGTCGGGGGGTGGGGCTGGAGGGCTGGAACAGATATGTACCCAAAAATCCACCTATATCTGTAATCATAAAGTTGCAGCCATTTCTAATCCAGTTTATTAATCACATCTTACACTGTTACTGGATCTGCAACAAACAAACAAACAAACTTTGTGGTGAGTTTCCCCTCCCTTTTCCAGACTAACTACAAGGTTGTGACGAAATATTTATCATGACAAGCAGTTTAGACTCAGGGGCCAGCAAACTTTTTCTGCAGGGGGCCGGTCCACTGTCCCTCAGACCTTGTGGGGGCCGGAGTATATTTTTTGGGGGGGAAATGAACAAATTCCTATGCCCCACAAATAACCCAGAGATGCATTTTAAATAAAAGGAAACATTCTACTCATGTAAAAACACGCTGATTCCCGGACCGTCCGCAGGCCAGATTTAGAAGGCGATTGGGCCGGATCCAGCCCCCAGGCCTTAGTTTGCCTACCCATGGTTTCTTTAGAGCAAGACAATGAAGGCAGAATGGAAGGGGAGGGTTGGCTCACCACATTGTTTGCGTACTTGTTCATGTACTGTATTTTGAAGTTTTATGCTGCTTCTAAGACACCTTTTGGAACATCTCCACTTTAAACAGGACTGCAGGAAGCTCCCTCAAACAAAGGAGGAGTGGTCTATCGATGAGCTAACAGCGGGAGATTCTGGAAACTTCACATGCGTGAAGTCATTTGTTCATGCAGGAAAGAGATACAATGCTACCAAAACAATAGGACTAACAGTGGAAGAAGGTGAGAGGCGGAGCAAAAAATAGGACGATAGTTTGCTTTGCATTAAACCCTTTAAATCTCAACTTACCCAGGAGCCCCTATACATACTAGCAGGTGTCAATTTTATGCCCATTTGTGGCACGTGGCTGTGCGCTGAATCTTTTAAGTGCTTAGCAATGCTGCTGTTTACTCAGTATTTGATTTTTAGGGTCTCCCATGTGTTAAAAAAGCAAGGGAGCTGGGGCTTGCGGCTATAGTGGAGGCCATTTTGTGTGGATAATACATGGCAGGGGCCTACAGTCTGCCTAACTTTTGGTTTCTGGAGACCCTCTGCCTCCTCTCTGTAGGCTCAGCTGCCATCAACACTCTTTAGCAACACGCGGCTAATAAAGAATGAGCAATAATCAATAATAATGTAGTGTTTCACAATAGCAAATAGTACGTACGTGATGTTTCAAAGTACATTAAATCAAAATAATAATCGTAACCACTCACTATAACAGAACATCACGATTAAGGTCAGATGCCTTTAAACAAGTGCATAGCAATTAAGGCCACATAGGTACATCAAAAAATAGTGGACGACAGAAGTGCCTGGCGTGCTCTGGTCCATGGGGTCACGAAGAGTCGGACACGACTAAACGACTAAACAACAACAACAGGTATATCAAATAACAAAGGATCAGCAGCCTTTACATGTACCAGTGTCTGCTGATCCTTTGTTATTTGATGTACCTGTAGGTAGACATTTTAATCGCTGATGAAGATTCATCTTCAAAACAGTGTGTATATCCGGAAAAACTGTTCTTCTGTTTTCTGCTGGAGCACCTGTCAACGCTTTTTTACAGGACATTGATTGACTGTTTAAAGGCATCTGACCTTAATCACAATGTTCTGTTATATTGACTGGTTATGCTTACTGTTTTGATTTAACATACAGTGGTACCTCGGGTTGAGAACTTAATTCGTTCCAGACGTCCGTTCTTAACCTGAAACCGTTCTTAACCTGAGGTACCACTTTAGCCTCTCACTGCCACCGGTGCGTGATTTCTGTTCTCATCCTGAGGTAAAGTTCTTAACCCGAGGTACTATTTCCAGGTTAGCGGAGTTTGTAACCCGAAATGTTTGTAACCTGAGGTACTATTTGTATGTACTATTTGTTATTGTGAAACACTACATTATTATTGATTATTGCTCATTCTTTATTAGCTGCGTGTTGCTTCTGGCTGGTCTAGTTTTGCCGTTCTGCAACACAGGGGATTTGCTTTGTTGCATCAACACTCTGTAAGCTGACAGGTTCCTGTCAGGCACTTTTTGTCAGCCCTGGATTTATGTGAATGATGATGATGATGATGATGATGATCACAATAATAATAATAATACTTTCAAATCATATAACAACAATTATAACAACAACATTATTTCACCCAATTTCAAATATGTCAACATTAGACTGAACTGTTAGGGGAAAGGATGGCTTAAGTAACGTGCTGTTTTGCATCCCCAAGGTCTTGAGGAAATCACAAAGCCTGGGCTAATTGGATCCGAAAGTTATACCATCCTAACGGAAATAGGTACCTCTTCCTTTCTCTAAAATGAGAGAATGTTTTGTAAGGCTAGTTGTGTAAGTGTGTGTGGTTGTATGGGCTGGTTGTGTGGCATGCAAGTGAAGACAGCAGGCATTGCCACATTTGTCCCAAAATGTGTAGATGGGTAAGACATTACATCCTGAGATACACTGTGGGGACAGAGTAGACGTATTTCATGAACCATGTGGACTGCCTATTGCAGATTATGCATGCATGCATGTATTACAGATAGAATTTTTTTACAAAATAAATTTAAAGTGACTTATGTTGATTTGAAACACAGAACTGCCATAACCTAAACAAACCATTATTATTTATTTACAATTCATTCATCATTTTGGTTGGCCCTGTAGAGTGCAAGTTTTCATAGCTGTTATCTGCACAAGAAACTTATGGGAGACATTTTAACTGCATATTTAACCAAACCATGCATATCACTTCCATCTCTGTGGAAGATGGCAACCTACGGCAGTTTCCTGATGAGGCAGTATCCTTCTGAAATCTTGGAAAAAACTTGAGCAAACACCCTTAAAAACTTAATAGAGGACTACAAAATAATGGGAGTTGGAAGCAAAGCAACTGCTCCCAGGCCTTTGGGAAAGGGTGAGGATTTTAATGGAGCCATTCGGCTGGTATTGTTTATTGTCTGTTTTGATGCAGCCGGAGGACTCTTTACTTTTAAGGTGTGGGTTGTTAGTTATATTCAGAGTAGACCCATTAAATTCAGTGGACATGACAAACTTAAGTCCACTAATTTCAATGGGTCTGCTGTGAGCACAATGTGGTTGAACTTAAACCACTGTCATCGAGGAAACGCTGCTCTGAGTATGACTTAGCTAGATACCACCCAGTGGGGTTTTAGTTGTATAGTTTTAGGAATGTTTGTATTCCTGCCGTGGGCCTAGATAGTGGAAGGTGGGCTAGAAATTTCACAAATAAATAAAAACAAATTAGGCAATCATTTCCGCTTTAATAACAATTGGGTGTATTTATTAAAGGCCCCCTAAATTATTAATTTTGAAACATGTTCTGCTTAGGTAAAAAGGAAATCCTCAACTGCACAGCTTTTTTAGGTTACTCTAACAATGTAGTTGGAGACTTTCTGCTTTATTGGTCACATCAAGATGACATGATAGGTCGCTGTGAGGACAACAACTTGCCATGTGAAATGGAATACCATTAGTAAGTAATGTTGGTAGGAAAATACTGTGTATCAATGTTTATATAGTGCAATCCTTGGCATTTTGGTATGTTGTGATTTCCTGTGCTCTCTGCCTTGCACTCTTACCTAACCAGCTAAAATTAAATATAACCATAGGGCTTCTTTGTAAGACAGACACAAACTGGTGTTTAATAGCCAGCCGTGTCCATGGCAGGATCTAGAATCAGTTTAGATTGAAAGCAGGATGTTTACATGGATTGTTCCAGATTAACGAAAAACTACATTTTTGGTGCTACAAATGGGTTAGTGTGTAGCTAGCCTGAGCCTATGGGACGCGGGTGGCGCTGTGGGTTAAACCACAGAGCCTAGGACTTGCCGACGGGGTGAGCTCCTGTTGCTTGGTCCCTGCTCCTGCCAATCTAGCGGTTCAAAAGCATGTCAAAGTGTAAGTAGATAAATAGGTACTGCTCCGGCAGGAAGGTAAACAGCGTTTCTGTGCGCTGCTCTGGTTCGCCTGAAGCGGCTTAGTCATGCTGGCAACATGACCCGGAAGCTGTATGCCGGCTCCCTCGACCAATAAAGCGAGATGAGCGCCGCAACCCCAGAGTCGGTCACGACTGGACCTAATGGTCAGGGGTCCCTTTACCTTTACCTTTAGCCTGAGCCTGGATTCAACCAAGTGTCTAGAGGATTGGGAAGGTGTACAATACAACAAAATTATCGCTTTCCATTTTGTGCTCTTCTCTGCAACTATCTGCCTATTTGTGTTTGCATTCCTCTCACTGTCTCTTCCACCTTTCTTTAATGTTCATATTGTCTGCGTTATCTGTGAACTGGTTATAGATTCCCCCCTGTCTTTAGATTGGATAAGGTACACTTCTTCTTTTCCCTTTTTCTTCCTATTCTTCTTTCAATAAATTTATACACTGCTTGATTATGAAAACAAACAAAAAAACCTCAAAGTGGTTTACAAAAGGATAAAATAAAATAAAAATGAACAGCAACAATACTGAAAAGGATTTTTAAAAAATCAATATTATAGCATTGTGGCAGCGGTATCTAATGTTTCCCGTCCGATGTTATCGGACTACAACTCCATCAGTCCTGGGCCAGCATGGCCAATGATAAGGAATGATGGGAGTTGTAGTCAAACCACATCTTGAGGATACCGTATTAGCTATCCCTGCATGGTGTTACTTCACTAGACCTCTCTCACTTCAGCTTGGCATTTGCTGGCTTGTGATGTTGCCCGACCATAAGACACACCTAGTTTTAGAGGAGGAGAACAAGAAAAAAAATATTCTCTCCCTCTCTGCACAGAGCCCCTTCAGCGAAGCGGCAGGAGAAACAGAGCCCCTTCCGTTTCTCCTCCCACTTCGCTGAAGGGGCGCTGCGCAGCTCTCCCTCTCTGTGGCAGCGCCCCTTCAGCGAAGTGGCAGGAGAAGTGGAGCACCTTCCATTTCTCCTCCCGCTTCGCTGAAGGGGTGCTACACAGAGAGGGAAAGCTGCGCAGCGCCTCTCCAGCGAAGCGAAGCCAGGTGAACAAGAGGGATCGGTGTGCACCGACCCCTCTTGCTCTCCTGGCTTCAGCGAAAGCAACACGAAGCCTCCGGAGCGCAGCAGGAGCTCCCCTTACTTTTTAGGAGGGGGAAAGTGCGTCTTATAGAGCAAAAAAATACGGTGTTTTTGTTTTACTTTGGACTTTGTATGTCATATTCTGTATTTACATTTTGCCTGGAAATGGCAATACTGTGGCAAACACCCCATACATTTAAAGCACATATAAATCAAACATTCACCCTGCAAAGAATCCTGGGAACTGTAGTTTACTCCCTTACAGAGCTGCAATTCCCAGTACCATTAACAATTCCCAGGATTCTCGCTTTAAATGTATAGTGCGTAAGCAGTCCAAAACAGGTGGTATAAAAAAATATATATATCCATAAATACATGTTCATGCTAAATGAAAGATCATAAAATGGGTTTATAAAGTAGTGCCTTTCAAAGATTGTGTGAACTATGATAGGATCATCCCTGTTAATGACAGAACTTCCCCCATAAACAGTGACTGAAGGAAACATGGAAATGCCACACTAAATATCTAGGGTTGTAGCCAACATTAATCATACTGAGAGCGGGCCCTTTGAAATTAATGGACCCAAGTTAATCAGGTCCATTTGTTTCAATCTGTCTACTTTGAGCATTACTAATATTGGGCACAGCCTCTAGTTTGGAAGTACCCAATGAAGCTGCAATGGGAACATTTATTTAGTTGGAGAGGGTGGTTTATTTCTCAAATTACTGTAGCACAGTCACAAAGGGCTCTTCTTCTGTTATGGATTCTTGATCTGAGATTCCTGCATTCCAGGGGGTGGACTACAATTCTATTATTCTAAGACTTTCTTCAGTGATCTGCCGTTGAAGATTTGTATCCTGAAATTAGATTACAAGAATCAAGCTGACCGATGAAAGACGTCTCACATTTTTTTCTTTTCTTCTAACAGTCAAGAAGAAGGGAAAAACTATTCTTTGAAGCAGTTGTGGATCAAGAGTGTTAAAGAGGCGGACATCAATTTTTCATACACCTGCAATTTTGTGGCAGCTGGTTACCCTGAGAAACAAATAGTTACACTGCAGAAAGGTACTGTATGGTTTTCTTCTAATGCCCGGCACCCACAAAGAATATTAACTGGGGCCCGTCTGTGGACCAGATACAATGGAAGTGCAAAGCACTTATGCAAGGAAAATCAGAGCTTTTGTGTGGAAGCCTAAGAAGTAGTCCTCTGGGGGCTTCAAATTGTTGATAGTACAACAATTTGTGCAGTACTGCAGTACTTAGTATTTCTGTTTCAATTGAGTGCTCCCTTCTTTTAGAATTAGTTTTACCTTATTTGAAAGGAAGTGGGAAATAGCAACGGCAAGGGTAGCTCAGTCAGTAGAGCATGAGACTCTTAATCGCAGGGTTGTGGGTTCAAGCACCATGCTGGGCAAAAAAATCCCTGCCTTGCAGTGGGTTGGACTGGATGACCTTTGTGATCCCTTCCAGCTGTTCAATTCTATGATTCTATGTTTCTGCCCGCGGCTGTCTCTCTTAGCTGACAAAATTGGTGATAGTTCCCTAATTGGATCTAGCATCCTGGTGTTGGTGTGATCCAGGAAAAAGACTAGTGCCGGATCTCACAGCACAGGTCAACATTTGTAGTGGCAAATACATACAGGGCTGCTAGTTTTTCTTGGCAATCTTGGTCTGAGATTGTAATAGACATGCTTTCCCCCCAGCTGGACATTTTGACTCATGCAGTCTTGCTGTGGAGACAGCTTGTCAGGAAGAATTGGTGGGGAGGGGGGAAAGTGTTAAGCACCCACCAGTTCTCTCTTTCAAATGCTCATGCTCCTCCTCACAATCACATTATCTCAACAAACATGGGGTTTTTTTTTGGGAGGGGCGCTTTGGTTGCCTCTTGGATGTTGACTGTAAATGAACAAGAACAAATGGATTTCATGGGGCTCAGTTTGTTTGAGAGCAAACGAAGCATGAGCTCACAAATTGAGGATAGATAATATCATCATCATACTGTAATAATAATAATAATAATAATAATAATAATAATAATAATAATACTATTTATACCCCACCTATCTGGCTGGGTTTCCCCAGCTACTCCAATCGGCTCCCAACAGAAGATTAAAAACACAACAAAAGATCAAACATTTAAAACTTCCCTAAACAGGGCTTGGATCATAGGATCCTGCTTACACCTTGGGGCAGAAACAAGAGGCACGACAACATTTGTTATCCCTTTTTCTTCCTAAAAACATACTGGGCAAACACTTAATAGCAGAGTGTTCCAGCATCAGTATAGACCAGGGGCTCCCAATGTGGTGCCCTGTAGATGTTGTTGAACTCCAGTTCCCATCAGCCTCAGCCATGGGGATTATGGGAACTGTAGTGAGGCAACACTGTGGCGGGAGGGGTATGTTGGCTACCCTTGAGATAGACTTATTGCAGTTTTTCTTGAGAAGAGTACTTACTTGGAGGGCTCTGTCTCAATCGTGTGTTGCCTCCTTTTGTTTTCCAGAAACGAATCGAGACTTACCCTTGCGGGTCTTTACCCCTGGAATTATCGCAGTGATCTTGCTTTCCCTTGTTTCTGTTCTTGCGGTCGTTCTGTCTGTGATATTCAAAGTTGATCTTGTTTTATTGTACAGAGATGTCACAGGGAAGGATGAAACGATTGGAGGTAAAACATAGCAATGTTTGGTTTAGGGTGGGGTGGGTGGAGAGCTGTTTTGCCTGAGCAAAAATGAATTTTGTAGGTCGTGGTTGGGGAGGCAGACAGGGTTGTATTTGCTTTTTAAGCTTTTCTATTGCAGCATTCCTTGGTTTGCAAAGGGAAGGACCTTTCAGTTTATTAGGCTGCATGGAATGAAGGATAAGTGGCTACCTTCAAGAAATGCAGGAGGTGCACAGTCAGTTCCAGTAATTGCACAAGGAATGTCTTTTTAAAAGTAGACAGAACACATAAATATTTCACGGGTGAATTAATTTTTTTCAGATGGAAAAATATATGATGCATTTGTGTCTTACTTGAAAGACTGTGTACCCATATGTGATGAAGAGAGAAAATTTGCACTGAACATATTGCCCACAATATTAGAAAAACATTTTGGATACAAACTGTGTATCTTTGAACGGGATATCTCTCCTGGAGGAGGTAGGTGGATGTGCTGTTACTGTCTTACTGAGTAATTTTTGACAATAATAATAATAATAATAATAATAATAATAATAAATTTACATGCCGTCCAACTGACTGGGTTGCCCCAGCCACTCTGGGCAGCTTCCAACAAATTAAAACATCAAACAACAAACATTAAAAACTTCCCGATACAGGGCTGCCTTCAGATGTCTTCTAAGTCAGATAATTGTTCATTTCCTTGACATCTGATGGGAGGGCGTTCCACAGAGCGGGTGCCACTGGTTCCCTGTAACTTCGCTTCTTGCAATGAGGGAACCATCAGAAGGCCCTTGGAGCTGGATCTCAGTGTCCGGGCGGAACGATGAGGGTGCAGATGCTCCTTTAGGTATACAGGGCCAAAGCTATTTAGGGCTTTAAAGGACAGCACCAATAACCCCTTTTCATGGGTGTTAACCCTGATTCTTTTTTGAAAAATTTAAATGCATACCAAAATGAGGGATGTTTTGTAGCAGAATTTAGCCATGCAAGGTGTACTTGAGCAGTTAGGAGTTATGTTAGAAGACATCTGTTAATCTATTTATAAGTCAAATCTAGTTGCTCATAATTTTCAGATTTGTAATGAACTCTGACTTGGATCCAACTGACTTCAGTATTTTCACAATTCAAACCAACGTCAAGTTAATTTATATTTTTTCTACCTTATGGGCTGCATAAGCAGCCAAACTCATCTTTGTGCATGCTGAGTTGTTTGGAAACAAACAGATTGCGTATACAAAGGAATAAGAACAAAACCATTTGCCCTGCACGGGTGTGGGATGACTTAATATTGTCCCCTTTACTCATGTTTTGCCAAGGGAACCAATCATTTTAGAAGTCTGGACCCGAACTATTTCTTGCTGGAAGAAATAGCCTTATCAGCTTATATGTTTTCAACTATCTCCTATTGGGCTTTGATTCACATTACTTCCCCCATCGTCCTTGAGGTCCAGAGAGAACGTTGGGCATATGAAACCGCATTATACTGAGCTGGACCACCCAGTATTATCAATTTTGACAGACAGGAGTCCCCTGCTACATTAGATCTGACAGATATATTAAAATTTTGGAGGAGAGAAATGCCTTTTTTCCCCGCTGCATTATTCTAAGGCGCTTTTCAGATTGAGGAAAAGTGGACGCTTAGCCCTTTTACCGGGTGGCTGGCCTTGGCCGCCTGGGCAGCTGGCTCAAGCTCCCGCCCGCTGCTTCAATTCATATTGGCCAATGGGTGTCCTCCTCTTGGAGGGGGGGCAGTGCCTCGCTGGCTGAAAGGGCATTACAAACGTTTGTTATCGGGGGAAAATGTAATATCTTGTCCTTCTGTAATGGAAGGGGGAGGGAAGCCTACCAGAGAAGGGCGAGTCCTTGGCCTTGTTACCCTTAAGCGTGACACAGATGTTTGTTTTGCTGGAGAGCGGTGCTGGTGGTTTATTCATCTGTGCCAAACAAGAATCTGTGACCATAGTAGGTGACGGTTTTATCGTTTGGTTAACAAGTGGTGTTGATTTAAAGGAAGAATGAGTTGCTTCTGATAATATCGCAGACCAGGTATGAAGTTCTGCCGCTTACATGCCCACATGCCTTCCTGCCTTCGTAGAAGTCGTTTCCTCACAGTTTCTCAGAGACCTCAGAACATCACATTAGAGTTGTGCAGAGTTCATGAAGGGCAAAAGAAAATGGCTGGTGTCCTTTAAAGTATTTGCAAACTGCCTTTTTCTTCTTTGACTCCAGGACTCTGTCATGATGCTGAAAATAGACTTCTTAGTTGAAAATGGACTTCTGACTTTAAATTCTTAATTCTAAGTGTGGGATGGGGAAGAGGAGGCTGAAATTGCTTGGTTGTGAGTGAAAGGCATTCTGAACATGCCCAGAATCACTCACTATTGCCGTTTACTGGAATTTTTGCTTAAGAATTCTTTGTCATGAACTCGCTGACTAATTGTGGGCTAGTCACTTATTATTGTGCCTCACAGTGTTCTCCAGCTGTGAAATGTGATACGACCCATAGTTATATAGTTATATTGTTACACACACAAAAAATATATACATAATCTGTATTCTAAAATTAGAAATAATTCACTTTAAACTTTTCCATCCTGCTTTGTGGCAGAAGAGACCGCATTAGCACATTTCCACAGGCCTCTCATGTTTGTAATTCATGTAATGTATTAGTAGACCAATGCTATTTCAGATGTTTCCATTATAACTGCTCCCTCTTCTGCCTGCAGCTGCTGTTGATGATGTCCAGTCATATATTGACAGAAGTAGAAGATTAATCATTATACTGAGTAAGAACTACATCTCTGACAAAGTCATGTTTGAGCTTGAAACCGGGCTTCACAAGGCCTTGGTTGAAAAGAACATTAAAGTGATACTAATAGAATATATGCCTATACGTGACTTTGATTTCTTGCCCAAGTCTTTGAAACTTCTTTCACCAAGCCACGTGGTGAAATGGAAAGAAGAGAAGTCACTCGCTTTAAATTCCAGGTTTTGGAAGAAGCTCCGCTATGCGATGCCTGCTAAGCCCTCCTCAGTGAAGGAACCGGATATTTTGTAAGATGTACATTCCAGGACAGAGCATGAGCAATTCAGCCACCCCTGAAGGGCTTCACTCAGATTTCATCTTAGTAAGGCTACTAGCTTTATATCAGAGTCCCTTTAGAACAAGATGTTGCTACAGGCTGCTGACTGCAATTAGAGTGGCTATATTTGGGAAGTTTTGTGTCTCATATTCCCAAAACAAAATGTGTCAGAAAATATACCGTGTGATCTTTAAGTAGATGCAGCACTCTCTGTAAGCCAACTCAACATAGGACTCAATAGAGAATATTTTGTCTCCTTATATGGACAGATGTCATTCATAGGTTTGCTGCCTTCAGTGTTGCAGACCCTGTCCTGTGGAACTCCTTGCCAAGAGAGGATCAGCAGGAAACACTCCTGCCTTCTTTTATATATCTCCTAAAATTGTAATATTCAGGCAAGCCTTTGCAATGTGAAATTGTTTTTACCAACCTGTATTTATTGATTTTTTAAAAATGGTGTTTATAATTATTTTATTTTTTTTAAAAATCTAATAGTAATTTTGTATGCTGTATATTGCCTTGCTGTATTTTTTATGAAACTGCAGTCTATAGATATTTCCAAAAAAATAAATGTCTGCATCTGTGTGCACACACTCCAACTGTGGTGCTATTTTTACTTTCAAAAGACACGCTGGGTGGGAACAAGATATTTGTAGAAGTATAATATATGTTACCTTGGTTTGTTATCTCACTTTTAAAACCAGACATTGCTGAATCTGATAAGGAGCTACAATAAACCACAGTGGATTAGCTATCTGTCTTCAGATTTATTGAATAATGAAAAGAAAATGTCAATAGTATTACTCTTGGTTGCAATAATACCTTGGTGCTGTATCAAGTATGCAAAGAATGGCTAAACTTTCTACAATTATCTAGTACTGTACCAATTGATTTTCAAGTAGCAAGGTGTCTGCTGACTGGGTTTACTCACTAGGAGGTATTCCATTTTGCCATTTCAAGCCGCAAGCCTTTTTCACCTGCCCATTTCTCGCTGTCTGTACATATACGTACTACAGCACTCCTGAAAAAAGCACAAGAGCAAAGAAGTTGAACGAGATGCAAGGTTGAAATGCCAAAACAGAAAAGTTGCAGGACTCTGGTGCACAACAAGTGAATGTGCAAGCCCCGTTGGTAGGGTCGCCATATTTTGAAGAGCAAAAAAAGAGGACACATTTTATGACTTCTACTTTTAACTATGGGTTGCTATGACATCTCTAATGTTACACACCTGTGAGAAAGAGGACCTGTCCTGGAAAAAGAGGACACATGGCAACCCTGCCATTGGAGAAAAGAAATTGAAGGCTGGTGCAGGGAACAGGAGTCTGAATAGCTGGGGCAAGGTTCGAGGATGGGATTATAATCCATTGTTTGGTATGAAACAAGTCAATTAGTTTCCCTACTCTCTATAGCAAACAGTTCAACTTTCCTATTGATGAGAGATTGTTGTATTTACATTGCACCCATTTCCAGCTTCAACAGCAGTCTATAGGGGGCAAGCACACAACATTTTACCTGATCACAATCATATAAATGCTGGGCTTTGTGGTTTTATGCTTGGTGCAGGAAGCAGCCTTCAGACTCATTAACCACAGCCTCCTTAGGGTGAGGAATGCTTATCGTGACTACATGTCATCTGGTAGTTTAAACTGTTGAGTCGCTTCAACTGGACAGAAGTTCATTCTTTTCATATTAACTAGATACTACAATGACAGATAAAGCATGGATGTAAACAATCTGTATATTCCGGTGCCAGACTGGCACCAACCATATACCACATTTGGGTGGGTGGGTGGGTGGGGGTTATTGGGTTGTTTTTATTTTGATTATGTGTTTTCTGGTTTTATCTAGTGATTTTTATCTTGGGAACTGCCCTGAGACCTGCAGGTATAGGGCGGTAAACAAATCTAATAAATAGTAATAAAATAATGCAAAATAATATTGAAGGGGCTAAAATGCTTTTGTTTGTAGTGCATTGTTTATATTCTGGAAGTGGCAGCTGCCTATAGGTGTTGTTTATAATGCATGAGCTAATCCAGGCTTCCTCAACCTCGGTCCTCCAGATGTTTTTGGCCTACAACTCCCTTGATCCCTAGCTAGCAGGACCAGTGGTCAGGGATGATGGGAATTGTAGTCTCAAAACATCTGGAGGGCCGAGTTTGAGGAAGCCTGAGCTAATCTGTCATTTTGGATTCTGTTTCCCTTTTTTCAATTCCTAAATTCTCCACATTTCCTCAGCCATTTGCATTTTTTAATAAAAAGAAATCCTTGTGAAAATTCATCAGCATGTTTATCCACATTTCTGCTATTAAACATGTTTGTAAGCAATGTTGCCTAATATGCAATATTCTTAAAAAGCGGTTTCCCCTAAAATAATGAATTTTTGTGTGCTATTTTCACCAATATGTAGCATTTTTTCTCCAGTATATAGATTTTTGTAGACATTGCTTGGCTGAAGGAACTGCGTTTCAAAATTTGGACAAGTGTGAATTTCAGTTTGCCTTTAAATGGAAACTGAATCAGATGTCTCCCCCATCCCTAATTTTCATTATTAATCCATATGACCTGCCCTCAATGCATTTTTATGTACAGCTTACAAAACAATCATGCAATATCTGAAAATACAGAATAGACTTCTTAAAACAGCGCAGTAAAAATAGCAACATAAAACTTTCCCTAGTGGGGACAGAATAAATACTTTTTAGTTTGGCTTAAAATACAAATTTAAAAGGCCTGTGTAAATAAAAAGGTCTACAGGTGGTACTGTAAAGAAGGTGCCAGATTAGTCTCTGTGGGAAAGCTATTACCAGTGTGCCACCACTGAGAAGACCCTCTCTGTTGTAACCACCAATTTCATTGACTTGATGGCAAATTGAGCTGCGCATCCAGAGAGTATCTTGGGTAGGTATATAGAGGAGAACTGTAGTTTCTACCCACAGAGCTATAGTGCCCAGCGCCTTTAAGAACCTCCTGTTCCCATGATTCTTTGGGGGGAAATCATGTGCTTCAAATGTAGGCTGTGGGTCTTCAGTTTTTCAGGCTTCCTCTTTCACTTGCAAAGTCAGAATGATGGTACTGTTGAGATCATGCCCACAGACTCTTTTTATCAGTATTGAGGCTCCCTCAGAGGCCAGAAGCCTGTCTGTAATTTGATAATTTATTGTACAAGGATGAAAAGGCAAGAGGGAGAGGAATGCTTAATACTTTCAACTTTTCCCACCCTTACAGTTGTACCTTGGATCCTGAACGCCTTGGTACTCAGATGGTTGGTTCCCGAAACCCGGAAGTGAACGTTCTTTGGAACCCGAACGTCCGACGGGGCTTTTGTGGCTTCCAATTGGCTGCAGAAGCTTCCTGCAGCCAATCGGAAGCCGCGCTTTGGTTTCCGAACGTTTTGGAAGTCGAATGGACTTCCGGAATGGATTCCGTTTGACTTCCAAGGTACGAATGTACATTGAAATAAAAGTAACTGGGTAATATGCTTTTCATTCCAGGGCAGACTTGCAACGATCTATTGCTCAAGTGTGAAAGGGCAAGAGAGGATTCACTTAGTGCCTTTCCCAATTGTCAGAAATGACCGACTCACATTGTGTGTCACTTCAGAGGCCCAGAACTAGATGCAAGTTGGTGACCTGGGAGGATGAACTGAAGGGAGGGGGAAAGTGGGGCAGGAGAGAGAAAACACTGCAAAGGAAGCGTATGTTGGTCTACAGCCTTCATTACCAATTGCAAATTTAGGAAGTGTAAGGGGAAGCAATGTTGTTGCAAGCCTGAACACTTTTCAAACAGTAGCAATGTGTTGTAACCATGTTTCTTACGCTGTTTTCCCCTGCCCTTTTTACAAGAAAAGTTGCTGGAAATGTGTACTTGATGAAAAAAAAGAAAGAAAGAAGAGGTGACGAGGCAAAGGAAATTCTGATTGAAAGGAAACTCACACGCTATATCCATTTGAGAGCTAACCACAGCTCTTAACACAGCTGCGTAGATGCAGAGGTAAGATAGCCTGCTCAGATAACAGTCTCTTTTCAGAATGCAAAATTTTTAATATTATTGTTCTCTGACTACTTTTCAGCAAACCTTTCTATTTACTTAAGCTGAAGAGGTTTATTTTCTGAATGCCTATTTCTCTTGTTTTGCCACTGAGAATTATATTTCAGGGGTGATCGTGATCCCCTGCTTTCCATAAGTGAATGGAAAGAAATCTATGGGGTTTTGCAGAGGGAATATCACATAGTGTTAAAAGCCTCTTTATAATAGCTGATTTATGTGCTGGCATCCTTTATTACAAAATGTGAAGTAAAAGTAAGGCTCTCTGTAAATGGGTGATGTAAATGCTACCTGGACAGTCCCCTCCCTGAGTTGTTTAGTGGAGAATTTAAATTATAATCAAATTTACCTCCCCCTTTTAACATTCTACTCTAATGCTGTCTTGCAATAAATATTCCGAAACTGTAATACTGGCTTTGTATTCCAATACGCCAGTCACAGATGTTCATTTCACCATAATACCCTAATAGAGCGATTTGATGCACGTCTGTCTGAAATTCAGAGGGACTTACTTGCCTGCAAGGGGGCAGGAAGTGTACATAGGGTTGCAGCCTAAGATTTCTGCAATACCTTTTTTAGTATTTTGAATGAAAGCTACAATACCATCCTATTTCAGAAGACAATTATTTATTATTTCATTTTATTTATTAGATTTATATACCGCCCTTCAACATAAGTTCTCAGGGAGGTGCACAGAATAAAATACAGGACAAAAACAAGTAAATAAGCTTTTCAGTCTATTTATTAGATTTAGATATATAATCTTAAATGACAGATAAAGATGCCACTGGGTTCGCCAGTGAAACATTTCCTTGCGATGTAGAAAGAGCAATTATTTACCTTAGTATTTTGTAGCACCCCGTCAAAGTAATAAACATTGTCTTTCTCAGCAATCCCATAGGCAACACAGTATCTGTGGTTTTCCCCATATTATAGATGGTGAATGCCAATTGATAGCAGAACCCAGAAAATCCAATGGCTAAACCAAACTCAGAACCCGGAACTTCCAGGTTTATAGAGGGTGCTCTTAATAACCACACCAAACTTGTACTTGTTATGGGAACATTGGTTCACCTAGATCAGTATTCTTATTTTTTTAAAAAAAACACAATAAATTTTATTTGGTTTTTAAATAAATGCAAATACAATTGCCTAGACTGAACGCTTTGCATAAGCCCCTACTTTTACATAAATCTGTCTCTGGGTTTTCTGACAAAAAGCTTTTCACAGTCCTAACTGGAGTTGGCAAGGATCAAACTTGGGAACATGCACCTAGCCTCCTATCAGCTGCAATGCTGTGCTTACCAGGAGGGAGAGGGGTGAAGCGAGAGCCACTGCTGCTCCTGCCTTGCACTGAGCTTCCAACCACCACACCCTTCCTCCCATCTCTGCCAGTAAGCACTGTGTGATGCAGTCAAGGGGAGGTCAGGTGTGTGGCAATACACTTCCTTGCCAGCTGTCATTGTGGGGACCTGCAGAACAGCTGCTCTATCCCTGAACTCTGGCACTTAAATCTCTATAGGTGGTTCTACAACTGAGAGCCAGTGTGGTGCAGTGGTTAAGAGTTGTGGACTCGTAATCTGGTGAACCGGGTTCGCGTCCCCGCTCCTCCACATGCAGCTGCTGGGTGACCTTGGGCCAGTCACACTTCTCTGAAGTCTCTCAGCCTCACTCACCTCACAGAGTGTTTGCTGTGGGGGAGGAAGGGAAAGGAGAATGTTAGCCGCTTTGAGACTCCTGAAGGGGAGTGAAAGGCGGGATATCAAATCCAAACTCTTCTTCTTCTTCTACAACAATGTTCTTCAAGGTTTACTCTGGAGAACCCTGAGATTCCTTGGAAGCTTCTGGGTGGCGGCTGATGCTTCCTTGAAAGGCAGACTGCTGAACAACCACCTTCTCCTGTAATGTGCAGCTACGGTGTGTGTGTGTGTGTGTGTTCAGTGACTGCTGGGCCTGAGCCAAAACAGCAGTCCTACTTTGGGACATTCTGGGTTTTTTTTGTTTTTTTAGATTTATTTTTTTTATTAGGAATTTAGACAGAGCATGTTATATTAAAACATATCATCCTTAATTCCTGACTTCCTATCTCTGGTTTCTCTATAAATGCTATTCTCTGCATGTTTCAAAATTGTATAAATCCTTAATTTGTCTAACTGGTTATTATCAATAAAAAGTTTGTGAGTGTTTATTCAAAGCCTGCCAAGGATTCCAATTCACTTTGTTTGATCTTTAGATACTTTGTACAGTGGTACCTCAGGTTAAGTACTTAATTCATTCCTGAGGTCCGTTCTTAACCTGAAACTGTTCTTAACCTGAAGCACCACTTTAGCTAATGGGGCCTCCTGCTGCTGCCACGCCGCTGAAGCCCGATTTCTGTTCTTATCCTGAAACAAAGTTCTTAACCTGAAGCACTATTTCTGGGTTAGCGGAGTCTGTAACCTGAAGCGTATGTAACCCGTAGCATATGTAACCCGAGGTACCACTGTAAAAGGTTCCCTTTCATCCTTAAAGTCACAGTTATCCTTGTCCGGTAATTTATGTGTCAGTTTTGCCAGTTCTGCATAGTCCATCAATTTCTCTTGCCATAATTCTTTATTCGGGATTTCCTCGTTCTTCCATCCTTGTGCTATTAAGACTCTCGCCGCTGTTGTCGCATACATGAAGATATTTTTCAACTTCTTTGGCATACTTTGGGACATTCTGGATATTTTTCAAGGTGGGCAGAGTTGGTGAATTGCTGGGAGGTGTGGCTCCTTCCCTTCCCTTTCTGAAACAAAATTCTCTAGGGGTTTTGCAAAAGGGAAAGCAGCTCCTGGGAAGGAGGAATCATGTGCGGGAGCCGAGGCTGAGAGCCAGAGATTCTGCTTAGCTGAGCAGGTCCAACTTGATATGATGGGGAGGTTACAGAACGAAGCTGTAGCAGGTATAATACGTTCTTTACAGAAGAGGCGCAGAACCTATGGCCCTCCGAATGTTCCTGCTCTGCAACTCCCTCACCCCTAGAAAGATCTGATGGGAGTTGAAACCCAATAATATCTGAAAGACCACAGGGTTCCTACCCCCTGACTTTCCCACCACAAAGCCCTTTCCCATTGGCTATAAAATACTCCTGTTTGCCTGGGCTATCTTTCCACCTAGCAGCTGCCTGGAACAAGTGAGTTTCAAAGAGAGTTGGCCACTTATTGTTTTGTTTTGTTATGTTTTTACAGCTATAGAAAATAATCCCAGGGAAATAAATCAGGCGATCTCTGCCATGAAGGTTCATTGCCAAACGAAGAAACGCAGTGGTAGAAAGCAATGCTAATACTCTGTTATCTTTTTCTGACGTTAATAGAAAGAGCAGAAGTCAGAGGTTTTAGAGGTAAGACATTGTGTTATACTCTTCCTTAACATGCTTTAAATGCTGATTTTCAAAGGTGGTACAGTCCTCTCAGCCCACATTTTCATGTTTTGAGACTACAATTCCCATCATCCCTGACCACTGGATCTGCTAGATAGGGATGATGGGAGCTGTAGTCCCAAAACAGCTGGAGGGACAAGTTTGAGGAAGCCTGGTCTAATCCAACGCCCTGCAATGCTCACAGGCCATTGCATGTTTTATGCCTGCATTGAAAAGTTTGAAAACTGTCATCATCGCAGTGGCAGGTTTTTGATATTGCTCCCCTGCATGGGGAGGCCTTCAAGTAAACGACAAGTCAATGTATTTTCTTTGACATTGACTAAACTATAGAATTCCACAATTAGCAACAGCAGTAGCACAGCTTCCATATTCCCCCCCGCCAAAGTCCCTTTCCGCAGGAGCAGGAAGTCTGTTGGTTGCCTCCACAATTTTGCATCCTTCACATTGCCTAGGTACTAGTGGAGAATATTCAGATAAAATTCTGCAAAGTTTTCTAAAGGGGCGAGAAGAATAAAAAATCTCAGGGAGCTTACAGACCCCTCCCCCCACTGTTTTATGGTGGGATTCAATCACTTCTTGTCTAATTTAGGCTGCACAGTTAAAGCTGATTCGGAGCTGTTATGAAACAAACCCAGAATATTTTCTCTTTTTTGTGATAAGTGATGGGAAAAATGAAGAAAAATACTTGCTGCAACATCATTTAATCTCCCCACAGTCAAATGCTTGTTGAACAGGTTGTCTGGAATTGACTCAAGAATGGAACTTTTACCTGATTGCACAGATCTCTTTATCTTTTCAGAATGTCTTCGCAAACAACCTGATGTGAAGTACCGGGCCATCAGTGGCCAGGCATTTGTTGTGTCGTGTGACGTACCACCAGAGAACCCTGCCTCAATTTTTAACTTTTCTCATCTTCATGAAAGCCAGCTTCAGTGGATCTGGCAATCAAGAGATGGGAGAGACCCCGTGCTTCTCAGAAAAGAAACCATCAACCCCAGAATACAGGGAAATGCCCTTTGGTTTAATCCAATAACAGTTCAACATTCTGGAACATATGTCTGCAAGAATAGGTTGGTTGCCATGACACATCTCAGTCAGACCTTTTGTGGATGTGTGCACTAGTATTTTGAGAATTCTACACAGAGCCTATTTTCTTCATCATGATTACTATTTACCGTATTTTTCGCTCTATAAGACGCACCAGACCACAAGACGCACCTAGTTTTTGGAGGAGGAAAACAAGAAAAAAAATATTCTGAATCTCAGAAGCCAGAACAGCAAGAGGGATCGCTGCGCAGTGAAAGCAGCAATCCCTCTTGCTGTTCTGGCTTCTGTGATAGCTGCGCAGCCTGCATTTGCTCCCTAAGATGCACACACATTTCCCCTTACTTTTTAGGAGGGAAAAAGTGAGTCTTATAGAGCAAAAAATACGGTATTTCTTAATTACATTCAGTGTGGCCCACCCAGTTAAACACTTTTAAGTCTCATTTGTTAAAGGGGGAGAAATGTAAGCATCAACTTCATGTTTGGAAAAAGAGAGAGAGAGAATTAATTGTGCTTAATGAAGCCAGATCATTCATTTTAAAAGGCTTATATTTCATCTTTGTGCTTTCAGGGGCCTCTCAGGGTGTTATGCTATTAGGTACTGTACATAAAATATGAACTCTGTCTGCTTAAACACATTCCAAATCAAATAGAGCTTGACTTTGTTGTTTATATCTTGATACATTCTCTGGACAATTTCTATTAAAAAAACCCACTGTTATTTAAAACAACATTTTACAAATGTTCATCATTCAGACTTTTTTTTTTATCTGAATGTTACATATTACCTTAGTACCTTATTATCTGATCGTGACAAATTACGTTAATAGTATATTTGAAATGATAAAGGTAAAGGTAAAGGGACCCCTGACCAGTAGGTCCAGTCGTGGCCAACTTTGGGGTTGCGGCACTCATCTCGCTTTATTGGCCGAGGGAGCCAGCATGACTAAGCCACTTCTGGCAAACCAGAGCAGCGCATGGAAATGCCGTTTACTTTCTCACCGGAGCAGTACCTATTTATCTACTTGCACTTTGGCGTGCTTTTGAACTGCTAGGTTGGCAGGAGCTGGGACCGAGCAACGGGAGCTCACCCCGTCACGGGGATTCAAACCACTGACCTTCTGATTGACAAGTCCTAGGTTCTGTGGTTTAACCCACAGCACCACCCTCTTTGAAATGATAGTTAGTGCTAAATTGATAGGCTAGGTTCGAAAGATGTCTTGTCCCAGTTGGAAAGGCAATTCCACTCACAAAAAGGAAGTTTTGTGATTCCTGCCGACTTCACCTCCATTTGCTCTTCTCTGCACCATAACCCACACCATGCGCAAGGCTTCCCTTATTCTCAGGAGCTAGCATTTTTGGGGGGTTGCTGGAAGTAGCAGCATGGAGAAGGGACAGGAATCACTTATGGATCTTAGAACGCATTGCCACATTGTGACTAAAGCAGCCTTTTCCCAGTCTGGCACTCTCTATATAATGCTCCTTCTACCCTTGAAATAAATTGACCCTCTGGAACTCACCGCCCATTGATGTTAGGCAATCATTTTCTTTCTTTTTTAAAATAATTTTTATTGAATGATTTTATGTTACAAAAAACAATACAGCCATACTACCACTAAATATAATTAAGAAATAAAAATTACATACATCAATTTTTAGTTTGTTATTTACCGTCTTATTTCCTCCCAAACATTCCATACAAAAACACACATATGTGCAGACACCCACACCCCCACACAAAATGATAATAATGAAAGTAAATATTTTTTCCTCTTTTATCTTCCAAAATCTTTTCTTCAACTTTGACTTCCTGTCAAGTCCCTTTGCATATATTTTATCTTATAATCGAATGTACACAAAACAATAAACCTTTCTATATAAATTTTCCAATACATTCTAAAAACATAATAAATCCTTAATTGTTGTCTGCCTCCTTTTAGTTCCTTTATCACTCGAATGCTAGCATGGAGTCAAAACTATTATTGTATTTTTGAACATATCTTCTATAACCATCCCATTTTTTCGCAAATTTTTGCTTTGAGTTCCCTCTGAGTTTACTAGTCAGTTGAGTCGTCTCCAACAATTCCTGTAATCTGATTTGCCAATCTGTTATCTTTGGAGCCTCGTGATCTTTCCATCCCTTGGCCACAAGTATACGAGCCGCTGCGGTTGCATACAAGAATACCTCTCTTAGGTTTTTTGGGATCTCTTTATCTAAAATACTTAATAGAAATGCCTCCGGTTTTTTAGTAAAAGTTATCCCCATCATCTTTTTTAATTCATCGTATATTTCCCCCCCAAAAATCTTAATCTTTTCAGCACCTGCCAAAAAGGATTTTTTGTTTGAGCAAGCCTACCCAGACATGTAAATTTATTATATATTCTAACATGTACTTTTATTCTTTTCATGTATGTTTTTAAACTGCTGATGTTATTTTGAAAATTGTTAGGCTAACTTGTTTTTTAACGTTGGATGTTATCAGCCATTTTAATGTATATTTTTTGGTAAACTTTGTAGAGGTTTAGTGGTATGTAAATAAATAACTACTGCTCCCATCAGTCGCAGCCAGCATGGCTATGCTGACTATGGCTAATGGGAGTTGAAGTCCAAACCATATGGAAGGCATCAGATTGGGGAAGCCTGATCAAATATACCTAGTCCAATATATATCAATAAATTGATATATCAATATCAATATATCTAGTCCAGTTTATATCACTTTTCACAATCTAGCTTTCTCTGTATGATTTTACATGTGTTTTCTTTTCGTGTCACACAGGAAAAGCAAGTGTGCCAATATTTTCATAGGTGTTCAAACAAGGAAGATGGCCAATTGTTCAGATAGTAGTGTGAGTAACTTGAACCTACTTGTTCTCAGAAAAGGAGTTATTCCTTGTCCAGGAAAAAGCTGTTACAGCGATTTTCAGCCATCAGAGGTGAACTGGTACAAGGTACAGGTGCCACTATCTTTAGAGCACTTTGTTTTATCAATCTGAGTCACACTTACATGCAACAAATATACTTGTGGTGAGTGTGGGTGAGGGAAACTTGCTCTCTGGTAGTGTAATGGGTTGAAACTATTTCCACATACAGTTATTTGATGAATGAATCACTCCGTTGCCTGGGTTGGTATCTTGGTAAATGATGGCATGTTGAGATCACACTTACAATAAACTTGGAAAGACATGCCCAAGGGTGTTTGGTGAAGCGTGGATGTCAAAATTCACCAGTCATTTTCGTAAATATTTTTAAAGGCCTCTTTATTTCCATTTTGTAATTGTTTGCATTATAGATCTTGCTCCAAGGTTAATGCGCTTTTAAAAGACCTTCGAGTCACAGGCTACAAATAAAATTTGGAACTATAGATCTGTATGGGTATTTCAAGTCAATATTTGAGGTGGTTACCGTGTCCTCATGGTTCCCATTCTATGTTACCTTCGGACCCATGCACTCTATTTAAAACCCCGTGGCAGGGAAGAGAACATGGGAAGGGATTTGGAGCAGAGAAATGGTGGGTAGACCTAATGGCTTTCCAACAAGTTTCCTTTCCATCTGGGTTGTTTACACTTGCAAAATGCATGGTAGCCCTTACGATAGGACTAGGGCTGTGTTGTTCAACCATGTACCCTCAGTCGTGCTTGGACTACAGGTCTCATCATCCTTGACAATTGGCTAGGCTGCTAGGGATAATGGGAGCTTAAATTCCACAGCTTCTGGAGATCCAAAGTTGACGATTACTGGACATGGGGAGGAAATGTAAAGTTACTCTTGCAACATCACCCCCGTGATAGATGTTTAGACTGCTTCAGAAATGGTGGGAGAGGGAGGGAGATGGGTTTGTGAAGGGAGGGAGCAGCACTGAAACAGGAAAAGAAGAATCTCCTTGCATCCGGGATGGGGAACATCTAGCTTTCCAGGCATTGTTGAATTCCAACTTCCATCAGACACAGCCAGTGGTCCAGAGCTGATGTGAGTTGCAGTCCAGGAACATCTGGAGGGCTGCAGGTTCTTCACTCCTGCTCTACATCCTCAAACTCATTTAGCCACGAGAGCCAGTGTGGTGTAGTGGTTAAGAGCGGTGGACTCGTAATCTGGGGAACCGGGTTCGCGTCTCCGCTCCTCCACGTGCAGCTGCTGGGTGACCTTGGGCCAGTCACACTTCTCTGAAGTCTCTCAGCCTCACTCACCTCCCAGAGTGTTTGTTGTGGGGGAGGAAGGGAAAGGAGAATGTTAGCTGCTTTGAGACTCCTTCGGGAAGTGATAAAGCGGGATATCAAATCCAAACTCTTCTCTTCTTCTTTCATTTTCCTGAGCCACCCCCCCCCCCCACTGAGACGGGGGAGAAAGGGACTGGAGCTATACCAACAAGAGGAAGAGGGATGCCTCTTTCCCTCACATTGATTCTCCTAGCCATTTTTAAAGTTGTGGAAGATAAAGGGAAGGGGTTGGTAACTTGGGGGAAGGATGAGTAAAGATCAGCTCAGTAGATTCAGCCTATGTCAGCTGCCAATTCCTGTTTTACAGAGCATTGAAATGTTTGTTTGCTTCTCTCGCCCCTTAGAATGGATTAAAAGTAAGACTTCAAAAGGATAAAAGACCATCTCTGAGATTTGAGGATGATAGTATAGTATTGTATCATGTCTACGATGCAGATAATGGTACTTATGTATGTGATTATACACTGACTGACAATAATACCCAGTGGACCATGAGAACAATGGTAAACATAACTATCATTGGTAAGTCACTTTACATCCAATTTAATAAATGGTTCTGATATAATGCTTTATATTCTGGCACTTGTATTATATTACATTGTCTCCTACGATTCCCATTTAGTCTCTTCCATTTATATCTTTAAAGAAAAAAATTAATATCTATAAACGCTATTTGTGTAGGTTGACTGAACATGTCATATCAGACTACTGTAAATACCAGATTACATTAAATAACTTTACTCGGAAGTAACAATGTGCTTTATATCTATTCTACGATATACTGCATCACAAAAAAATCCTAAATCCTTATTAATGCAATACCTTTAATTTGGCCAAATAAAAGGGCACAAAATAGTTCGCAAGTCCAAATAAAGGTTTTAGATCCCCACCCCTTAAAAGCTAACACAGCTGCCTTGGCTGTTTGTGTAACTTAGGATATATAGAGCTTTTAAAATACGATGTGTATGCTAATGAATCACCCTGTGACCTATGTATGTGATTTTAAGTTGCTTCCAGGAGCCATAGAAAGCTTCTTTCAGTCTCCATGGAAATAACATGACATGCCTAATTGCACAGTATATCCATTTATGGCTATTTGATGCCCTTCTCTTTCTCCACCAGCAGAAAAGTATTATCTGCGATTTAGTCATTGATTTTCTCACAACATGTTTAATCTGGTTATTAATTCTACATGCAAAAGGTTCATTGGAAATTCCCTAATAGACCCCTTTTTTCATGTCGTAGCAAAAGACACTATCAATCACCCAGAGGTCCTGGATCCCCGTGGTGTGAGAATCCTTGAAGTAGAACTTGGTAAACTGACTACGTTCGTAATTTGTTTTGTAATGTTGGCAATAATCCAGTGCTATTATCAGTGCTATTTTTCTAGAAAAAGAGGTGCTGGAACCCACAATGAACACCTCTCTTGTTGTCTTAGAATGTCAATGGCGCCCACCTGAGAGGTGCCGGAACTGAGTTTTGGTGAGTTCTGGATGAAAACAAACTCCTGATGGTTATTATATCAAATATTATTATATATGACCATTATTGAGCTCATATCCTGCTTATGGGCTCCTCCTAAGCATCTGGTTAGCTCAGGCCTGGCATAGCAATTGGACAAAGTGAGGCATCCATCCCTCCAGCACATTGAAGGTGAAATCCATGATGCCATTTTCCCATTTTTCCTCATGCGAGGATGGCGGCCATTTTGGGTGCCGTGATTGTGTGCAGTTTCATGCCATGTTCCCCCCTGAAAAAGCACCTTTTCCCGGGCACAATACCCTAAAACACACTTTTTTGGGGGGGGGCGGATTGTGGCATGGAACCACGTGAGATCACAGCGCCCAAAATGGTCACCGTCCTCTCGTGAGGAAAAACAGAATGCCCCAGTTTTTCTGGGACACTTGCTGGGTATGGCAGTTGCCTCAAAAAGCTGGTGCTTTGTGTGGGTGGGTAAGGAGTGAGGTAAAGCCTCTGGGCTCCATTTCCAAAAGGTGGAAAATGATGAAGTTGAAGCAGCTCTCCTGGTGAGGCAGAGCTGCAATGCTAGCTTCTCAGCAGACATGTTGTTCCTACTTACTGGGGGGAGGGATGCAGGAACAGGCGCATTGGCACACCAGTGGGAGCACCAGATTGTCTCCATGGCAATGTTTCTCCAGCCTCTCCCCTCTCCCTCCCGATAAGTGGCAGTGACACACCTTCCAGTGAGTTAGGGGACTTCTCCTGCATGCAAAGTCAGGCTCTGGATGAAACCAACAGTGGGCCCAATGGTCAAAAAGGCGGTTTCTGCATGCACTATAGAGGGGCAAATGGGGCTTGTCAAACTGGGAAGGCAGCCCATCTAGAAGAAGGAAAACTCTGATCTGATCCTAAACCCCCGCTGCCTTGCAGAATATCTTCGGGAGGAGAAAAGGCTAAGGTATAAACCCTACACAAATCCAGAGTGGAGTCCCTAAGATGGTTGGATGGTGTCTTGTACACCTCCTTCCAGCAACTCCTGCAGCCAAGCTGGTGCCAAACATATCGCTCTGCTTTCCTTTGGACCACATCAGCAAGGCGGGGGGGGGGGGATCTTGTTGTTTGAGCAGCCCAGGACCGCCATAAACACTGTTTAGGCTTGTGCCCAGGGAAGGTCATTTTTGTGCTGCCAGCGCAGTGGTTTGACTTCACCCCAGAGGCATACTCCATTGTCTCGCTGGACAGACGACTTACAACAGCCAACAATATCGCCCTTCATCCGTAGATCTCAGGGCGGTTCACAACATGAAAATACAAGAGAAAACACAAAATACACAATTGACAATGACAACACAAACCAATAGCCCACATCCCCACGCTTCCACTTCAGATCTAAAAAATGTGCATACATACTGATTTTTACGTGTGGTTTTTCCTCAGGGCAACCGCTTGAGCTCAAATGCCGAGCACAGTTTGGTTTTGAACTAAATGCTTCCTCTTTGATGCAGTGGTACAGAGAAACCGGCGAAAGGAAGCAACTGCTAAAGCAAAAATGGTATGAACAGTCTCCAACTTGAAAACATGTATTTGTAGAATGTAAGCAGCTAGCAAAAGAACAGGAGAGCCAAAACTGTTATGTACTGAAGTTCTCACCCTGGGCCAGCAGGGGGATACTGTAGATAGTTATACAAATAAGGGATCGAAAGTGACGTTCAGTGATTGGATAGTTTTAGAAAATTGTTACAGTTACGTTGTACTGGAGCTCTATATAAGCAGGCTGACTGAACCCTTCAGTTCAGTTCTGTTCTGGCCTGTGAATAAACAAGAGCTGTTTGAAGAATCACTGTGTCGTCTGATATGTTCACCCACAACTTAACAAAAACAGTATTCTTGTTTAGTTTCATACTACAGTTCCCTTCAGCCTATGCCAGCATGGCCAACAATAGAGAATGATAGGTTGGGGAAATCTGTTGTAGCACATGATCAAAATACTAATGTAACTGGAAGAGGATTAGTGAAGGCTTTTCCATGTTTTCCTCTCCTGCCGTACACAGATGGGATTTCTCTCTTTCCATGTGACTCCAACCTTGGTCTTGGTAGCAGTTCCATAACTGTGAATCTTTAAGTCCTCTTTTTGGGAAAAGGATACAGGGAAGAGGATACAGTAAACTGAATGGGAAGCATAACGCAGTCCAACCTTTGCTGGAGATCAGCAGTAATGTTTAAGGCAGCAGAATGTTTAAGGATATGAATTCCCTGGGAAGAGGGGTTGTTGTTAAAGCACTCTAGGAATGGTAGCTGTGTGAGAGGATTGTCTTCTAACAATTCCCAGTGCCCTTAACAAACTACAGTTCTACAGTTCCCAGGATTCTTTGGGGGTAAGCCATCATAGAATTGTAGAATTGGAAGGGACCCGAAGGGTCATCCAGCCCAACCCTCTGCAATGCAGGAATCTCAGCTAACGCACTTGTTACGTACTAAGCTTAGATCTTAGAACAATAGGCAAGTAGGATCCTAGAATGCAACAACTGATTGGCTTGCAGGAGAAGACCAATCAGGCTCCAGGAGGGAAGCAGAATCAGCCAATCAGACAGGACTCATTGTGTAAATAATGTATATAAAAGCCTGATGTTGCGGGGGGGGGGCAATTAAATCACTGTTTTACAAGCTGCAATACAGAGCATGAAATCACTACAGGACTCAGTATGTTTCAGCATCCATGACAGATGGCCACCTAACCTCTGCTTAAAAACCTCCAAGGAATGAAAGCCCACAACTTCCTGAGGGAGACCGTTCCACTCCTTGAAGGGGAACATCAGCTATCCTTCTCTGGGTGTCCTCACCAAATGAGGTCCATAGAGTGGCTACTGAAGAGGTGGCCTTTTCAGTGTTGGCATCCTGCTTATGGAACACCCTCCCCAGAGAGGCTTTCCTGGAGCCAATGTTATGGTTCTTTTTCATATCAAATGAAGACCTTTTTTAAAAAAAATTCTGAAGAATTTTCAATGTTTCAAAGTTCTTTTTAGATTTGCTGTCCTGGCCTATTTCCCATTGCTAGTTTTAGATTTTATTTTTTATCTTGCATTTTTGTATTTGGTGGCACTATTGTTGCTGTGATTATCTTATTGTTGGGTGGATAAATGGAAGCAACAAATGAATATTTTCTAAAGAGTGTGTCCACGGGCTGTGGCTCCTACATGGGTTCATCAGCCAGACTCCAGGGGAGACGTCGTAATCCTGTGTTTACATGAGGTTGGTAAATATGCAACTGCCCTGATTTTTGCAATTTGGGTCATCATCGCCTTTATAGAAACCAGAGCCATCACCTGCACAAATATGGGGTTGGTGGCACCAGGGACTACTGTAACTGTGTGAGAATGAATGCTACAAGTGGCTGATGAAAGCATTATTCTATTTAGGGTCAATCCAAAGGAACTAGAAGGCAGCTGCTTTGATCTTGCTTTCAACCTGACCAATTTAACCGAAGAGGATTTAAGCAGCCAGTTCATCTGCCTGGCTCAAAACTCCATTGGGAACACCACAGGGGTGTTCAGATTTAAGAAGAGAACAGAAAGAGGTAAACTGGCAAACCACCTAGCATGCGGTGTTCTTTTATTTTTATTTATTTTACAAGTTATGTTGGGGATAACATCCCTGGTCTGCTCCTTGATTAAAATTGCCTTTCCATTTTCCGATCGTCAGAGAGGTTCTTTAAATTGTGACAGCAAGGAGGGGGAACAAGAGTAGAAACTCTGAGATTCTAAACCTGAAAACGATGGTATCATTTTAATTTTTTTTTACCTGGGAAAGACATTTGGTAGCTCAGTCTTCACATGCCCTACTCCAGCATCTCCTTATCTTCTTACAAACAAAATTTAAGAAGAGAACAAACCAAACCCCATCAAAAATAAACAAATGCTTCTCTTATTTTTGTTTCCTTTTAGCTCTTCACTTCTTGCTCACTTTGTGCTGTTCCATGACAACTGTATTTCTAATCTTTTTGGGAAGCATGGTGGTTTACCGGCACCGGATTGAAATAGTGCTGTTATATCGGCATTGTGTGGCCAAAGGTGAAACTGTCAGCGGTAAGAGTTTGTGTTCTACTTTTCTTACCTTGGCGAACGGTCTGTTCTCTGTTTATTTATGACACATGTATCCCGTGTTTGCTCCAGGAAATGCACAGTGGCGTACGAGGTTTCCTTATTTCCTCACAGCAACCCTGTGAGGTAGGTAAGATGGAGAAGTTAGTGACCGGGACAAGATCGCCAGTAGCAGTTTGTGGTGTGCTGCTCACCTGGCTTCCCAGAGCCAAGAGGTAGAGGGTTGAGGCAGCAGGGAGATGGAAGTGATATGGGAATACAGTGGTACCTCGGGTTACAGATGCTTCAGTTTACAGACTCCGCTAACCCAGAAATAGTACCTCGGGTTAAGAACTTTGCTTCAGGATGAGAACAGAAATCGTGCTCTGGCGGCGCGGCCCCATTAGCTAAAGTGGTGCTTCAGGTTAAGAACAGTTTCAGGTTGAGAAGACAGACCTCCAGAACGAATTAAGTACTTAACCCGAGGTACCACTGTAGTGACAGGACTGCTGGATGAGCTCTGCTGCTGTCTGCACTGCTCTGAGCTCCCTGCTTCCTCACTTCTCTCACTCTAAGCAACCAACAGTGGTACTCGGCTTTGGGAAACAAGGTGCACACTGGTGGCTCTGTGGTCTAAACCTCTTGGGCTTGCTGATCAGAAGGTCGGCAGTTCGAATCCCTGCAATGGTGGTGAGCTCCCGTTGCTCTGTCCCAGCTCCTGCCAACCTAGCAGTTCGAAAGCATGCCAGTGAGTGCAAGTAGATAAATAGGTACTGCTGGGGCAGGAAGGTAAACAGCTTTTTCATGCGCTCTGGTTTCCGTCACGGTGTTGCGTTGTGCCAGAAGCGGTTTAGTCCTGCTGGTCACATGACCCGGAAAGCTGTCTGTGGAACAACGCCTGCTCCCTCGGCCTGAAAGCGAGATGAGCGCCGCAACCCCATAGTCGCCTTTGACTGGACTTAACCGTCCAGGGGTCCTTTACCTTTTTACCTTTAACGTAAAACCTCATATGTTGTGAGTTTTAAAAATAAATTAATTAATGCAGATTTGGGGAGGGATGAGGCATTAAAAGCATTGGGTAAAAGGTGAACTCAGCTGGATAAAGCCAAAACTTTGTGGACAGCAGGATCTAGAATCAATAGACTGAAAGCAGAATGTTGGGGGTGAACAATTATGGATTGAGAAAAGCTACATTTTTGTACACAGCACCCAAAGCCAGGTCACTTATTCTGGCAGGTGAGGTAAAAAATCCCACAAATGCCTTTCCCTCTCTCCCCCCATGTCAGTAAAAATAACAATAAATTAAATACTATTAATTTTCTGCTCTTCTATGATGCCCTAAATCAACTGCCTGAGGTGATGACCTCACTCTGCCTAATTGTAAAGACCCTGAGAGGTCATGCAAAATTACTAGGTAAGTTTGATTAGCTGTGCACTAGGTTTGAGAGGATGTGTACAGCAGAGTGTTGAGTGGGCGGGACACAATTAGTGGGATTTTACCATGGATTCATTTTTTGGCTTCTGATTTTGTGCTTATTTTCTTAGAAATCACTCAGCATTTATTTATGACATTTCCTGAATATATAATTATAAACGACATTATATGCACAGTTGAAGATCTGGGCAATTATAAATTATGAAGTGCATGCTTTGGGGGGATTTGAAAAATACTACATGTTAAGGTCACTCAATTGGGGACTCTTGATAATAATACCTTTGCTGTCACCTCATGACTCATCATTTGGAAGTGGCAGGGAGGAAAGAAGGGGAAAGTCCTCGGAAAAAGTTGTGTTTCAGTATGAATCTGGCAGCATGACCTCTCAAGGAATACTGCTCAAGGCAGACTCCTAATTTTGTATGGTGTGGGTGGAGACATACCAGAATGATGAGCAAGATCTTGTTAGTATAGAAAGGCCTGTTTAGCCTAGCATAAAGAAAGCTGAGTGAAGAGACAATTAAGCTCCAGGACAAGGCAGGTGAAAAAAATAAAATAAACCTCTTGAAATAAAATGAGGTCAAGAAGCTAGAAGATTTGTAAAACAAAAAACCCTGAAATTCTGAAGAAGAAAGAACAGCTGGGAATCTGTTTTATTTTGAATACAGTTGTACCTTGGTTTTCAAACGCCTTGGGAATCTAAAGTTTTGGCTCCCGAACGATCAAAAGCCGGAAGTGAGTGTTCCGGTTTTGGAACCCGAATGTCTGACATGGCTTCCGCGGCTTCTGATTGGCTGCAAGACCTTCCTGCAGCCAATCACAGGCTGCACCTTGGTATCTGAACATTTTGGAAGTCAAACGGACTTCCGGAAGGGATTCCGTTCGACTTTCAAGGTACCACTGTATTTTGCTCTGCCTTCATGGTTATGTTTAGTCCGGAGAAGCTAGGATTAAGAGGAGATATAGCCATCTTCAGATACTGTGTGTGGAGAAGGCTGTCCTGCAGAAGATGGAACAAATTTGTTGTCATTGCTCCAAAGGTGGGACCAGAACGAAGGGGTGGGTGCTGAAAAGAAGCCGATTGTGGTTAAATGTTAGGAGAAACTTCCAGTTGCACTGGAAAGTGATGAGCTGTCCTTTGCTGTAGGTATTTAAGCAGAAGCTGGGTGGTCAGGAACGCTGTAGTTTCATCCCATCCTGCATTGTAGATACCGCACAGGGAATATGGATAGAAGGATCTGTCAGTTTAAGTTCTCTCAGTTTCTCACTTTCCCAATCTTAAATCCAGTTCCCCACATCTTGACATCAATTCGTCGATTTTTTTTTTCCAATCCTCATGGAAATTATTTAGCATTTTGGTTGCAATTTCTCCTAATAAACACATTTTTGCATGCAGTTTTGACTTATGTATGCTTTGCTGCTAGCAATTTCTCCTAACCTATACTATTTTCACTGATGTATTAATTTTAATGCATACTTTCTCATAATATATGTATTTTCTGGTTGGAGAACTGCATCGCTAAATTCAAATAAGTGTGAATTTCAGAGGGAGGCTGTGTTTCAGTCCTCATGTTGTTTTGGGTAAGTGCGAACTTGATAAGTTCATCTATCTGAACTGAATTGATTTTTCACACCAATTCCTAATCGGAGGTTGGACCATATGACTACCTCACTCACTTACAGTACTTCTCCAAAATTCTTGCACAGGCAGCTTGTATTTATGAAAGATATTGAAGATACTTTAAAGTATCTAAAACACTCTCTGGAAGACTAGAAAGGTCACTTGCTAATGGCCCAGATTATGTACAAAAGGGGTGGGTTCAAAGGGGTTTCAGGAAACAAAATGTTCCACTTAAGGTTGCAAGGCACATTATTAAAATAGAAATCGTTTCCGTTTTGGGCACAGCATAGATTCCATATAATAGGTCATGACCTATGAAGATACTACATGTGTGGTATGTACATGTTCTGAAATATTGTGGTTGACCACAGTTTCCCAGAATGTGTGCACCATATGTACACACACACACATGTCTGCACAGGGGGTTCACTCAGTTGTCTACAAGGAAGTGACTTTCATGTGAGAAATTTGTGAACAGGTGAAACTTACCTCAGTTTCTTGAACCCCAGCAAAGGTACCTTCATAGTGTAAGAAACTGACAGTTAATACTCTCTTGTCTTGTAGTGGCCTCTGCTGGTCAAATTAAGAACCAACTATTGTTTGGTGTTTTTAAGGATTCATTTCTGAAAGATGAAGATGCCGTACCCCTGATTTTACTGGGACATCCCAGAATCACAGAAGCTATCCTGGCTTCTCATTGGATCCCGAAATGTCCCGCCTTTTGGCCCTGCATTCTTGTGCGAGCCAAAAGATGCACTTTGCCCAGGGGTCTTTCACAAGCCAGGTGAGGGGTGAGCGCATAATTTTGAGAACACCAGTGGCAATGTTTGTACTTTTGTGTGGCAGACGGACAGCCGTGTCTCATTGCATACATATGAAGAGAGGAGTGGGTGATTTTTTTTTAACCCTCGGTGTGACTCTTCACACTATGCCTAGCAGGGGTAGCGGGTGCTTTACTCTGTTCTTTATCCTGTTTAATAACATCAGCTTCACTGTTACACTTTGGAGTCCTGTACTGCTAATGAAAAATGTCTAGACATATCAAGAAAATTGATTCAGTTAAACGTGTTGTAAACTTCATACAGGGAAATCCCGTTGGCTAAAGATGGCACTCCACAATGCCATCTGGCGTCAAGGTGTTATAACGCAAATAAAGCACTTTGTCTTGACGAATGTAGCGGAGTCCCTGCTCTGTTCAATATGGAATAACTAGCTGTTTGGGCAAGGCATATTTGCATCTAGGGTACAGTTCACCCAGAATACCAGAGATGGTGGTTTGACCCAGAGAGGTTATGGCTGAAAGTGAGATTTGAAAGTGAGATGTGTCTGCTTACTGCTAAGAAACGAGGGGGGATTTTAATTTGCCTTTCACTTTTTCATATTTTCCATTGTGCTTTCAGTAGTACTTTTTACCATCTCTACAGCTGGTCTCCTTTAAGAGGAAAAATAAGGGAGATTCAGCAGACGCCTCTTCCATAGCCATGCCCCACTATTTCAGAAAAATGTTGTTGCCTCCCGTCTTTTCTCACCTCTCATCTTCCTTTAAAGGATGTTTTCTTCTTCACTGCTTCATTTAACTTTGTCCTTTAAAATTTTTTAGATGGCAAGGAATTCGATGCATTTGTGTCCTGTGCAAAACCAGATCTCCCTGAAGCAGATCAGGCGCTACTCGATGAGGAAACGTTTGCCTTGGAGATTCTCCCTCAAGTTTTAGAAAACAAATATGAATATAAGCTATGTCTCACTGAACGGGACATCCTTCCAGGAGGAGGTAACATCTCACATAATTGCATAATAATAAAACCAACTCTTCAAACACATATATTTGTTTTAGGAAACTTTATCTGCCCCTAATGTCCATGTGTAGGGACGCGGGTGGCGCTGTGGGTAAAACCTCAGCGCCTAGGACTTGCCGATCGTCAGGTCGGCGGTTCGAATCCCTGCGGTGGGGTGCGCTCCCGTTGCTCGGTCCCAGCGCCTGCCAACCTAGCAGTTCGAAAGCACCCCCGGGTGCAAGTAGATAAATAGGTACCGCTTACTAGCGGGAAGGTAAACGGCGTTTCTGTGTGCTGCGCTGACTCGCCAGATGCAGCTTGTCACGCTGGCCACGTGACCCGGAAGTGTCTGCGGACAGCGCTGGCCCCCGGCCTCTTAAGTGAGATGGGCGCACAACCCTAGAGTCGGACACGGCTGGCCTGTACGGGCAGGGGTACCTTTACCTTTACTAATGTCCATGTGTAGATTTGCATAAACAGCAAAATTGGCATGCCTTCACCTCTCGCTTTCTGTTCTGCTCACTTCGCTACGTCATAGTTGTGGCGACCTGCAGCGCCCCCTAGGCTTGGCGCCCAGTGCGGCAGAACCATTTGCACTGCCCTAAAATCTACCAGTGCTCCTGTACTGCTTGGGGGAGGGTGATTTTCAATGAGAAAATAGGACAAGGAAGCAGCCACCGAATTTGTGCCTTAGGTTACAATCCTCTACTTTTATTTACCTGGAAGTGAGCTTCATTAAACTCAGTGAGATTTACATTTTTTAATTTTTTTGTAATTAGCTTTGAGGTTTTTTTAAAAACACACACACAACAACAATAAGGAGCTATATAATTTTTACAAAATAAGATAACTAATACTTCTAACTCACAGACATGCTGATTCTTAGTTCATATGGGATGGAGCAAAGGGTTTGCAAGCACAATTCCTCCCTCTTCCTAAAACGCTGTGAAACATTTTATTTCATGCTTTAAGAAAACAGAACAAGACTTGGGTTTGGGAGATGAATTGCAGGTTTTCAGCTTGGAAGGGGTGTTCCTTTATCTCTTTCTCAAGGCTCAAAGACTACAGCTGGTTCATGGTGGGTTTGGAACAGAAACCCTTACTCTGCCCCTTACACAGCCCTTAGAAACAGCTTTTGTGATGGATTGGAGTGTGGTATTGTGTGGCTAGAATGTCAGTTGGAAGTAGGACTGGAATGAGGAACAGGACTTTTTAACATTCCCTTGTCCATCAGGTTTAAAGCACATTCAAGCCAGGAGCCATATAAGCACATTCCAGTTTCTGTTGTTCTTTACCACATATGTTTTTCATCATCCTTGCATTCACCACTCTGTGCCAGGGTATAAGAATATCTGCAGGGAGGCAGCATGTTTTGTATGATAAGTTGGTAATAATATATTGTTATGTACTGAAGTTCTCACCCTGGGCCAGCAGGGGGATACTGTAGATAGTTTTCACTCAGGTCCACATATGCAAATAAGGGATTGAAAGTGATGTTCAGTGATTGGATAGTTACAGAAAATGGTTACTGTTGCATTCTAGTGGAGCTCTATATAAGCAGGCTGGCTGAACCCTTCAGTCAGTTCTGTTCTGTGAATAAACAAGAGCTGTTTGAAGAATCGCTGTGTCGTCTGATATGTTCACCCACAACTTAACATATATATTTTTTCTTTTCCCAGCATACACTGATGACATTGTAAACGCTGTCAAGAAGAGCAGACGGGTGATTGTGGTGTTAAGTCCAAGTTATGTCAATGGCCCGGCCCTCTTTGAGCTCGAAACAGCCGTCAACACTGTCCTGGAAGACAAGGCAATAAAACTCATCCTAATTCAGTTCAAGTCTTTCCAGGAGCCACAGTCATTACCTCACAACGTGAAGATAGCTCTCAGGGTTTTGCCCAGGGTTACCTGGAAAACATCTGCCTCTCCCACTGTGAATAAGCAATTCTGGAGAAAACTGCTGCGTCACATGCCAGCGAAACATCACAACCGAATTGAAGACAAGTGGTGTTGGTTTCCCCACCTTCGGTTATTGGGCACGGATAAGAAAAACGCCACTACAGGGAGGACAAACTGGACCAAAAAATGGAGGAAGATTTGGGAAAGAACTTCCCTAAACTGAAGACTTGTCAGGAGAGGGGCTGTAGCTCAATTTATAGAACATGTATCAGATACAGAACCTTCCCTAGCCGTAAAAGGATGTTGGGCTGTGGAGATGAGAAAAACGACCTGGAACCACAGAGAGCCATTGGCGGTTTAAACAGACTTCATGGCCCAATGGTCAAACATCATATGTTAAAGTGCGGTTATCTTTCACTCATAGTAAAATGGAAATATCCTTATAGAAGTCAGTATTTTGTAATAGTAAAAGGTGCTGAATGCAGTTGAGCTGTGCCATGCTTTTAACAACATGACTATTTATTGATAATTATTACATGCATCAGGGGGTAATGCCCACCTGCTGGAATAAACTTTGGACAAACAAGTGTTTTTGTACCATCTCTGATAACTAGAACGAGATTGTGGTTCCCAACTTACAGGCTGTGTTCAACTTACTCCCTAATAAGTGTATTCATTGGTAAGTCTTAATGGCAGAAATGTGACTTCAGCAGTTTCAAGATAGCAGTTTGTATAATCTAACATTCCAGTTATATGCATGCTTAGTCAGAGCCTAATATGATCTGTGTAACCCGTTATTATATGGGACGTGGGTGGCACTGTGGTCTAAACCACAGAGCCTAGGACTTGCCAATCAGAAGGTCGGCGGTTCAAATCCCCGCAACAGGGTGAGCTCCCGTTGTTCATTCCCTGCTTCGAAAGCACATCAAAGTGCAAGTAGATAAATAGGCACCGCTCCGGCGGGAAGGTAAACGGCGTTTCTGTGAGCTGCTCTGGTTCGCCAGAAGCGACTTAGTCATGCTGGTCACATGACCTGGAAGCTGTACGCCGGCTCCCTCGGCCAATAAAGCGAGATGAGTGCCACAACCCCAGAGTCGGCCACGACTGGACCTAATGGTCAGGGGTCCCTTTACCTTTACCTTTAACCCCTTATTGTGGACACCTTTACATTGTTGCCAAATTTGACACCACATTGTGCCCTGGCACCCTTGGCATTTGGTTATCATGGAAAGGACTAGAATTTTGAGTAAAGACCTTTTAAGATGCCCTCCTTTCCCTAGGACTCATCTACACTTTCCTTTGTCCCACAATTTCTTCCATTTGGTCTGTGACTTCTAGGCATGCATCCAACAGGTTTTTCTTTTCTCCTGCATCTTTCCCCAGGAAAACCCTCTGTTTACTGCAAAAAAACCAATGGGCTTTGCTCCGATTCAGCAGTACGCAGCATGTTTTTCCAGGCAAAAAACCTCTCCAGCCCAAGCCTAGAAGTCACAAATGAAACAGAAGAATGGATGGGGTGTGGGAAGTCCGATGCCTAGTCCTCCAAGTCACACATCTTTGTTTTAACCAATGCTGTCTCTCACAATTTTTGCTTCCTCTTCTCTTCTGTCGATAAGTGGTGGCACATTTTATGAACAGTCCCAAAGTACAGAGAAGACATGATTATAAGAAAGGAAATGCAATAGGAGACGTTAGAAAATGTGATGTGCTGTAAGGTTTCCTGAAATTAAGTTGACCATGCAAACTTACAGGGCGTTTTCACATAAGGTAAATTCTCCCATGTTGTGAATATTGCTTTCTTGCAGGAAATTTCATTGACCCTGGTATGCATGGTCACATAGCGAAGCGTTGAGCACATGGTGTTGTACGTATATTGTGGAAATCTGGCACTAACTGGGGTACACAGTCTAACAGAAACTTTGTTTAGTCCTTTTCCGAAACTACCGTTGGACCGATGAATGCACATGAGAGGAATTCACTCTGCACATTCAAATATACTCCCTCTGAATTCAAATATGTCAATTGTGTCCAGATTCATTTCATTATTATCCCACCTTTCTTCCAGGGAGCACAACACAGCTATTCCTCACCTGCAGTTTCATTTTTTATTTTTTTAAAAAAACCTTGTGAAGTATGTCAATCAGAGAGATATAGTGATTGGTCTAAAGGCAGCTAGTAGGATTCATAGTTGAGTCAGGACTTGAACATCAGTCTCCCAGGTCCCAGTTCCACATGCTAATATGACACAGGTATGAAAGTAAGGGAATGTTCATGAAGCATGGGACACATGACCAGAGGCAGAGCTAACTGCTCCAGCACCCGGAGAGGCACACATGCTGTGCACCAAGGGGTGGGGCTAGTATATATATATATATATATATATATATATGTGGGTGTGGGTGTGGGTGTGTGTAAGTGTATATGCATAAATATTTGTAGTAAGTCTGATTTCACGTATAATGATATGTATTTTTGATTTGATTGAATATCTAGAAGTGCATTAAGTCATTTATAAGAAGATTTGGTTTGAATTATTATTAGTGAATATCAATATACGTATCAAGGTTTTGAGATTAGACCACTGAAGAAGCCCGGAGAACTATAGTAGTACCTCAGGTTACATACGCTTCAGGTTGCAGACTCCGCTAACCCAGAAATAGTACCTCGGGTTAAGAACTTTGCTTCAGGATGAGAACAGAAATCGTGCGGTGGCAGCGCAGCGGCAGCAGGAGGCCCCATTAGCTAAAGTGGTGCTTCAGGTTAAGAACAGTTTCAGGTTAAGAATGGACCTCTGGAACGAATTAAGTATTTAACCCGAGGTACCACTGTACTTTGGGAGTGCGCTACCTGCAAGCCCCAGTAAAAGCGCCCCATCGGGGGTGAACAGTGGCCTCTTGATGACTTGGACTGCCAGGGCGAAACAGGTGCAAAACGCCAGCACCCCGTCTACAACTTCATTAACATCCATCTACAACTCCACTAGCATCTCTCAGTATTGTGAACAACACTGAACTTACCTTTTGTTGGTATTTTGATGAACTTACCTAAAATGATAAAGAAAACAAAAAAACTGAGTTAAGCATTTGAAAAATCTATTGAAATCAGACATTAAAAGTTCATCTTAGACTGGGTAGTTCGCAAGTTTCTGTGGCTTTGCACAAGGTTTTGTATTTTTCTCAGAAGATTGATAAAGAATGTATAATTATTTTGGTAATTATTGTGTGTATATTAGTCGCCAACGTGTTGCATGAATCGTACTACCAGCGGGGATGGGGCTAGCTGCCTGCCGGGGCGGAGCGAGCATCCCAGGGGACTGGGCGGCAATGTCACCCCCTCAGGGATGACACCTGGGGCGGCCCACACTCACTGCACCCCCTTCCTCCGCCAGTGCACATGACCATTGTTTCCACTGTGTCACTGCATGGTTAAACCTCAGCTCTGGGTTTGAGACTCATCAGTGTGCAGTAAAGCTAATATGACAGCAGATAACTGTGCGTCAATAGAGACACTGCAATATTGATTTCAGTACCTGGCTAGTTGCTACAGGTAACCTGCTCCTCACATACAGTCATAATCTCACCTTGCTGAGTTTTACAGGGTTGGGCACCTGGTATCAAAGGCTGGCTTCAGTTCTGGCTAGTAACCACTAGATGTCTCTAGCATAGTAGTTGACACAGTTACATATGAAAACTCGTTTTCTACAAGGTCATAAATGTTTCAGCTCAGGTAAGTAGAGGAGGAGGAGGACAACCTGTGGAGCAGTCTCGTGTCTTCTGGTTCCCAGGGTCTGAGTGAGTCCATCACACCAGCTCATTACCTTCTCAACTGACAAAAAGCTGTGTTACTTTCCTCGCAAATGGAGTGAGAGACTACAGTTGCCAGCAGTGGGTTGCAGAAGTTTGAAAAGTCCTGGGCTTTACAGGTGAACCTTACTTTCCAGTCAACATCTGAAGAGGATTGTTAATTCTGGACTACTAAAGCATCCGGACACGGCATAGGCATATTGCTGGAGCCAACTGAAGCACCCAGGACTAAAATGGGCATTTCATAAATGTGCAAAATAGTTGCCACACACTTTTTCAAACAGGAGACAGAGTTTTGCTCCTCGCCATGGGGATTCAGAGATTTGTGTGCCTGAGCTGGCTGGTATTTCTCTCAGTCCCAGAGAGTTCTGTTGCCACGCTGTATTTGAAATTGCCTCACAGGAATTCGAGCTCATTGCATGAGGCTGACCCATTTGACACTACAGAATCGGGGCGAGACGAGAGGTTGCATGTTTTCACTGTGGATTATGAATACGTCCAAATACCATATGAGGTCACCCTTTGGATACTCCTGGCTTCCCTTGCAAAAATAGGTGAGTGAAAATTCTTTTGTGAATTCCAGATGGGAGCTTAATTTTGTAAGTGGTGATTCATTTATTGCAAATGAGCAACGGGTTTTGCTTTTGTTTTTAAACTTGTCATGTGGGCACTGCAAAAAAAATGAAAAAAAAAGGTGTGTTAATGCAGAGCATCCAACTCACAATATAAGCCTCTGGGGAGCTCCTTTACTATATTTGCTACAAATTAGAGAAGCAATCCAGCAATAAAATTACCATCAAAATCACACATAAAATTCGTCATCAAGCAAACAACTGAGGTGCTTCCAGACAGGAGCTTATCATTGCAAATGCAACATTTAGATGGAACAAATGAGTTGTTGGCAACATGTTTTTAGATTGAAACTCATTGGATTTCTCTTCAGAAAGCATGAGTTAAGTGGGAGGGGGATGCAGGCTTGCATTTTGATGCGAACAACCTTGTGTGGATGCTGTGGAAAGGCTTCGTGCATGAGGAGCACTGTTGCTACCATAAACAGAGATTCGGTAGCATCCTTAGTGAGATGGTTTTGGTCACTGACATCCACAGTGTGTTTATTCCTGGTGATGTGTGATGGTGGTAGGAACTGATACATTTGTTGTTTTAAGTGGATGAATCTGTTGTGCTTATACCCCAGCCTGGGATCAGTTTCAATGAAGCAGGCTTTAGAAATATTTTGAACAAATAAAAAAAAGCACTTCTAAATTCCACAGATACCAGTGAGCGAGTTCAGCGAGTGCTTAAATTTGACCTGACTCTGTTGAAACAATTCTGGTCATTGTAACCACATTTTGGTTGCTCAGAAATGGTGAAGGCTTTGCACTTAGCCAATATATGAGATGAGGGACAGCTAGCACTGTAGGATTTCTTTTTCACACTCTTATCTTTATTGCTGTGCTTTGTTTTGTAAATATTTTTTATTTTATTTAAGCATTGATGGAAGGAAGTCATATTTTAGTTTAAAATTTGTTATAAGTGTAAGTCAAGGTGGTGGGTGGGAAAGGGAGGGATGTTTGGTTTGATCTGTGAAATTTTTTTTTTTATTTCTGTATTTTTTTTATTTTTTACTCTTCTTTTTTCTGTATTTTCTGGTACACTGGTACCTCGGGTTAAGTACTTAATTCATTCTGGAGGTCTGTTCTTAACCCGAAACTGTTCTTAACCTGAAGCACCACTTTAGCTAATGGGGCCTCCTGCTGCCGCCGCTCCACCGGAGCACGATTTCTGTTCTCATCCTGAAGCAAAGTTCTTAACCTGAGGTACTATTTCTGGGTTAGCAGAGTCTGTAACCTGAATCGTATGTAACCTGAAGCATATGTAACCCAAGGTACCACTGTATTTGGAAAATTAATAATTTTTTTTAAAAGGATTTCTTTTTCAAAATCAACACTGCTGTGATTATTTCCCTGTTGTTGTTTTATTCTTATTCAAGGATTCCACCTCTACCATAAACTGCCGCACTTTATGCCAGAAAGCTGCCTGCACATTGCCATGGGCGTCTTGGTTGGCGGGATTATTTTTGCCACTGATCATAAATCGCCCCCAGTCATGACCACAAGCATTTATTTCCTGTATCTGCTCCCGCCCATTATCCTGGAGGGAGGCTATTTTATGCCTACTCGTCCCTTTTTCGAAAACTTTGGGTCCATTCTCTGGTGGTCTTCCATGGGGTCTCTCATCAACGCCTTCGGCATTGGCGTCTCGCTTTACGGCATCTGCCGGATCGCAACCTTCGGCCTCGAGGACGTCAACCTACTTGACAGCCTGCTGTTTGGCAGCATAATCTCGGCTGTGGATCCTACGGCTGTCTTGGCCGTGTTTGAGGAGATGTCTGTGAACGAACAGCTTTACATGATGATCTTCGGAGAGTCTTTGCTGAACGATGGGATCACTGTGGTAAGTACATTGCAACGCTTGTAGAAATGGGAAATTTTGGGGGCGGGGTGGAGCGGGAGGCTACGTAATTTTATTTTAATGAGTTTATCCTACCCTTCCTCTAAGGAGGTCAAGGAAGAAGGGGTGTGGCAGATGCTGTTGTGGTTGCTCGAGAGTAATAATAATAATAATAATAATTTATTATTTATACCCCGCCCATCTGGCTGAGTCTCCCCAGCCACTCTGGGCGGCTCCCAATCAAGTGTTAAAAACAGTACAGCGTTAAATATTAAAAACTTCCCTGAACAGGGCTGCCTTCAGATGTCTTTTAAAGATAGGATAGCTGCTTATTTCCTTCACATCTGAAGGGAGGGTGTTCCACAGGGTGGGCGCCACCACTGAGAAGGCCTTCTGTCTGGTTCCCTGTAACCTCACTTCTCACAATGAGGGAACCGCCAGAAGGCCCTTGGCGCTGGATCTCAGGGCCTTGGCGCTGGATCTCAGGGCTGAACAATGGGGGTGGAGACGCTCCTTCAGGTATACAGGACCGAGGCCATTTAGGGCTTTAAAGGTCAGCACCAACACTTTGAATTGTGCTCGGAAATGTACTGGGAGCCAATGCAGATCTATCAGAACCGGTGTTATGTGGTCCCGGCGGCCACTCCCAGTCACCAGTCTAGCTGCCGCATTCTGGATTAATTGCAGTTTCTGGGTCACCTTCAAAGGTAGCCCCACGTAGAGCGCATTGCAGTAGTCCAAGCGGGAGTAACCAGGCAGGACTCTGGCCTGTCTTTTACAGGCTTTATTTTGGTGCAAACTATTTACAGGGAAGAGCGTCACAAGTTCATGTCTGGCTCAATTGCTAGCAGAATCCGGGAGTGGTCTGTTCATGTACCTCCCCCAACATAAAAGTTTTGTCACCCCCAGCCTTTTCCGCCCCTTCCTGCACCTCAAACTACTGCGCATGATGGGCAAGGGCGTGCCTCCCTCCTCTCTGGCTTGCTCAGGCGCGGTGTGAAGGCTCTTTCTAGCATCCTCTGGTCCTTGCACCTCTTCTCCACTGGAAGTGGGACTTTCCTCCTCGCCCGAAGAGGAACTGCTTGGCAAGATTTTTGGAGGCTCCCTGTAACACAATTCCCCCTCTATCTCTCACTTCTGCGCCGATGGCAGTTCCCTGACAGGTTGCCAAATCACGGGGGCTGAGCTCTTCACCCACTCTCTAGCAGTTGGTACAAGCTGCCCAAGGGAGGAGGCTGGCAGTGGCGGTCATGGAGAGACAACAAGATGCTTCCTCTTGGCCCAAGCTGCAGTCTCTCAGGACAAGTGTCGGCTCACCCTGAGCTTGGCGGTAGTGGCACTGGCAGGGGAAATAGGGACATTCCGGGATCAAATCAGAAGCTGAGATAGCTTTCATAATTCTGCAACTGTCCCTGGAAAATCAGGACATTTGAAGGGTATTTTATTCATTCATTTATTGATTGATTTTATATACTGGAGGTCTCAGGGCGTTTCACAGGAAAGATCACAACATATAAAACCAAAATAAGAACAATAACCCAATAACACCCCCCCCCAAAGAGCCACATTTTAAAAAGGTATAGGATGTCCATCAGGTCAACCAAAGGCCTGGTTAAAAAGGAACGTTTTTGCCTGGTGCCTAAAGGTGTATAATGAAGGTGCCAAGCAAACTTCCTTGGGGAGAGCATTCCACAGATGGGGAGCCACTGCAGAGAAGGCCCATTCTTGTGTTGTCACCCTCCAAACCTCTTGAGGAGGGGGCACACGAAGGAGGGCCTCAGAAGGTGATCTCAGGGTCCAGGTAGGTTCATATGGAAAGAAGCAGTCCTTGAGGGTATGAGTTTGCCTGGCCACATTGTGTGATGGCCAGTGCCTGTGTGGTTTGTTCCAAAGTCACTGTGAATGAGGCTGCCTAGGCCTATGCACACCATGCATTTAATTGCACACAAGCCCCTAGAATCCTGCGAACTGTACAGTGGTACCTCGGGTTAAGTACTTAATTCGTTCCGGAGGTCCGTTCTTAACCTGAAACTGTTCTTAACCTGAAGCACCACTTTAGCTAATGGGGCCTCCTGCTGCTGCCGCACCGCCAGAGCATGAATTCTGTTCTTATCCTGAAGCAAAGTTCTTAACCTGAAGCACTATTTCTGGGTTAGCGGAGTCTGTAACTTGAAGAGTATGTAACCTGAAGCGTATGTAACCCGAGGTACCACTGTAGTTTGTTTAAGGTGCTGGGAATTGGGGTTCTGTGTGGGTGTAAATGACAGTTCCCATGATTCTTGGGGGGTGAGGAGGAGTTTGCTTTAAGTGGGTTTGAATGTGTGGTATGTACAGGTGACGATGGTAATATTCATCTTTGAATAACCATATGAACCTGTTTTGTTTTGCTTTTTCCCCACTCAGGTCTTATACAACATCCTCATTGACTTTACCCGCATGCATAAATATGAAGAGATTGAACCTGTGGACATTCTGGCTGGATTTGCTCGCTTTTTTGTCGTGAGTCTCGGTGGGCTGCTCTTCGGCGTTGTCTTTGGGTTTGTGGCAGCCTTCATGACTCGTTTCACGCAGAACATTTCTGCCATCGAACCTCTCCTGGTCTTCATGTTCAGCTATCTGTCATACTTAGCTGCAGAAACACTGTACATCTCGGGCATCTTGGCGTAAGTACGGCAGCAAGTTCTGTTTATTTTCACACCAGCCACCATTGGCTCAAAACGATTCCCTCTCCCATCTTTTATACTCTTGGCTAATTGACTCAAGTGATAAGAAACAATGTTCAAATAACAAGGGAGCTTAAGGAAGTATGCAACAAGCAATATAAACAGCAGTTCTGCTATAATTTTTTGCTTGTATTTAAGAGCAATGAGCTCAGCACATCATACTGCTTTGTATGTTTGCTAAGTGTTGTAGATGTTAAGGCTAGTACACTTCTGGGGCATATTTTCAAAATGGGTTGGTTTTTATTGCCAGTGTAGATTTAATTTGGCACTCGATGAACCCAAGTTACCCTAAACAATTTTTTGAAATGCTGCGGAATACTAAAGAGTATTTTGAATTGCACATTCAAAGATGGACCTGCAACAAATAGTTCAGGTTTATAACCAACCTGCCATTAGGGTTGCAGAAAACTCTTCAATTTTGTTCACATTTTAATGTGAAAATGCCTGATTTGCAGTTTATTGTTTTTAAAAAATAATAAATTTTTATTAACTTTCTTTTGTATTTTAACAAACATCTCATATCAGTAACATACATGTTACAAATCTTCATCCCCTTTCCTCCCGGGCTTCCCCCAGCTCCCATTTCTTGTTTGTTACCCCCTTATCATATACTGCTGTTTCAACCAATCCATCATATAGTTTCTTCTTTGTTTTAAATGCTCTATATAAAAAAAAAGTGTGTGTGTTTATTTAAATCCTGCCATCAAGTCAATGTTCTTTTTTTTGTTTTTGTTTCTGCAAATATAATTTAAAAGGTTCTCACTCTTTTTCAAAGTCACTGTTGTCCTTTTCTCATAGTCTATCTGACAATTTTGCCATTTCTGCGTAGTTCATCAATTTCTCTTGCCATTGTTCTTTTGTTGGAATTTCTCCAGTCTTCCAGTTTTGTGCTACCAAAATTCTCGCTGCCGTAGTAGCATACATAAATAATGTCCTCTTCTCTTTCGGCAGATCTTGACCTAAAATACCTAACGGGAAAGCTTTTGGTTGTTTAACAAATGTTATTTTCATTTGTTATTTTCATATGTATATCATTTCATATCATCAGAAGAAGATTCTAATAGAAAACTGTTAAAAATAGCAATCTCCCAAAGATAACAGAGGAACAAAGGAGGATTTTAAATGTAGAAATATCATCCCAAGAAATTATAGAAGCAATAAAAAAAGCAAAGGCAGGGAAATCTCCAGGGCCAAATGGAATAACAGCCAAATACTATAAAAAACTGAGTGACCAGTTTGTGAACCCTTTGAGGGAAATGATGAAGGAAGTTTTAAAAACAGGTGAAGTTCCAGAAACATGGAAAGAGGCCTACATAACTTTGATACCAAAACAAGATGCAGATGTAACATTGGTGACGAATTATAGGCCTATATCATTATTAAATAATGATTATAAATTATTTGCATTTGTTTTGGCAAACAGATTGAAAATTTTTAAAAAGATTTTATCCATCATGATCAATCTGGATTCCTTCCAGGTAGACAAATTAAAGATAACATTAGAAATGTATTAAACATTATAGAATACCTGGAAGTGAGAAATGAGAAGAAAGTAGCGCTGATGTTTATAGATGCACAGAAAGCATTTTACAATATTTCTTGGGACTTCATGAAGAAAGTGATGGAAGAAATGGGATTTGGAACAAATTTTAATGGGGCATACAGGCTGTTTACTCGGTACAAAATGCAAAAATAATTGTCAGTTGGGTGGTAACAAATAGATGTAACATTCAGAAAGGAACAAGACAAGGATGTCTGTTATCACTGCTGTTTTTTATTCTGGTACTGGAAGTACTGACAAGGAAAGTAAGAGAAAATAAAGAAATATTGGAAATAAAAGTAAAAAGAAGTGAGCATAAATTGAAAGCCTTTGCGGATGATCTGGTAATCATTGTGGAAGATCCGAAAATCTCCCTCCCAAAAGTAATGTACATAAGACAAGAGTTTGGACAAGTGGCAGGATTTAAATTAAACAAAAATAAGACCAAATTGCTATTAAGAAACCTTAAGGAACATGAGAGGAAAGAAGTAAGAGAAATGATAGGAATAGAAGCATATAAAAAGATAAAATTTTTGGGTGTATGGATAACAGCAAAAAAACATAAACATATATAAGGACAATTATGAAAAAAATGTGGCATGAGGTAAAAAGAAATATGGAAATATGAAATAGAATGAACGTCTCTTTATTGGGAAGAATCGCTGCAATAAAAATGAATGTACTTCCAAGGATGTTATTCCTCTTTCAAACAATTCCAGTAATAACAGGGAATGCATGCTTCAAAGAGTGGAAAAGAGAGATTTCAAGATTTATCTGGAGTGGGAAAAGGCCAAGGATAAAAAAATAAGATTCTTACAGATGTGAAAGAAAGAGGCGGATTCTCACTTCCAGATTTAGAATTGCACTATGAAGCTGCATCCCTTACATGGATCCGAGATTGGATCAAGTTAGATAAGGAGGAAATAACAGAACTGGAAGGACATGACAATAGGTTTGGATGGCATGCCTACCTATGGTATGGAAAAGCAAAAATACCTAAAGGGTTTCATAACCATATAATAAGGAAATCATTGTTTAAAGTGTGGGGGGAAATATAAAGAACTATTAGAACCTAAGGCACTTTGGTCGTTATCACCTATTGATGCACTATTACTTAAAACACTGGAAAGAAAGGGAGAATGGCCAACATATGGAGAACTATTGGTAGAATAGGAGGGGAAACTAAAACTGAAAGAATATGAAGAAATTAAAGAACATCTTCAAAGCTGGTTGCACCACAGACAACTAAAGGATGTTTTTAAAGAGAACAATAAAAGAGGTTATTCATATTCAGTTTCCAAATTCCAAAAGGAAGTGATAGAAGAAAACTCTAAATTGTTAAAAAAGGCATATAATATCCTTTTGGAATGGGAAACCAAGGATGAAGAAGTAAAGTCAGTGATAATAAAATGGGCACAAGATATAGGTCACAATATACAATTCGAAGATTGGATAAAGTTGTGGAAAGTAAATTTGAAATTTACGGACTGTATATTGTTGAGAGAGAATTATATGAAGGTGATATATAGATGGTATGTATCACTGGTCAAACTAGCAAAAATGTACAAAAATGAACAGAAGAAGTATTGGAGATGTGAAGCTGAAGGTACTTTTTACCATATGTGGTGGAATTGTAAAAATGTAAAAACATATTGGGATTTGCAGTTTATTGAACTAATGCACAGACTGAAACATAATTGTATCTTATTAGGGGGAAAGGAATGAATGTTTATTATCATGGCCAAACAGCCAGCATACTAAAACCAGAATTAGGGGGAAATACACATTAAAATGGCATAGTAGGGGAAATTGCCTGCAAAAATGTGTAGATTGGTCAAAACTGTATACAAAAATGTGTTGTTTTTTGGGGGGGGATGTCATACTAAATTCTGACAAATTCTTGTGAGAAATTGTTGCAGAAGTTTCGAGAAGTGACTTTAAGGTCGGAAATAGGAAAATGTTTGAGTACTGGAACTAACAGGTCTGTCCATCTTGATGTGTCGTGCCTTTCTTTCAGGTGCTATAAGCTGTAATTAGCTGAAGCAGGGCTGTAAAAGCTACTTCCAGGGACGCAGGTGGCGTTGTGGGTTAAACCACAGAGCCTAAGACTTGCCAATCAGAAGGTTGGCAGTTCGAATCCCCACGACAGGGTGAGCTCCCGTTGCTCGCTCCCAGCTTCTGCCAACCTAGCAGTTCGAAAGCACATCAAAGTGCAAGTAGATAAATAGGTACCACTCCAGTGGGAAGGTAAACGGCGTTTCCATGCGCTGCTCTTGTTCGCCAGAAGCGGCTTAGTCATGCTGGCCACATGACCTGGAAGCTGTAAACCGGCTCCCTCGGCCAATAAAGCGAGATGAGCGCCGCAACCCCACGACTGGACCTAACGGTCAGGGGTCCCTTTACCTTTAAAAGCCACTTCCAGGTAGTGGAGAGCCTGGGGGTTCCTTCTAAATGTTGCTGGATCCCTACCCTCACCAGCCCCAGCCAGCATGGCCAATGGTCAGGGCTGATGAGAGTCGAATTCCTCCTGTATCTGGGAAGAAATGAGCTCCTCATCCATGACGGATAAACAATACTGAGCCAAATGACCACAAAAGACGTCTCGAGGTGATTGTGAGAATAACCATCCCTTCAGTGGGAAGTCTTTCTTTCTTTCTTTCTTTCTTTCTTTCTTTCTTTCTTTCTTTCTTTCCTTCCTTCCTTCCTTCCTTCCTTCCTTCCTTCCTTCCTTCCTTCCTTCCTTTGCTGTTTCCAACGGCTCATGCTTCCTTCCCTTTGTGAGCCAACAGGATAACGGCCTGCGCAGTGACCATGAAGAAATACGTGGAGGCCAACGTTTCCCAGAATTCCTACACGACGATAAAATACTTCATGAAAATGCTGAGCAGCGTCAGCGAGACCCTGATCTTTGTGTTCATGGGAGTGTCTACGGTCAGGCGGAACCACGAGTGGAACTGGGCTTTTGTTTGCTTCACGCTGGTCTTCTGTGTGGTTTGGCGGGCACTAAGTAAGAAACAAATGCTTTAATAATCGAACTAAACCAGGTGGATGAAAGGCCTTGCGTCACTGAAAGCATCGTTCAGTGCAGAGAAAGGCTAGGAAGTTCAGAGCTGACTGGTATAACCAGTTTAGCAAAGACTGTTCTGCAGGTGTGTTGTGTTCGACGGGTCAGGTCACTTCATACAAAACTGAACTTTGCTGAGAGAAAGAATTACCTATAGAAAAGCAACCCTGGATATATTGTTGAAGGAAATTATACCACAAGTTTAATTACAGTGGTGCCCCGCAAGACGAATGCCTCGCAAGACGGAAAAACCGCTAGACGAAAGGGTTTTCCGTTTTGAAGTTGCTTCGCAGGACGAATTCCCCTATGGGCTTGCTTCGCAAGACGAAAATACCTTGCGAGTCTAGAATTTTTTTTTTTGCTTTCCCCCCCCTTTATCTAATCTGCTAAGCCTTTAATAGCCTTTAATAGCCTTTTAGCAGCTAATCCCTAAGCCTTTAAGCCTTTAATAGCCGCTAAACCGCTAATAGCGCTAATAGCACTAATCCGTCAATGGGCTTGCTTCGCAAGACGAAAAAACCGCTAGACGAAGACTCTCGCGGAACGGATTAATTTCGTCTTGCGAGGCACCACTGTACTTTTCATCGTCATTCAGGCAACCATTTGCATATAAGCCACTTACTGATAAAAATCTTAGCACTTTTGACATTTTTTAAAAGCACTTCCAGGACAATTGGGGAGGCTGGTTTATATCCTACCTTTATATCCAACCTTAATTAGCATTAAAACATGTCAAATTCTAGCAGTGTAGGTAGTTTAGAAGGTTGTGTTTCTCCCTCACAAGATAAAATGGTGATCATCTGTTGATGATAACAGGCCTTTTCATCTTTTATTTGAATGTGTTAAGGATGGAAGGAGTGAGATTGCATGTGCCATCCCTACTCCTCCCCTCCACACATTTATTTGGAAATTTGGAACAGAGCCTGTGGCTGTACAGTTGCATGGATATCTAGGGAACCCTGAAGCAGAAGGATTTGCAGTTGTACACCAAGACACCCCCCCTCTCTTCTGATCTCCAAACAAACACATAGAGGTCAGGATAGAAGACCATATGGCCTCATTTCCCCATGAGGACAGTGTGCATCAACATCTCCCCGTTGTTCTAAAAATGTGCAGCAAGACTGTCATATTTTTCCATTTTTGGTAACTACTTTTTCATAACACCCCCCCCCCCCCGATTTCTTTCTTCTCCATGCTTAATACAATTTTATATCATCTCAGTATCAGGGTTGTTGAAGTGATGGTCTCTTGTTAATTCCTTTAGAGATTTATTTTCCACTGTTTATAAATGAAATGGCCAATCTGTCAATATAGGAGGAGAACTACATGCCAGTCTACACATGTAAATGGCTGTACTGTACATGTAAATGCTAGTTGTGTATGCATCCCATACTGATGTATCCTCAACCTCCAATCATGATGCCCAGAGTTCTTCAAGATCCCTAGCTATCTCACAGGACTACAATTCTCAGAGTATGTGATGTGTGTGGATTTAATCGGGCACAAGTTTATGTATCAGTCTTCCCCACTGCGGTGGCTCCTAGATTATGTTGGATTACATTGTTCAAGACCCTGGGCTTTGCTAGCAAGGGCTGGTGGGAGTTGTAGTCCATCAACATCTGGAGAGCTCTACATTGGTGGAGGCTGTTATTGACAATATTATAGAGATGTTTTGAACATGGACTTCCTACATTTCAGCTGCTACAATGCAATAGAACACACTTGATTTGGGGGGTGGCCTGTATGAAAGCACAAGTTTGCATCCTGGTTTGGTGGAAGTTTCCATTCTGTTACTTCTCTTTGTTAGTTTTAATTTTTTTTCTTCGTTCCTTAGGTGTGCTTTTCTTGTTCTGCATCATCAACAAGTTCCGGACTCACAGATTCACTCTTAAAGATCAACTCATTATCATCTACAGTGGCTTGCGAGGGGCCAGCAGTTTCTCCCTGGCATTCTTGCTGTCTGCATCTCTCTTTCCTAGAAAGAAGATGTTTATAACGTCTACTATTGTGGTTACATATTTTACTGTCTTCATCCAGGTAAGAAGATGAGTTATCTGCCATATCATGGTATTAGTGCTGACAGGGCTGTCTCTAAGGAGGTGTGGAGCTCAGGCCAACTCAAACTGTCTTGAGACCTTCACTTCCTCATCCCCCTGCCTTTGGTGAGAGAAGGGACGCTTTCACTCTTCCTTCACATGATAGTCCAGATGGGAAGAGAGGTGCTGTCCAATTTGGCAGTCTCAGTTCAATAAAGATTAAGCATGCTTCACAATTTCATGGGGAAATGAATATTGTATCAAAAGTTAACTCGCTTTCTTTGTTCCAAATGAAGGGAATCACCATTAGACCACTTGTCAAGTACCTGGATGTTAAGAAGACCAATAAAAAAGAGTCTGTCAATGAGGAAATTCACATACGAGTAAGATGAAGTTTTAAATTTATCTTAAAATTTATAATTTTAATTGAATGCTGGAGAACTATTTGTCCATGGTTTATTCTGTCTGGGAGTAGGTTTCCAGAGTCCTAGGCAAAGATATTTCACATTGCCTCCTTTCAATTGATCCTTTTTAAATGGGAGGTTCTGGGGTGGTATTACTCAGAGTAAACCCACTGAATTTAATTGACCTTACTTAGTCATGTTGCTTGATTCCAATGGGTCTACTCTGATTGAAACTTAGTTGATTATCACCTCAGGATTCAAACCTGGGAGCCTGCATGCTGTCTAAGCATGTGCTCTGCTACTGTTATAAGCCTTCCACCTTAAAATGTGTTGGACCTTAATAAACTGGGAAAGAGTCATAGCTCAGGTGTGAAGCATGCAGAAGGTCATGGGTTCAGTCCCATCATTTCTAAGTAGGGCTGTGGTTTGTGTTAAAGCTGCAGTCCTATGCATGGGATTAAGCTCCACTGAGCCCCATGTTAGGGATGGGGCATCAGTTCTATTCAGTTCACATTACTAGGCAAATCTACATAATTTTCAGTTTCTGAAACCAGCTATGAACCGAAACATAGCCACCTTCTGAAATTTCCACTTCTCCCAATTTTGGAATGCAGTTCTCCAGCCAAGCAATGTGTACAAGAATGAATATTTTAGGGTCAACATGCACTAAAATGCACATAGTGGTGAAAATAAAAAAAGCAAAAATGCATTATAACTGGGCAAATTGCTTTGTAAAAATGTGTACAGTGATACCTCAGGTTACATATGCTTCAGGTTACATACGCTTCAGGTTACAGACTCCGCTAACCCAGAAATACTGCTTCAGGTTAAGAACTTTGCTTCAGGATGAGAACAGAAATCGTGCTCCGGCGGCGCGACGGCAGCAGGAGGCCCCATTAGCTAAAGTGGTGCTTCAGGTTAAGAACAGTTTCAGGTTAAGAACGGACCTCCAAAACAAATTAAGTACTTAACCCGAGGTACCACTGTATAGTAATCAAATTCTCAAACAGAATACGTATGGTAGGAGAAGTTAGCACTCAAATGGTGGTGAATTTTCACAATGACTTCTTAAAGAAAGCACTTGTAAACAGATGTCGAAATGTGGAGAGCTAGAGTTAAGACTGGAAAACTAGGAAACTGAGAGAAACTGAAATTGACACATTCACCCATCCCTACTCCTACGTAATTACATATACCTAGCTATGACATTTGTTAGATTAGGAAGTGGAATTATTTTTATCGCCACCTGGGACAATTAGAATCAGTCTTCTGACATCTTCTGTCAGGATGGCATAACTTGATGCTTGAAGAATCCTGCCTTTGGGCAGAAGAACTTTCTGGTAGTTCTTAATGGTGGTGGTGCTGTGTTAGTTCTGTGCCATAGCTCAGTGGTAAGCACCTGTTTTGAATGCACAACGCCCTAGGTTAAATCCATGACCTCTCAAGGAAGGGCCAAGATGTTCCCTGACTGAAATCCAGGAGAGCCACTTCCAGTCAGTGTGGACAGTACAGAGCTTAGATGAGCCAATGGTCTGGCTCGGTTTTTTTTTTGTATTCTAGATTATGGCTGTTCAAAATTGTGTTGTCATCTTCTTTGCACATAAACATTGTTACAGCAGCAATGGCTTTAAAACGTTGTTCACACCTTTCTCCAACTTCCTGTGTGTCTGCAGCTGATGGACCATTTAAAGGCGGGAATTGAAGATATATGCGGACAATGGAGTCATTATCAACTGAGAGACAAGTAAGATTGTGTCTGTCACAGTCAGGTAAAAGAAAATAACTGAAAGTGTTACTCTAATAATAGTAAAATGGACCAGACTGAAAATACTCTACGGTTGTTGACTTCCACTTCTTTGTGTTCTCTTTGGCTTCGCACTATAAGTCTGAGAGCCAGACTTACTTCTCATTGAATTTATTACAGTCATACCTCATGTTAAGTTCTTTCAGGTTACGTCCCGCGGTGACCCGGAAGTACCGGAAAGGGTTACTTCCGGGGTTCGCCACTCGCGCATGTGCAGAAGCGCAGAATGACATCACGTGCATGTGCAGAAGCAGCGAATTGCAACCTGTGCATGTGCAGATGCACTGCTGTGGGTTGCGCTCTTTTCATGTTGCGAATGGGCCTCCAGAATGGACTCCGTTCGGAACCAGAGATACCACTGTACTGAGGTGCTGTGCTTAGCCCTATTCACACAACCAGTGCACAACTGGGTCCTCTGCTTCTGGCTTGCATGTGTTCATCTGAGCTTCTTTTCATGCAATGTTTAAAAAAGGAAATGGGGACTGGGGATAAAAATACGGCATACATCAGTGGCAATGCTTGACGGTGGTAGCATGGCGAATTCTGAAATGTTAAGAAAAGTGTGTGTGGCACATGCACACAATGTATGTGAGTGTGTCCCTTGCCAATCTCAGCCAGCGTTTGCAGGCTTCTTCCAGAGCACCTTCGGTACATCACATCTTGACCATTTGCTTATGGTTTAGTGGTGTATTTGCCAAGATAGCAAATGGTAGCAGTGGCGCTAGCAGATGAAGTGTGCATAGCATTGCAACCTCAGTCTCTCTGTTCCCTGCTAAAAGAAAAGGGTAAGCAATGCTGATTGGAGCTAAGGCAGCCTGTATTTGGTTGCTCTTCCTCCAAATTGTCCATTATTTACATAAATGTTTTATTTTTATTGGTACCTTTTGAAATGCTGATGGACACAACAGACCCAAATGAAGAGACCATTTAGAACTTTGCTGTGGCACATTATGACTTTAAGCAGAGCTATTACTCTTATGCCTTATTAGAACACTCCCTTTCTACAAAGCAAATCAGGATTTCCCTTTCCCTTTACAGCCATGAATGTGTTTAGGTGCTTTCACCCTCTTTCTCCCATTACTGTAACTTGTCCTTGTCTTATCAGTTCAACACAGTGTCTTCCTTGAACTACACCTCTTTGCTGTTTGATGTCTGGTCCTTAAGAAGCTCAAGAAGATGCCTTAGGCTTGTCCATTATTTAATTCTCAAAATAATGTTTTGTTGTTGTTGTTGCTGTTGCTCTTACCAGATTTAAGAAATTTGACAACAGAGTCCTCAAGAAGATTTTGTTACACAAGCACCAACCAAAATCCAGCATTGTCTCCCTGTACAAGAAACTGGAAATAAAACAAGTCATTGAGATGGTAGAGCGTGGAGAGGTGAAGCCACCTTCTTCCAAATCATCTTCTTTGTGAGTATCTTCTTTCAGCTCAGATAAGTGGGATATGGATGCGTACTTGAAAATAAGGATTGAGAGTAAGTTAGTTGCACTAAAGCCCCACTAAAATTAATGTGAAAAGCCCGAGATGACTAACTTAAGCACTGCTGATTTCAATGAGACCTGAGGGCAACTTATTTTCTTTGGATCCATACTCATTACTTTGTGATTCTGTGATACATATAAAACGCAACTGAGATTAGGTAGGAGCCAGATTTGATTTGGCCAGTCACCCCTTGATGTATGGTGGCTTCCTGTTTATATTACTATCCTGTGTTAAGGAATAAATGCAAATAACGAAACCTGATGTTTTGGACTACAATTCCCATGAGCCCTATGTCGACTGGAGCTGATGGGAGTTGTAGTCCAAAAAACCTGGAAGGAACCAGGTGGGTGAAGCCTGACTTACAAGATGCTGGAATACAATCACAGTAAGAGTAGAACATTAGGAGAAAGTTACAGCCTGCTTTTAAAGAAACCAAGGATGTTACCTCTGAAGCCATTTTTCTCCGTGCAACTATAATACCTGCACGAACCTTACTATTTAAATACAAAATGTAATAAACAAGCAAAGTCTCTCAATAAAATAAACATTTTATTGAGTGGTTAACAGGTCTCCTTTGCTTTACCTAAAAACAGATTTGTATCATAAGTTTACAGCACTGAAGCGCAAATGTAAAAGGAAATGGGTTTATTAAACAGAAAGTTTCCTGCTTCTCCCTGAAGCAGATATGCTTGCCATTATCAAGTTGCTTGGTTAATAGCTAACTTCATGAAAAGAGTTTTCCATTTTTATATTTGAGTTCTAGATGTATGACAAATTGCTTTCATAATGTTTGCGGAGTTGCTCATTGTTCACCTGAAACTAAGGTTATTTTAATTGAAACATCTAGAGAACTAGATTAGCTAACCATTTACACACAATTAGTTCTTCTATGCACAAGTAGTCCTAACTCTGGACTAAGCCTGGAACAGATTTGCAGCGATATAGTTAACTAGACAATCCTGACCGTATTCTACAGCATTTCCCAAGGTCATGACAGTTAGAAGAAGTGTCAGTGACAATAATTGCTATGGGGTGTATCCAGCGCTTTGTGGTTGTTGTGAAAATGAGGCGTCGAAACTGTATCTTGATAAAAGTGCTGTGGGTGCCAGCACAAAAAAGAAAAGATGAGGCTATTGGGCTGCGCACCAGGGATCACAACACAAAAAACACTGGATGTATCTGTGATCTCTGATTTTACAGTGTGCATTATGAAGGAATTTGAGCTCAAGGACAGTTAGAACTGCTCTTGCTGTACAGAGATGTCATGATGTGTGAACTGTCCCCTAGAGTAGAGCTGTTTTTGCATGTCGGTGCATCTGTAGGAACTGGGTACCTGTCTCTGCAAGTGACAGCTGTCGTGATTCAGCTCCAGTTACATTTGGAGAGTTTTCCAAGATTTGTTGACTTGGTGATCTTGGCACATCTGTGCAAGTATCATATGACTTGAAAGTGCACAAGACTCAAACTAAGCCAATGGGGGAGAAAGGTGGGCTATAAAGGAAAGAGACAAAAGATATTAACATAAAGTCAATATCGCAATGTGTTTTGAGACTTGCAGTGATTTGCTTTCATCCAACTGCTCTCACATAAGACACTGGCCACATGACTCAAAGGCGTTGTTACCTCATTTTGGAGAAAAAATGGGATAGGGTGGTCGGAATGGCAAGGGAACTTAAACCAGCATTAAGGAATAAGCCATTACAGTGGTACCTTGGTTCTCAAACTTAATCCGTTTTAGAAGTCCGTTCCAAAACCAAAGCGTTCCAAAACCAAGGCGCGCTTTCCCATAGAAAGTAATACAAAATGGATTAATCCGTTCCAGACTTTTAAAAACAACCCCTAAAATAGCAATTTAACATGAATTTTACTATCTAACGAGACCACTGATCCATAAAATGAAAGCAATAAATAATGTACCGTGGTACCTCGGGTTACAAACGCTTTGGGTTATGCGTTTTCAGGTTGCGGACAGTGGGAAACTTCGAAGTACCAGAAAGGGTTACTTCCTGGTTTTGCTGCTCGTGCATGCGCATAAGCACCAAATTGCGTCACACGCATGTGCAGACGCGGCGCTGCAGGTTACGAATGCTGCGGGTTGCGGATGTGCCTCCATCATGGATTACGTCCGCAACCTGAGGTTCCACTGTACTGCAGTCACACAATCAATCAATCAGTTGCTGAACTGGGTTCCACACAGTCACCAAAACAAAAAGAGAGAGCTGCAAAAACAGAAGCACAAAATAGACACTCAAAATGGAAGTGTGGCATCAGAAGCGTAGCCCTCAAACATTCGGCTTCTGAAAAAAGTTTGCAAACCGGAACACTTACTTCCGGGTTTGCAGTGTTTGGGTTCCAAGTTGTTTGAGTACCAAGGCATTTGAGAACCAAGGTACCACTGTACTAGGTTCAGGGTGAAGCAATTTCCAAGAGCAGCAGCAGCAGCAGCAGCAGCAACAACAACCTCCTTTCCTTCCTTGCCCCCAGCCTTGGAATGCTGGTTGGAATGTGTGCATGTAGCAATGGCATGAGCCAGAAAAAAACAAACAGAAAAATGGGGTTGCCAGAGATGGTTGCTGCAATGACATGTGATCTCCAGTATGCAGATGGTTACTGCAGCTTCCAGACAGTTGAAGCGACATGAGAAGAGTTCTGTAGAGACTGACCCCATCGTGATTTTAAAGATAGGAATATACTGAGTCAGTCCTGCTGGTCCATCAAGCTAAGCATGACCTACCTGGACTGGCAGCAGATCACCAGGGTTTCAGGCCAGGGATGGCCACCTGTCATGGATGCTTTAGCTGAGATTCCTGCATTTCAGGGGGTTGGAATAGATGACCCTTGGGCGCCTTCCAACTCTACAGTTCTTTGATTCTATACTTAGCTAGTGGTGTCAGGGATTAAACAGGGGACTTTCTGCTTGCAAAGTTTATCTTTTACTCCTCAGCTACCGCCCAGTGGCTTACAGACAATCTGTAAATGTCCTCATGATAAGATCCTTGGTAGCTCCCAGAATGGGAGAAGCACCCTTTTCCTGGAGACATCCTAGGATCTGAATCTGAATTTCTAAAAGAACTGGAAGATGCATTTATTTGGATTAGCTCCTAACAGGCAGAGCCACACAGCTATGGGGTAGTTGGAATTCTAGTAGGTGGTACCTCAGGTTACGAACTTAATTCGTTCTGGAGATCCGTTCTTAACCCAAAACCATTCTTAACTTAAGGTGTGCTTTTGTAATGCGGCCTCCTGCTGACGCCACGTGATTTCTGTTTTCATCCTGGGACAAAGTTCGCAACCCGAGGTACTACTTCCGGGTTAGCAGAGTTTGTAACCTGAAGTGTTTGTAACTATTCTGTTTTATAGTTTTGAAGATTTTTTTTAATTGAATAAGTTCAACTAACTTTAGTCCTTCATTACTCAACTTCCGTCAGTTTTCGACAAAGCGACACTTTCTATGTAGGTCAAAGACTAGAGATTTTATGTGGATTTCTTAACTTCTTTTTTTACAATTGTTTTAACTTGCTTTCCTTTTGGACTTGCGGACTGAAATGCCAACAGCAATAAAATAGTGTGAATGTATGCACACTCATTCATGCACACATTCACGCTACAAAGAGATGGCTTGCTTCTTTGATTTATGAGTGATCCTTTGCTATCCCTTCTTGGCAAAACAGCCCGAGCGTAACTAATACATGCCAATATTAGTGTGTACATACAACCGCTATGCAGGAGTAACCGTTGGCCCTTTGACTTGGTCATTCTAATGTTTGCTTTCCTTCTCTGCAGGAGGTTTAGAAATCGAAGGATGCAGAGACTTTCGCCTGCAGAGGTGGATTCCATACAGAATATACTGGCTCACAATCTGTATCAAGTGAGGCAAAGGGTCCGTTTCCCTTTCTGGTAGCGTGCTTCATATCTATAGAACAAAAGATCATGTTTGCACAGTCTTTGAAGCCTTAGCAACGGTCAGTGAGAGCAGAAATGTTAGCGTTCCTGGTTGCAGCTGAGCCACGGGACAACATTATGGAAAATATAGATTCAAACCTGCAGTTAATACGTAGTTAAACAGTGGAATTCTCTACTTCAGGGTGCAGTGGTGGTCTCCAATATGGATGGCTTTAAAAGGGGATTAGACAAATTCACAGAAGGTTAGATACAGTGGCTTAGTATCTATGATAGCCACGTTGCTGGAAATCACAAGTGGAGGGGAAAGGGTTGCACTCAGGTTTTAATTTTTGGCTTTCCATAGGCATCTGGATGGCCGCTATGAGAACAGGAATGCTATTTCGGCTTTTGGCCTGATCGTGCACCCATCCTCTTATGTTCCTATGTACTTGTTTTGTGTGTTTGTGTTTCGCTAAGGCGATGGTGTTTCCCACAAACTCGATATCTGCACTCACTGGGCTGTTTCCCCAAAACACAAAAGAAAAGAAAACCCCATCCTTTCCTTTGCGAATATTTGTTTTTGATTGCCATCTACGCTGCCAGATAGCAAGAGACTCCAGAGACCTGCACCAGGGGGCAGACATTCCTTGCTTTAACAACGCAAATAGTAAAAGTGTCTCTCTGGTTGTTTCTAAACAAGGGGGTAATCGTCTGTCGCAGCACAAGTCAGCAAAGGCTCTTGTGGCATTCTATAGACTAGCAAATTTATTAGAGCAAAAGCTTCCATGGACTAAAGACTATCTTTGCAAAACAATTTCCAGAGGGATAGTTGCAGTAGTCTGTTGCGGCAAAACAGCAAGGAATCTTGCGACACCTTGAAGACAAACAGTTTTGTATTTTAATGTCACAAGCTTTCACGGATTAGTGGGCAGTAATTCACGAAAGTATATGCCACCGTAAATACAGCACCACAAGACTCTATTGTTGCTTTATTAAATCTAGAGTTGCTTAATACTGTTGTTACATAACCATAGCCCCTTTAGGCAGGGGTGGAAAATCTCAGGCCTAGGGACCAAATCATAGAATCATAGAATTTTAGAGTTGCATGGAACCCAAAATGTGGCCTTTCTGCCCAGCCCGCAAGACTCTTCCCCAATGATAGCCCTCCCCCAGACCACAACCCTTCACTGGCCCTCCTCTGTTCCCCCCTCAAGTACTTTTGACTGGTTTGTGTCCTTGAGTATGGAGAGATTGCATGTAGCTCTCACTTCTGCATAGCTGGAATGCACTGTAAAAAAAAAAGTCAGAGTCACATTTGTCATTTTGTTCACTTGTTGTTGTTCACCCACCATGGCCATGTAGACTCCAAACATTTGTCCACAAGAAAAATGGTCTTCAGCTAAAACATTGTTCCTACCCATGGCATACAGACTATGTAAATAATAATAATAATAATAATAATAATAATAATAATAATAATTTGTACCCCACCCATCTGGCTGGGTTTCCCCAGCCTCTCTGGGCGGCTTCCAACAAAGACCAAAAATACACTAAAATGTCACACATTAAAAACTTCCCTGAACAGGGCTTCAGATGTCTTCTGAATGTCAGGTAGTTGTTTATCTCTTTGACATCTGATGGGAGGGTGTTCCACAGGGCGGGCGCCACTACCGAGAAGGCCCTCTGCCTGGTTCCCTGTAGCTTTGCTTCTCGCAATGAGGGAACCGCCAGAAGGCCCTTGGCGCTGGACCTCAGCGTCCAGGCAGAACGATGGGGGTGGAGACGCTCCTTTAAAAAATGTACATTGTTTGATCCATGTTGGTGGAAATGAAGGCAGGACGAAGTGCATTGACTTGGGTAAAAACCCAAAAGTCACCTGCTCTCTCTAGAAAATCACACGGAAAGAATATCGAGTTGTGATTTGCTTGTTTTCAGACGCTGTCATACAACAGGTACAGCCTTGCCGCAGACGCAAATGAGGAGCAAGCCAAAGAAATCCTCATTCGTCGCCAGCAGAGCCTGAAGCAAACCGTGAGGAAAGGATACAGCCTTCCTTGGGGAGGGCAGGTACGTCTTACATAAGAGGTGGTGTTGGTGTGGAATCGAGGTTTGCAAATATGTGCGGCCCAGGCACTCTCTTCCTCCCTAAGAGTATCTATTGTTTTACAAAGGTGCATACACAACAAACAGCAATGGCCATGTGCCGCAGTCTCTATGCGGGTTAGACAGCCATAAGTAAAGAGGGTGAAAGCTAGAAACACAGCTGCTCAGGAAAGTAAAGCAGTAAAAAAGGTAGTTGCCAAGTTTTGTTGTTTAAATAGAGATGTGAGCAGGTCCCAGTAGATAGACCTCCTTGACATTTGTTTCCCCAAGCTGGAGGCTTTGGTTATTGCCAAAAATCTATCTGCTGTATTTAGGATGGTCCAATTTGCTTCCTTTATTTGCAAGTAAAAAGGTAAAGGGACCCCTGACTGTTAGGTCCAGTTGTGGCCGACTCTGGGGTTGTGGCACTCATCTCACTTTACTGGCCAAGGGAGCCGGCGTACAGCTTCCGGGTCATGTGGCCAGCATGACTAAGCCGCTTCTGGCAAACTAGAGCAGCGCACGGAAACGCCGTTTACCTTCCCGCCAGAGCGGCACATATTTATCTACTTGCACTTTGACGTGCTTTTGAACTGCTAGGTTGGCAGGAGCTGGGACCGAGCAATGGGAGCTCACCCCGTCGCAGAGATTCGAACCACCAACCTTCTGATCGGCAAGCCCTAGGCCCTGTGGTGCAAGTATCTGCTTTAATTACAGGTTCCAAATATTTTGGCATTTGAGTACTTCACTCAGCCCAGTTTTACAGTGGGGTTAGTAGACTAGAGCTGTGGTATAAATTACATATGACATGTATACATGCTTATTTTGCCCACAGTAATGCTGGCCAAATTTTTCAAGCATAACAAACAAAATGAGCATCAGTCTGAGTGAGCCTTAGGCTTGTAGACCCCTCCTTCCCTCCCTCCTAATGCATGCTGTAAGGGATTGAAACATCCACTCTCACTTTAAAATAAAAGCTGCAGTTTCCTGTTATGTTTGAGCCATGAAAACTGTGGTTTATTCTGATGCTGGTTTGTTAAAACAAGCCATGGCCGTCCCTGGGTCGGCTCAAACTACCAACCTTCTGATTAACAGCAAGACACACTGCTCCATTGTGCCACTGGGACCTTCTCATTGTGCACATTCACCAGGCCTCATGCACATAAGCTTTCCACAAAGAGGGAATTATGCATATTTCTTGGTCAATATGCATAATCTCCAGCAGACCTTGGGGAATGTCCATGTATCAACTGAATTTTATGAGTTCTCCAGTTATTATGCATAATCCCAAACAGGCCTTGGGGAATGTTCGTATCTCCACTTTATCTTGTACATCCTCCAGCCATTATGTATAATTCCCCAAAGGGCCTAGGGCAATGTGCATATCTTGACTGCAATCTGTACATACTCCAGGCAATACAGTAGGCATGTTCTCAGGGCACTATGCATAGTTTCTAAGAAACACACCCACTCCTTTTTTGTTCATAAGAGTGTAATCTGTGCTCCCTGGGCGTCTTCCCACAGCCTATTCTCATATGGCCCACAGTATGGCTTCTCACTGATCAGCTAAGCAGCAGAAAAAAGGAGGGGGGGGGCTCCAAATAAAGTGGTTTTCTGCCCTCCAGCCATTTCACCACTCCCAGCTCTTCTTCATTTAGCTGAGCAGCATAAGGTGAACTGGAGGAACAGAAAAGTTAAAACATCCCCACACCACCACCACCACCACCACCACCACCACACACACAAGTTTAATAGTGGCAACATTGGGTCCATCAAATTTGCAGTATCAAAAATATTATGTGAAATTTGCCTCTGATTCTGAAACAAAGTCCAGTTTTGAAACCTTAATGCTGTATCTGTGTAGTCCATTGGAATTTATTTAGAGGAAAAAACATCCTTGCCTGTAAAGTTGCCAGGACCAAGGTAAGATATTGTAGAGCCCTTTTGGGAAATGTTTAGGGTATTCAGTGTTCACTGGTTGTGAACTGCAACAAGGTACAATCATTTGCCATTCCTTAGGAAGCTTCTTCTCTAGGAAGCTTCCTGAAGATGCAATTTATAGAATTTCCACTTCTCAATCCTTTCATCTGCTACAGGCAAGTTACTTCCCATTCCTGTCTTCTCTTCTTGGAGGTCCCACTAATTATTTGCCCTGATTTCATCAATACCAGGGCTATATTCCAACCTCTGAAAAGCTACTTCCCACAGGAAGCATTATTCTAAAATATGGGATTCTATGTTTTGCACCACCATGATATTTTATGTGCATGGGCAGTATATAAATACTTCTATAGATAAAAATGACATAAATAAATTTGATAGCATAAAGAACTACCTTGCAAGGTTTAGCATGAGTTCCTTCTGTTAACTGCTGCCTTGTAAAGTGTGCTTTGAACTGATGCTCTAGATGTTTCAGGTTTGCTTAAGCTACTTTTTGAAGATTTTTTTCCCATTTACAATAGAGCAATACATTAATCACTCATTTCAAATGTAACCATCAATTCTCACTGACATGCTTTTTCCCCAGAATTACCAGAATTCAAATCTGTTGAAGGTATAACACACGACACACTGCACAATTGAATCACCTTGTCTCACACTTATTTGTCCATAGGCTGCCAGCAGAAGTATGCGTTACTTATCTTTACCCTTTGGTAACACACAAGCAACCAGAAGAGATGATGATGATCTAACAGGTAATTCTCTTTGATCAAAATAACACAGGAAAAATGCCAAATTGCTGCAAATTCACACTATTTATGAATTTGCAAATAGCTATAAAACACACATTCCCGCTAAGTGGAAGTTGGAACAAAAGATGGATGAAACGGTGTCCACCAGAATATTTGTTTTCCGTTGGAGAGACACACTCATCCTTTGCGATGACATTACTGTAAAGATATCACAAAGAATAGTAAACAGGACTGATTATTTTTTGACTTAGTCCTTTAACCAAACAAGATTGGAGATAGGAATGCCGGTGTTTGCAAAGGTGAGAAAAATGCAGAAAACAACAGCGCCTTGTGCAAAAAGGAAGCAGTTGGGCTGGGCTCAATTCTGTAGCAGGTGTTCCCCTGGTGTTGTACATGTCACTTGGGGTGGTCCAGTACTTTTTTGGGGGTGCGCAGCTGCAGACTCCTTATTCATTTATGGCAACTGTGGCCATTACTGTCATGGGGCAGTGTGTTTGACAGTGTCTAGTGCAAAACAAACAAAAACAAAACAGCAGTGGGCCGGGCTCAAAGCTAAGGCATGTCTTAGGGGACATTCTCCCAGTGGTGTGAATGTTTTATTTGTGGTGGCTCAGTGCTTATTTTGTAGTGCACAGCTGCAGATCCCTGGGACCATCATCCATTAATGTGCCTTGTGCAAAAACAAGACTTTTCATTCCCGAGAATAACGATGCATCTCAAAAGAAAAGTGTGCTAGTGGTTGAGAGTATGTGGGGTATTGCAATTAATATTTTGTAATAATAATAATAATAATATAATAATAATAATAATATATTATTGATACCCCGCCCATCTGGCTGGGTTTCCCCAGACACTTTGGGTGGGCTTCCAATAAAATATTAAAAATCAGTCACTAAAAACTTCCTGATACAGTGGTACCTCGGGTTACAAATGCTTCAGGTTACATACGCTTCAGGTTGCAGACTCCGCTAACCCAGAAATAGTACCTCGGGTTCAGAACTTTGCTTCAGGATGAGAACAGAAATCGTGCTGCGGCAGCAGCAGGAGGCCCAATTAGCTAAAGTGGTGCTTCAGGTTAAGAACAGTTTCAGGTTAAGAACAGACCTCTGGAACGAATTAAGTACTTAACCCGAGGTACCACTGTACAGGGCTGCCTTCAGGTGTCTTCCAAAAGTCAGATAGTTGTTTATTTCCTTGACGTCTGATAGGAGGGCCACTACCGAGAAGGCCCTCTGCCTGGTTTCCTGTAACTTCACTTCTCACAGTGAGAGAACCACCAGAAGGCCCTCAGCACTGGACCTCAGTGTCTGGGCTGAACGATGGAGGTGGAGACACTCCTGTAGGATCTAAGAAACTATTTAAGCCATATGCAAATCCTGGCTCTTGCGCTATGTCTGAAAGTGTCTTCAGCCTTTTCAGACAAGAACCCACACATACACATCTTAACGAACTAACTTTTTTTTTTTTTAGTCACATACGGAATGTATGGTTGCAGTGCTGATGGTGTGGCCAACTTTAGAGTAGGTTGTGACACCATCTATAAGACTGTATCTAATATGCTCCCCCAATGAACTCATTTTTTTTATAATTAATAGTTCAAAGCATGATTTGGAAAAAGAGAGGTATAAGTATAAGTAGCCACAAATGCTTTCAAGCCCTAAAGCACCCAATGTGTGCCAAAGGGTCTGTGCTTCTTTATGGGACTGTATTATGATCATATGATGCTGATGAAAGACTTGCCCTCTGCAACCTAAGGCTTATCGAAGGCCCCTGAAACTAAAATTCTTTGGTCTTGGGTCATTTGAACCCTGGTGCCCCGAAACCCATCCTGTTTTTCGATACAGGATAATTAGAGACTTGCCTAACTTGGATTTTTTTGGTCTTGCATCATTTAGCCATGCCAAAAATAGTGAGCAGAAATTGCAACATAAAAGAATATAGGTGGCAATGGAGCCATGTGAGCTGTGTAGCCACAGGAAAGGGGGTTGAAGATCTGGTGAACTAAAAGAAAAATGCTGAGGTGGGTGTTGGTGAGATAATTTGGAGGAGAGAAGGATAAGTGAAGGCAGGGGCAGAAAGGGGAGCATGGTGGATAAGTTGGGCTGACATTGCTCATAAAGTACATGCTCATAGGCAGTGCTTTTTTCTGGGGGAGTGCAGGGGTACACATATACCCCTAAACCTTTTGTGAATCTTTGTACTTTTGTCCATTTACTGTATTTATTTTCCCCGATTTGAACTATAAAATGGTGATTTTGCTGAGTCAAAATGAGAGTACCCCTAAATATATTTTTTTAGAAAAAAAGCACTGCTCATAGGAATGGGAATGGCATTAGAAAAATCAGGCGAAGAAGACATCAAGTAGTCTAGAAACAGTTCTGATTTTTGTACAGTGAATATGCTTTTCCCCAGTCATGAGGGCTAAAGCCTTGCAGGTCTAAAACCCAGGCCTTGCCTTTGCATAATCTATGAAATGGCCTTAATTCTCCAAATATTGACCTTGACCTACCCAGATTTGCAGAAGATGTACATCTCTAACAATTCAATCCTTTGCATGTTGGCTTAAGTCCCACTAGGTTCAATGAAATGTACTCCTAGGCGGTGCTCTTTTGAGGGGGAGCAAAAAAAACGAGGCGCAGGTACTTGTATCATGATAGAAGTGCTGTGAGTGTCAGCACAAAATGGCTGCCAGGAGCAGCCAAAAAGAACAAGAGATTATGTACTGGTGAGAACCACCACAAAACAGCACTGCTTCTAGGGATGGATCTAGACACATCAAAGAAGAGTTTCAGTTAAACACATTGTAAACTTAAACAGGGGAAACAGGTAGAGAAAAATGGGACTCCACAGTGCCTTCTGGTAGCACAATGTTATATTGCATATACAACGTATACAAATCGCTTTTTCTTTACCAATCTAGCTGAGTCCTAGTTAAGCATGTATAGGATTGCAGTGCAAGCACAGCACGTTGAGCAAATGCCCTCAGAGAGAACAAGTTTCCATATGACGCTGTGTTATGTCCATTTATCAACAATCTCTTTGTGTCTGAAAGGAGAAGGAGGTGCAGAAGGAGGCTGAACCCCACTGATATTATTCACTTGTTTCTGAATCCAGGGGAGTGTAGCAGCGACTCCGAGTCTGTGTTCATCAGGCTCCATTCAGAACCTCGACCAGGTTCGCAGCGAAGAAAGTGGCAACAGCGGGAATCACTTCAGATGAAGCAGCTGCATTCAAGATTCGAGCCAGCAGGTTTTAAAGGTCAGAGAAGAAGAACAAATGAATGGGTTGAAAAAGCCAGAATACAAAGGCCACTGTTAGGGTTGAAACCTCAGCTTACTGCAGTGCTTGAAACCGATATTATTCAGGAACTTGAGTCAGAGGACGAGGGGAACAGGGCATCGATACCATCAGATGGTACAGCAGAACCCAAAGGTGATTTTTGTGGGCGAAAAAGCCACTTTACTAGAAGAAAAGAGTGATTCTTCTTCTTCATGGAGCATAACTGCTGTTTGAGCACTGGCGTGATTTGTTTCGGAATTTGATTTAAAAAACACACCCTCTGAACTCATCCTGATTCCAGCTTAACGGATGGAAGAGGTCGATGCATAACGAAATGTGTGAGACCTGATTGGCAACAAGGTATACATTGCCAGCGCTGAAATCTGCAGCAAGTTTTGGCTGTTCATGCGGAAGTCTCATTATAAAATTAATTTGCGTTTCCACTCTTGGAGGTGGGAAAACCTAGCTGTTGGAATTGTCCACAATGAACAGAGAAAGCTGGATAGGCGGTGTTAACTGAAGTATTGGCAAGGGTTTCAGTAATGCAAATAATCACTGGGAGTTGGCTTTAGGTGTGATTCTGCACACAGTGCTATGAAATGGGCTTGGTCACGGGCTCAGGGCCTTTTCCTCGGGGAAAGGTAGGGAAGAAGTGCAGTGGGGCAAGAAAGAGCTGTGTCTTGACAGCTGGGTGGTACCCAAAGAAGCAGGAGGGCCAGAAGGCAAGTGGGATGGCCAGAAAAATGAGACAGGCAGGTTGAAGGGGGCTGCCAATTCATCACTCCCATTCACCTGCAAAAATGGTCTCATTCTACCTCAAGGTTGGTTCAAGCACAATGATTTGCCTGTGCAAGCAATTGCATGCTACTGGCTGCCCTGTAAAGAATACAGCACGCACAGGCCTTACTTTGGAGGTCACGAGGATAGAGGGGCACCTCAGCTTTTGCGACCTGATTCTGATATGAATGAATGAATTTATTTATTATTTCAGTCGCAGACCAGTTCCAGCCCACATACAATATCAAGGAAGTCATAAAACACGATAGGGATACATTTGAATTTGCAATTAGGTATAACAGGGACAATACAGATATAGCAACAGTTATATATATATATATATATATATATATATATATATTAAAACTTAGTCACTAACATATAACCTAAAATTATCATTTAAGGCCTTAATCATTATGACAGCACAGCTTGTTCCCTAAGTTTTATGGCAATCGCACAGAATTTGGCTACCCTTAATGTGATCTCAGGATCCTTGTCCTCTTCCAGGGATTTTAGACATTGAAGTCTGGATTCGTTTGGAGATTTTTGCATAGCAGGGGTAATAAATACCAAGTGTATATCCCTGTAGAAACGGCAGCATAACAAGGCATGAGAGACAGTTTCTACCTCCATCAAGCAGCAGGGGCAGACTTGTTCTGCGTATGGTTTACCCTCAAATCTACCCTGCAATGAGGCAGATGGATGATTCTGATACAGTGGTACCTCAGGTTACAGACGCTTCAGGTTACAAATGCTTCAGGTTACATACTCCGCTAACCCAGAAATAGTGCTTCAGGTTAAGAACTTTGCTTCAGATTGAGAACAGAAATCGTGCTCCAGCAGCACGGCAGCAGCAGAAGGCCCCATTAGCTAAAGTGGTGCTTCAGGTTAAGAATAGTTTCAGGTTAAGTACGGACCTCTGGAACGAATTAAGTACTTAACCCGAGGTACCACTGTATATCTTTTTCACATCACGGAGGCCCACTTATAGGTCTGTTTGCATACCCTCCTAGTCTCCCTGTTTTCCAGAGCAACAGTACCGGAATTACGAAAGCCACCCCGGCTTCTGATTTGATCCCGGAATGTCCCTATTTCCTCCACCGGTGCCACCACCACTGAGCTCGGGGAGGAGGATGAGTCAACACTTTTCCTGAGCAATGGCAGCAGTGGCAGCAGCAGTGGCAGCTGCGAGGGAGCACCCTGTAGCCTCTGCATGGTCTCTCCATGGCCTCTGCTGCTGGTCTCTTCTTTCGGGCAGCTTGTAGCGGCTGTTGGAGAGCGGGCGAGGAGGAGAGGCTGCCTCACCAAAGCCCTGCCCCATGTGATGTGCGGGCTCTGAGGGGTAGGCCGAGGGCAGAGCCGTCCTGGGTGGGAAGAAAGAGCAGAGCATAAGGAGTCTTGATTTTTATTTTTATTTTTTAAGCTATGTGGGTCTGCATCTATTCTTGCTCCTTTCTAAAACATATTTATTGGTGTGTTTCTCTTTTTGTAAATTGACCAAAGAATAAAATAAAATAACATTGAGATTCAGGGTTTTTCTCAGGGCGGTGGAGGGCGTGTGCGCTGTCTCCTGTTGCCGTAGAGGTGTTGGCACTCACCATTCTTCTTATAGGAAATGCTCTGTGGGAGTGGGGACAAATAAAAATGGTGCGTGTGTGTCAAGGAATGAGTGAAAAATGTCCGTATTTTCACCTGAGGAATGTTGGAGGGTATGTGTTCTTGTGAATTTATCCATTTTTGTTGAACTTATTTCACTTGTACCTAATGATTTGTGTAGCCCTTAAGCCATATTTTTTCAGTGGGGCTTTTTGCAAAAAAGAAGAAGGAGAAACCCTCAAGTAGAACCTTGGCAATTTGCAGTCTATCTGCCTACCCCTGCTTTGCAGAACGGTTAGTGTAATTGTTAATTGTTAATCATGCATTCAAATTAGACTCACACCCGTTGTGCAAATCATGGATTAACTATTCATTGTTGCTTAGTGTGGCTGTACACATACTTCAGACCTGCCTCTCAGAGGCAAACCACACATTTTGAATGATTTCAGGGGCATATGCCAGCCAGAGGTTTTGGCCAGACTACAGTATGAAGCATAACTCATAGTCAGGTCAAGTCAGGTGTTCTGTTAAGTTACTTCTTGTTCAGTCTATGCCTGGAATTCAATCCGATTGTATCACGGAAGTCATGATATGTGGAGCGGTTTCTTATGGTTGGTTCATTATGCTAACAGCAGCAGCAGTGTGCAAGTTTTAAAATCAAGGGTGATTTGCTCAGGCAGATACGGGAACCCTACACAGCCTTTGAGAACCACTGGGTCAAATTCAGAAATGGATTCCAAGATTGGCGCCAGCAACCAAATAAATATTCCAACATCCCACCTCAAAAGTGAGAAGGGATTCTGGCATTTGGAGAGTATGCTGGGACTTAACCTCATTCTAAATGAAAAGGTGACGAAAGAGAAGGGGGAGCCAGTGCTGATACTCGTTGCTCCAAAACATTCAGTATACTGAGCAGCTTTGTAATCAGAAGATTTGGACTCTCAGCTTTAGAAACGCTGGAAATCAAGAGCGCCCAGTGGCCTAACACCTTGCTTTCTGCTGAGACATTTTTTCCTGATCCTTAATTGCAAATGAAACTTTTCAGTCAGTTTCACCCGTGTAAAGTTTCAAGAGTCAACACTGTGTCTTGTTTATTGTGGCCCATCCTTCTCACAGAACACTTTGTTTCTTTCAAATAGAAACAGGTGGGTGGGGAGATGATTTTGGAGCAGTGTGTCAAGGTCAGTAGCAATATATAATTCTTTTGTCCCTGTATAAATTCGCACCAACTGTAACTGATTCCGTAAATATTGCTAAGTGCTTTGCAAGTGGCCAAGCTGCTTTGGATTACCAATTTAGTAAGTAAAAGTTATTTATCAGAATTATTATCATATGTAGAGTTATACAATGTGTCCCCTCTGACCCTGTTTTGTTCAGACTTCTTTTTTTGTACTGATACTTGTGACGTATAAACCTCGCAATTAACAAATAGGTCTGTTAGGGTTTGTGTGTGCAGGTATTCCATTCTCTTTGTGACACTTTCTAGATGCAATTTGCCAGGGGGTGTTCAGATGCCATTGTTATTATTACATGAGCTTACTTTGGGTTTATGCCCTTGGCATCTAAAATGTTTTGGTGGCTCAGTCCCAGCACACGGTGTGTAGAAATCTAATTATTTAATTTATTACTTATTTAGTAATAGGTAAACATTTGTAAGTTGCTTGATCAAAAAGAAAATATTCTTCACGTGGTCTGCAAACCAGGTCTGTTTTTGATTACTCAGTTCATTGCCCAAAGAACTATAGTGCTAGCACTTCCATGTACTAACATTATATTTTTTAAGAATCCTTAGAACATCGGTGAATTAAGGATATGTGTATTTTATGTATGAATAAGGCATGTGATTTCAGAGAACATGATGATTTTGAACTTTCATGAGGCATCCCAGAAGAAGCTAGACAGTTAAATACTTATATCCCCTTGCTTTCAGCAGGGGTGTCCTAAATTCATCTGGATTTTTTGTTCCCATTATTATTTTATGATTTTAAATATGCAGAGTGCTTTGCCATTTTGTTCTCATTCATATCTTCAATACTGTGAAGCAGATCATTCGTAATCATGCTGAGATCAGTTAGGAAGCTGACTGTAGGGTTAGGAATCAGCCTCAGCTGCCTAGCATGGGAGTCTCCAGGTGAACTGTGGTTTTAACTTGTGTTTCTGAGGCTCAGGGTTCGTGCTGGACCAGGCTGAATCCAGCGAATTCTCTTGTGAAACCAGGAGTGAGATGCCTGCACTTTCACACACACACACACACACACACACACACCCATTTGACATCATCCTTTCTTTTCCCAACCGAGCAAACTGGTTACGTACCTGAAACTTCCTTTCAAGTAAAGCAGAGAAAAAAGGTTGAAACTTGAACTCTCGAGGCAGAGAAAGTGGAAGAACTTGAATAGAAAGTTACTTCTGAGTTAGGCAAACTCACCTCCAGGTCTGCTTTTATGAGATCTGTTTACAACTTATGCATTAAAGTAAAGGTTATGTGGTTGATTTGAAAAAGAAAGAAGGAATGTAACAATTGCCTTCCTGGATCAGGGCAAGATCCATCTAATATATCCTGTTTGCAGGCTTCTCGTGAACATTTGGTTGGCCACTGTGATAGGTAAGGTAAAGGACCCCTGGACTGTTAAGTCCAATCAAATGCGACTATGGGGTGCAGCGCTCATCTCACTTCAGGCCAAGGGAGCCGGTGTTTGTCCACAGACAGCTTTCCAGGTCATCTGGCCAGCATGAATAAACTGCTTCAGAACACCGTGACTGAAGCCAGAGCACATGGAAACACCATTTACGTTCCCACCGCAGTGGTACCTATTTATCTACTTGCACTGGCGTGCTTTCAAACTGCTAGGTTGGCAGGAGCTGGGACAGAGCAATGGGATCTCACCCCGTCACGGGGATTCAAACAGCCGACCTTCCGATCGGCAAGCTCAAGAGGCTCAATGGTTTAGACCACAGCGCCACCTTTGTCCAGGCCACTGTGATAATAGGATGCTGGACAAGGAGGTCTTAACCAGCAGGTCTCTTCTTATGTTCTTAATCCTTCATTCTTTTTCCAACAACAGTCAGCTAGAAACCTATAGGTATTCAAAATCAGGGCACAAAACAAGCAATGGTATTTCTCTATTGTATGACTCCGGTATCTAGAATTCAGAGATATACTGGCTTTATGGAGTTTTTATATATTTTAATATCTATCAGGTGTTGAGTAGTGGGGGTACTACTACAACAAAATATTGCAGTGTGGAGTGGTCCTGCTCAGGGTTCTAGCTAGTCTGCCATGGACACTTTCAGGATAATACATACCATGCCTCCTGTTTCCCACCCAACTCAGCCTTCTGTGGCCATTCAGTTCTTCTTTGGCTGTTTTGGTTTGTGAAGGTTTTCCCCACCATCTCCCTTAGGTTTTTGTTTCCTAAGTACTGGTACTTCTGCAAGCTTTGGGTTTCCCTCAAGCTTTCTGATACCACAACAGTCCAGCTAGGTGAGTTCCACTGTTAGAAAGAATGATAGATCTTTTTTGTTCTGGTAATTTTATCCCAACAAAAAATGGATCTAAGTTATACAGGTTTTTAATACCCAGAGTTTTCTTTTCGAAAACGAAAAATAGCCTGGGATGAAACAACAATAACAACGGAGAAATCTGTTGATTTTTGTCACTTGGGTGCTCTTTGTTCTAACCAAGGCTTTCTCAACCTTGGCCCTCCAGATGTTTTTGGCCTACAACTCCCATGATCCCTAGCTAGCAGGACCAGTGGTCAGGGATGATGGGAATTGTAGTCTCAAAACATCTGGAGGGCCGAGGTTGAGGAAGTATTGGGAAGTTAAAGTATTGGGATAAATAAATAAAAAGGTCCCTGGACTTTTGAAATAAAACCAGAAACCAGGGAAACAAACCTAAATGCTCTTCTTCTGATGCAAAAACAAGTGGGTAAAATTATATCCCTGGTTCACTTTTCATTGCAGAATTTAAACAGAAGTCTACATTGTCACCTGCACTGCAGCTTTGGAACATTTTACATTGGAATTTTAGCTTGGAGTAGGGGAAAAAACCCCTTTCCAACCTGCTAATGTGGCAGAGCAGGGTCCTCATATTATTTGTACTGTAGATATAGAGATGAAGGTGGCACTTTTAAATGATCAGTTGGCTGAAATAATATTGCATGCTGCATATTTGGAGAGCTAGTGAGTCAAAGTAATCAAATGAGTCAAAGTAAACAACATTTGAGGTAATGGATTTCCTTTGAATTTTAAGAAAGGTGTCTACTCTTATCTGTGAATAACTGAGATACCATGCATCACCATATATGCTGTGCAAACAACAACCACCCAGCAGAAACTCTAATATAGGGGAAATAAAAAGAAACACAGTACACAATAGAATTATGAAATACAAATATTTAAAATATATTTTTTTAAAAAATATAACAGGAGTAGCAATGTGCAAAAGCAGTCAAAAGCAGCCTAAAACAAATAATTGATTTGATGCCTCTCATCAATGTCTTTAAAGACCATCTGAAACGGAACCTGAGAGATCTGACCCAGGAGCATGTTCCATAGTTGTGGAGTCACCACTAAGAAGGCCCTGTCCTTAGTGCCATCTTTCCAATGGAGAAAATTTAGGCATGTATTCTAGAAGTGCCTGCCTATTCACTTTCAGGGGTGGTGGTGGACATCAGGCTATTTTAAATAGTACCAGCATCTATTTCTTTTTAAACGATGATTCAATTTATTAGCCTCTGAACAGCAAGGCTATGGTTCTTTGGGGTTTATGAAAATGTAAATTTTGTGACTGGTGCTAACAACCGACTTGGGTTGAGTGAACACATGCATCATAGTGATGGTTCACCCACCTGCTCTCTTGTCTCTAACTTATACAAAGCAATCAGAAAAACCTACCAATTTGGTCTTGTGTGTAAAGACCCTCCCTTAAATCATGGCAGGAAGCTGAAATGTATAACCGCCCTGCAGTATGATTATTCTGTTATTTATCAATATCAAGTGTAATTCATCTCCTTCCTATTCATCACAAATAAGACAATTTTCTCGACACCGGTACCAATTCATAGTTCACCCTCAACTTTTAAATGTTTGAATCCAAGCCTGAGTCATTCCTTCTTTAAAAATGTAATGAAAATAATCCACTCATTCATCTTTGGCTTCAAAATGAGAGAACTCTCTGACTGATGCGTTTCATATGTCTGCATCTCGCAAAATCTAATGTGATGTTTATTCCTTGCCAGAAAGACAGATGATCGTCTAGGGGTTTGCCTTGCTCTCACATGCTTTCTCCTGGCATACAGAGAAGAAATAGCAGGCAGGAGCGCTTAAAGTTCCTAATAGGAACCATGCATCACTGAAATTAAATTGAACGTGTCACTGGAAAAAGAAAATCACACAGACTGCAGGCAGATATCTATGCATGGAGCAACCCAAATAAAGAGATGGACTTTTTATCTCCTCCTATACTATCCCTTCCTATAGATTCCACTCCTATGCATAACACTCACAGATTCCACTCTCTGGAGGCTAAAGGCAGGGATGGTATAATGTGCCACTTTTTGTATTCTGTAATCTGCTCCACCTATAAACCCCCAAATCCTGAGCTTTCAAACAAAACAATTCCAACTGTTTCTCTCTCTCTCTCTCTCTCTCTCTCTCTCTCTCTGTGTGTGTGTGTGTGTGTTTGTGCAATGATTCTCATTCCATCTGTTTGTAATGGAATGTTTTTTAGGATAGTCTCAAAGTGCAGCAGTGACCTCTGTTGATAACAGGTTGTAATGAACTCCAAAACCCACAGGTGGGCAATACTTTAGGATCAACCAATTTGATAGGTTTTAGACAATGACCTGTTTATTTTGCATCTATTTTGTTGAAATTATGAACACTATATATTTGCATGTATATCTACGGAGAAAACATAGCAAAGCCCAGTTTAGTGGGAATTTACAGCTTAGTGAGACAGTTTAGAGCCATTCCAATCTGGGGTTCAGGCCTGGCAATGGAACTGAGTCACCCTTGGTCACACAGGCGCTGAGTTTGCACCCAACAAGTTCTGTAATGGATCCTCTGTAACTTCGTATGAGTGGCATGAGTCCAAGTATCATCCCACTTTCTGTGTGCAGGGAGTGGGAGTCGATGGGAGTGGTTTTGGAGATTTCTGTTTCACGCCACTTCCCTCTCACTTGCTGACCTGCAAGATATTCAGACAAAATAAGGCTTCATGGAGTTTTCAGGAGATACATTCCAGAGGTTAAGTTGGTGTCAGTAGTTACCTAAACATGTGGCGTCATTCCTTTCGATTTCTTTACATTAATACGTAGTATTCTTGAATTACATTATAGTCAATAAATGTATCATCTCAGCAATGGCATCCTGCTAGGATTTCTGTGGTCAAAAGGCAACTTCCCACTTTTTCTTTCT